ATCTTTGCCTCATCGATCTGTATGTGTACCTGGTAACTGTGAATCTAACAGTGCCATCCCTCGCTATCTAGTTATAGAACGTTCTAGTGCAGGAAATGTGCGGCCTTGAATCTTGTAGCAGCAGTCACGTGACTGACTACAGCAGTGTCTTAAAATCTATTAATATCTGTGTACGGCTGTTTCCTTTTCTCTGACCACGACCTTCACGCTTAACTATCCAATTAGTTGTGGTCATCTTATGTTCCACGATTGACCAGTGACTGAACATGTTGATCCGGGCTGTGTAGTCTAGGCCCATGTGTGTCGCCACGGGACGCTGTGTTGGTCAGCGCACGAGCTGGACACGAGTGTCAACCAGTTCCTGGTCGTTTTTACCTTAACCCCTGGCGTTTCTTTCAACAGTTTTAAACCGTTCACTTCACTGGGGATTCTCTACCCAGTTTTTCTTTCTTCGTCTACTGACCAATCGCCGCGCGGCTGTTATTTCCTACATCACCCACTAGAATTCACTAGATCATGCGGCAATCAAGTGTCCCCTTGATTGATTCTAAGGGGTCATCCATTTATGACGTCCACAATTTTTTTGGATTTTGGACCCCCCCCCCCCCTCCCCGTCCACAAAAATCCACTTTTTCCCTTATACAAGTCCATATGCGTCCAGTCAGTTTTTTTCGGCCCCCCCCCCCCCCCCCCCCGCGTGTGGACGTCATAAATGGATGACCCCTAATACAAATATCTCATTACAATCATCAAAACAACATGGCTGTTGGTAAAATAAAATACAGATATCCAAAATTGAAGGGAGGTTAATCCTGCTTATTTAAAAATAATGTTTAACGTTTGTGAAGACCTTGTTCCAAGTAAAATCAGCGCATAATTTGATCATTTGACGAAATATTATATTGTTACAGATAGCTCCAATCTCACTGTTAGCTAGCAATCAAAATTGTTTCATGTTCATTTTTAAAGCGTTGCTGTTTCAGCATTCTAGCCGTTACGTTTACGTGCCATGCTATTTGTAAATATGCTAATGATGTGTTCGTGTCAACGTTTTCATAATATTTGATCACTGTTCGTTCTTGTTAGTTTAAGTATAAATATGCGTTCATTACCTAGTGGTGTTAGCTAAGGTATCTCATCATCATGTATGCATACCAACCTGCGTTATAAATATCTGACCATTACCGATTCACGGCAGGTCACATAAAAATATCCTCGGCTCAAATAGCCTGCGTGTTGTGTGCATCAGAGATTAGCCGGCCTGGATTAGCTGGGCATGCAGTGTAACTCTAGATTCAACACTCGTGTGGTGTGCGGGGGACTTGTGTTGACACTGGTTGTTTCAGTGCTGCACCCATCTTGCCCCAGCTCATGACCTGCCCATCTGTTGTTCCCCCTATTCTGTCACAACTTTCATGCCCTGTCCATCTGTTCCCTGTTTGGTTCCCCCTATTCTGTCACAACTTTCATGCCCTGTCCATCTGTTCCCTGTTTGGTTTCCCCTATTATGCCGCAACTTTCATGCCCTGCCCATGTTCCGTGTTTGGTTCCCCTACATCGTTCTTTCAACAAAAACCCATTACTATTGTTGATCCTTGACCTGTTACTGAAGTCTAGTAGACATTATTTAGGTTGGCTGTTGGTTGAACTAACGACTCGTGAATACTCGATCACTGGCGTGTCACATGTGACCACTGAGTTTGAACAAAAACATATTTTGGGCTGGTGTTTTTTAAAACACAACAATAAACATGTGTCCACGTAAGAAACAGAAGTAGCTCTGCCTCCAATCTTAACTTCAGCAACTATGTATTACGCTATTCTTCTCTACTAGTTAAATGTCTTTCCTGTTGCGTTCTACCGCCCTTACAAAAGCCTCTGTTTCAAGCTATACAACACCATCTATTTGCTGACGTTAATGACTATCTTGGCATTTATTAGCAAGCTAATTAGACGTTGGTATTCTATATGATTTTTCTTTCTTTATATAAATGCACCCTTAATGACATCTCTTCACCATGACTGTCTCTTGAGTTTGGATTTTAGAACATGTGTGTATGTACACTAGGCTAATGGCAGGCAGGTAAAGACGTTAACTTCTGGGTTTTTAATACCAGGGTAATGTGTAGCTTTATAATGACAGGTATAGGAGCTTCTTTCTTTATATAAATGCACCCTTAATGACATCTCTTCACCATGACTGTCTCTTGAGTTTGGATTTTAGAACATGTGTGTATGTACACTAGGCTAATGGCAGGCAGGTAAAGACGTTAACTTCTGGGTTTTTAATACCAGGGTAATGTGTAGCTTTATAATGACAGGTATAGGAGCTTTGCTTATAATGACAGGTACAGGGGTAATCTCTGGTTTATAATGATAGAGGGCTAACCCCTGGTCTGTGTGCAACTGCACATCAACATACGAGTGATCTGCACATCAAAATATGAGTAACCTAGACCAGCAGGCGACAAAAGGCAACAATCGGATGAGGTGACTTAAGCTCCCCTGTAATTAACCCCATAAGCTGCTTTCAAAGCCGTGGTGATCCAGTTCCCCGTAGGGCGCGCCCTGGTCGTTCTGCCTTATTACAGCGTCGTGTTGGTTGTATAGCACGTACCGTACCTGTCGAGATAGACACTCAAGGGGAGATAACCCATTCTGTTTTAGTTTTCCCTAAACACGCAATGTCGTGTTTCATGTCAAATAATGTCTACAGTATGGAGTAGCAGAATAAAAGCTAGATGTTTACAAATGTTTTACTTAGATCTACCAGGTTGCGACAGATCTAAGCTACAATCTCGTACTTTAAAGACTACTCAATTCTAAAATGCTTCTGTACACTTAAAAAAAAAAAACCCACTCTAACAACCATACAAAATGACCTGTAAATTGGTTTTGGCTTGGTTACTGCTTGCCTACGGCCGACTGTCCACAAAGAGAGCCGAAGCTTGAGATAGCCTGGACCCACTAAGCTGACCAGTGATGTTTGCTTGAACCTCACACACACACATGTCCAACTGAGAATAGCCAGTCCTGATTTACCATGCACTCAGCGAAGGCTGCCCTGTTCCCCTTAATTAGCATACAGGCTGATCGAGTTCATTAAAAAAAACACCGCCTTCTCTTTTAGTTTATTCAGAGGCTCGTAGGTCCAGTGTTACGTTTTTCTTTTACTCTATAGACTAGTAGAGTTATTGTTACTTAACGTGTAATAGTCTTTAGAGGGACATTGTTACCTAACGTATTTTGGTCCATAGACAGTTACTTTTTGTGTGTTAATGAACTTAGCTAGACAATAGTGTGGTATGTTTAAGGTTGGTTACCTGGTACTTTACTGCAACTTGTCTCACTCCCCCCCCCCCCCCCCGTCAGTTGTTAAAAATAAATGCGTGGCTTGTGTGTGTCCATCGATCGTCTCCCTCACGAGTGTATGTAATTATATGAATCTCGAGATCAGAATAGACTTAATGTCTGACTTTAAAACAGTGCTGCAGCAAACTGTAAGCTTTGTCACTTGTGAAAACGTTGGCTTTTTTTTATTTTTTTAGAAATAACAGATTTATTCTAGAGATTATCTGCCCCCCCCCAACCCCCACGCACTTTACCCCCCCCCCCCTCCCAACCCCACACACACCTTTGACCCCCCCCCCCCCCCCCCAGCGCTACACACCTTTCCCCCTGCCCTCCCACCTCCAATCACCTGGGCCTGTACACCTTCAGCTTGAAACAATCGCCCTGCATGTCAACCCCGCCCTGTTCTACCTGTCCGTTGTCAGCATGCCGCGATTAGCCCGGGGCTTTGATCTCTCCCCTTCCCCACACCACATACATACAGATGTATCTAGGTGTGTTCTAACTAGTCCTACCCACACCAGGGCGGTTAAACTAACCGACCCTACCCACACCAGGGCAGTTAACCTAACCAACCCTCCCCACACCAGGGCGGTTAAACTAACCAACCCTCCCCACACCAGGGCGGTAAAACTAACCAACCCTCCCCACACCAGGGCGGTTAAACTAACCAACCCTCCCCACACTAGGGCGGTTAAACTAACCAACCCTCCCCACACCAGGGCGGTTAAACTAACCAACCCTCCCCACACCAGGGCGGTTAAACTAACCAACCCTCCCCACACCAGGGCGGTTAAACTAACCAACCCTCCCCACACCAGGGCGGTTAAACTAACCAACCCTCCCCACACCAGGGCGGTTAAACTAACCAACCCCTCCCCACACCAGGGCGGTTAAACTAACCAACCCTCCCCACACCAGGGCGGTTAAACTAACCAACCCTACCCACACTAGGGCGGTTAAACTAACCAACCCTCCCCACACCAGGGCGGTTAAACTAACCAACCCTACCCACACTAGGGCGGTTAAACTAACCAACCCTACCCACACCACAGTGGTTAAACTAACCAACCCTACCCACACCAGTGCGGTTAAACTAACCAACCCTACCCACACCAGGGCGGCTATCCAGCCTGCCCCACCCATAGCGTGCACCTACCAGCCGACGCCCACCGTGTGAGCAAATCGTTACATGCTGCACGACTTTGTCGCTTCAGGTCAGCCAACATCACGTCAACACAAATAATGACAGGTGAACACAAATCTATAGGCGATCGATACATTGTTTAGCCTAACATCCCATCATTTTCTTCCCCATCCCGTGGTTTTTATCTTTGAAAATAGCAGGTCTTGGTTGATATTAGGGCGCCGGTTAATATTTAAACCCTATGCATTTTTAAAATACCTTACTGTATTGTATGTGGGAAAAGTGGTATCGAAATCTTCTTGATATTCGATGTATTACTGTAATCTGATACAGCATGTATTCATGTTTCTTTACACATCATCTATATAGCATAATAGCTTCAAATAACTTGTAAACTGGTTTTGTTTCTTTTCAAACCACCTGTATAAGAAATACACAAGGTACCAGAACTTAAATGCACTAGCCTGCTATTATTTCTCATTGTGTTTTTCATTTCCCCCAGACACGACAGGCTCGATGACCCGTCTCCTGTACACGCCGCACCGTGGTGCTGACCTCCGCACCCCCAGCACCACCGGCTTCATCAGCCGCAGCACCAGCAGCACCAGCAGCCCCAGCCTGCAGGGCTTCTACCTCAGCAAGAACAACAACACCAAAGGTGTCGGCAACCACAACACCACCAAAGGTGTCGGCAACCACAACCACCACCTCCAGCAGACACGCCTGCTCAGCTGCAGCACTAGCAACATCATGTCTTTACGTGAGGCGCCGGGCCGGGCGGGCGCCCCCGTCTCCAGGAGCCACTCGTTTGGCGGCGTCTCTATCGGCTCCAACTGTTCGGGCTCCTCGGCCCCCACAGTGCTGGGCGACACGGTCAAGAGGAGTCCTCGGGTGTACGCCAAGCCACAGCTCGGGTCTAAAGCCTTCAAGAAGTCGCCCAAAGTTCCCAAAGTCCCCAGGCCGAGCAGAGCGTTGATGGTGTTTGACAGCGTCAAGAAGGGCATCGGGTGAGTGACGTATTAATGTTATATTATGGACATTTAAAAACAAATCAACTCTTGTAGCCCTCTCCTCCTTGAAGTCAATAGCCCATAACATCCCAGATGACACAAATAAACTCATCTGTCAGATTGACAAGTTTTTGTATTTTTCCCTACTTTCATCCAGGACTTTTAAAAAAAAATCCTTCTTTAAAATGGTTCCAATGCAATAGGAATACCATTTGTGTGTATGAAAACTCGTTTCTTTCCCTCACCTATTAAACCCCGTTCGGTCACTGCACTAAATGTCTAAGATGAAATGCGTTAAGTGTTAACAGCCGAACCCACTGAAGCGAATGGTTTGTTGTTTCCACGCACGGTGTATTTCACTGGCCATACACACACATAGATCTCTAGATCCCATTTGCAACATACAGCTTGTCTTGTATTGTTTTACGGCATGTATCAGAACCTTCAACCTAACAAAACTTTCAGTTCCCATTTGTACACATTCAGTCTGTTGCTAGTCCTACTAGTACATGCTAGTTTTTTATTTCGCTTTTTCTTTTCTGGGAGAAGTTGGACGTGTAAGGGGGGAAGGGGGTACATTTTCATTCATGTAATGAAGTGGACTCGACAGAAGACGACAGCATAATGACGACTTAAACAGACCCGCGTTAGCTGGCGATTGATTGGTTCACGTAGGCCGCGCTCTGGACGTCATCATCGTCTCGAGAACGAAAGGTCGGAGGTCACACAAATGACAGCCCATTCGTGGCTTCCTCACGCCTACAATTATGTTTTCTGTCACCCACATCCACTGATTACTATAGAAAGTCTTGTGTATTCACCCGTCCCCATAGATCGATCGTCTTTTAGTGCTGACATGTTGGTCAATACTGTGGCTCTCCTCCTACAATTGGTTCTATAGTTCTATCAACACAAGCTAACCTTTTCCCAACTAGTCCCACCCTACTACACACACTCAACACATACACATAGTTCCACTCGCACACTGACTACACTATAGACAGACCAAACCCAAGACATTCACTCATTGATGGACCCGACTACTCATACACCAGATTGATGAGCTGACCTCTGGCTAGCGGCTAGCCTTGTGTCCACACCTATGAAAACTGTCCTCTAAATCCCACATGCCCTGCCGTCATACACCAGATAGATGAGCTGACCTCTGGCTAGCCTTGTGTCCACACCTATGAAAACTGTCCTCTAAATCCCACATGCCCTGCCGTCATACACCAGATAGATGAGCTGACCTCTGGCTAGCCTTGTGTCCACACCTATGAAAACTGTCCTCTAAATCCCACATGCCCTGCCGTCATTAGGCCTAGCAGTCAATTATTTACACTCAGCTCTCGACGACGGCCTTGAGCTCTTTATATGATGAATTAAAGATGGCGCCAATTTTACGACAGTTTGGATTGTTTCTTTAATCTTGCTGTCCTTACTGTTTGATATATATATATATATATATATATATATATATATATATATATATATATATATATATATATATATCATAATATATATATATCATAACGCTGGAAATGGGTCAGTGTTTTTAAAATAGTGTACAAAAAACAGCGGCTGTTTTCATTCTAAATGTCTACGTATTTTATACTGTGACATGTGTAAGACAATGTGACAGTTGACATTTTATTGACAGCCGTGGAAGTGAGCTAAGAAATGTCCGTGACTCTACCGTGACGATGACGTGCGGTTAACCGTCCCAGTACCGTGGGTTATGTTGGCATTATTGTAGGCAAACATCCCCTCTGATGTTAGCGAGGTGCCCGTTGTTTGACGCTCGTCTGTGATGTCTGATTTGTTTTCTTCTCAAATGTTTGTTAGGGGTCAACAGAGCACACACCCCCCCCCCCCCCTCCCAACCACAAACTACTTGTTCTGGACAGTGGCGTGCTTTATATTCTGAATCTATGGACAGCCGACTTTCATTTTCTCGGGTATATTTAGTTTCTCATGAACGTTTGATTTCCGTCTAGTTTCTCATGAACATTTGACTTTCATCTATTTTCTCATGAACATTTGCCTTTCATCTAGTTTCTCATGAGCTTTTGACTTTCGTCTAGTTTCTCATAAACATTTGACTTTCATCTAATTTCTCATGAACATTTGACTTTCATTTAGTTTCACATGAACATTTGACTTTCGTCTAATTTCTCATGAACATTTGACTTTCGTCTAATTTCTCATGAACATTTGACTTTCGTCTAGTTTCTCATTGTGGCCGTGTGCTGGGTGTTGTAAAGCCCTGCCATTGTGGCCGTGTGCTGGGTGTTGTAAAGCCCTGCCATCCAGGTAGCCAAAGCTGCCACCTGTCGCCACACAATGCAGATCGAACAGGTTTGCCGTCTATTCAGGTGACCTGCCTTCGTTTTTGGTGACCTTGACCTTCTAGCCCCGTAAACAAAGCGTTTTGTTTTAATCCAAACTCAATCACTAGCAGAGCAAGACAAACCTGGCACAAACACTGGCTTGTAGATGGGAGTTTGCCACACACCTCTTGTCTTTAGTGAGTGTATGGTCCGTTGTAACATTGTCACTTGTCTTGTCTTATTGTCGGTATGGTCCGTTTTATCCCTGATGCGCAGTGTCGCTAGTCTTGTCTTAATGGGCTGGTGCTGTTTTATTTGCGATACTTCTTTCAACTCACATTTAGTTCACTCAGTATTCGTCCACAATTTTGTACACGTTTTCAACACAGTAGATCTATTCGCCATAGACATTGATAGCGTTTAATGTGACATTGACAAAGCCTTTACCGAGACAGTAGCAAAAGATACTAACTGCTTACAGTAGCACAAGGTACTAACTGCTTACAGTAGCACAAGGTACTAACTGCTTACAGTAGCACAAGGTACTAACTGCTGACAGCAGAACGGGGTATCGATGAGAGTAACACGGGGCATCTGCCAGTAGCACGGAGCATCGTTGACAGTTGCACTGAGCATCGGTAAAGTGGCACTTTGTATCTTTAGCTGGATTGACGTCCACCGTACGGTTAGCTTGCCTTAGTTAGGCCAACTTCGTTTATCCTAGTGGGTTCTCGGTCTAGTGGTTGTAGTTAACGTAGGATGTTATGTACCTACCACTTTATCCCAGTATGTTTTCTGTGTGTTTATTTCTCCCCCTTAGTTAAGTACGCAATAGCCTGTACATAATGAGTTACAGATAGCATGTTACGTAACGCTGTGGCTGTAATTAATGATTGTTGACAGGTCAGGTTTCCACGCTTGTAATGGATCGGATTGTGTGGTCACGTAATCCCCACCCACCCTCCCCCGTCTAGTATGGTCGCGTAATGCCCACCCACCCTGCCCCAATAGTGTGGTCACGTAATGCCCACCCACCCACCCCCGTCTAGTATGGTCGCGTAATGCCCACCCACCCTGCCCCAATAGTGTGGTCACGTAATGCCCACCCACCCACCCCCGTCTAGTATGGTCGCGTAATGCCCACCCACCCTGCCCCAATAGTGTGGTCACTTAATTCCCACCCACCCACCCCCAACCCCTCAGAACTAGTGTGGTCACGTAATCCCCACCCGCCACCCACCCTCCCCCCAACCCCTCAGAACGATTAAGTTTCGATATTAGCTGGTTGGTAAGGGGGTGGGTACAGTTCTTCGATATTTTTGTGGTGGTACCTAAGCTAGTGCTGGTAGTTTTAATGGTGGTAGTTTTAATGCTGGTAGTTTTAATGCTGGTAGTTTTAATGCTGGTAGTTTTAATGCTGGTAGCTCTAGTGGTGGTAGTTTTTGCCTACTTGCTGATGTGTGAAAGCTCGGGTGAAGAGAGTTCATTGACCTGGTCGTCTGCTGGCAGTTCTGTACCACGTAGCGCGTGACGGCGTCCATGTAGTTTTTTTAAAGCCATTATAGCAGCGCCGATAAAAACTGGTTTCAATGAGAGTTGTGTGTTCAGGCTTTGTTACCATGGTTACCTGTCTAGTTTAACCTATTTGCTTCATTTTTTTTAAGCTGTGAATTTCAAAAGAAAATTTTACGCATATTTAAATAGTAGCTTTAAAAAAATAATTATTTTACAGACCTTTAAAAAAAAGTCAATTGTAACGCCATTCCCAATTAATTCATGGAATGAATCATATCTAGATAACATATGGATCAGTTGTAAATTATCTTTTTTTTTTTCCGTTTCACCAGTTGTTTCTGATTGACCTTTTGACCTTGAAGCCCCGCCTTTAATCCGCTTATTGACGTGCTCCAGCTGCAACACGTTTCACGTCAACCCTGTACAACCATATCAAAGTATTTTTACGTACAGAAGATAAAGATAACATGATGGAAATATATGAAAGCGGTTTCTCTTTAGACGCATATTCCTCCTGTGGACAGGGGGCATAACTCGGCATCTTGATGAAACTATACTTAATTGTTCTTTCTCTGTCATACGGTCTTAATCTCCATAAAAAAGAGTTTTTGGGAGTAAGTGGCTTTGATTTGACATTGATGGTTTTCCCTTGTTCCACCTTAAGAAGTTTATGAAGCCTCAAAGAAACGTTTTTTTTTTAAACTGGATATTCAGCGTTGGTCAGGGGAAATAATTGTCTTTCATAATTATCCCCCTTTTTCATTCCTGCTTCTCTGTTTCAGTCTAACATTTATAAGCGCTGTTTTTAATTCTAAAACTATTTATTTAATAAAACATTTTAACACTATTTTGTTTATTGCTAATTATATTTGTTTAAAGTTTGTTCTGAAAGCCTTGGATTTTGTTTACAAGTGTCTGTATTGAAGAATGGGTTAGTTCAGCTCACCACCCCCTTCCCCCATCCCCTAACAATCTGCCACAAGCTGTAATATTGAAGAATGGGTTAGTTTAGCTAACCACCCCCTTCCCCCCTCCCCTAACAATCTGCCACAAGCTGTAATACCCCTGGCACCAAGGCAGCTGGGAACACTTAGACAGATTAAGTGAGATCCCAGAGAGATTAAATGTGGTTATCGTGGAATTAAATGTGGTACTAAGGGAATTAAATGTGATTATAAGGGAATTAAATGTGGTACTAAGGGAATAAAATGTGGTACTAAGGGAATAAAATGTGATTATATATTTGAGATCAATCAATTGGTTCCTCCCTATGGTGGATTTTAAAATACTGAGGCTGTGGATGTGATAGAATACACACTTTGATTGTGTGGCAGAACACTAGAGCCATTGGACAACCACACAATGTTTTACTTACTGTAGTTTAGTTGTAGTTGTAAATGTGTAGGTTAGCAATACATACAAATGAAGCCTTCTGAGATTTTAATACTTATTTTTTAACATATATTGAATAAGCTAACGTAATATATTTAGATTACTGGTACCTTAAGATGACCAACACTGAACTTAATGTTTAGATATTCCCAGCTAATATTATTATTATTATTTTGTTTTTCAGGGAGTTTATTCAGGCAACCCATGAAGATATTGCACAGCTGATGGCAAGTGAAAGTGGGACCTCTACAGCACAGGTGTGTAGACAGGCTAGGGACAGGACACAGATATTTAGTCCATTGTTGATGGGTGGGGTGTAGGTTGCTAGTGGCTACACTAAGTCCATAGCTTCAAGTACTAAACTAGTGGTGATGTATTTTGTAGGGTAAACTTTTGCTTCATATACTAGTGGTAGAGAGTAACTGGCTTTGTGTACTAAATAGGTGTTGGGATAATCAATCTTTGCTTCCACTGTCTAAAAGAGAAATATTTTCATCTTTAATCTGTTCTTTCAAGGAAATACCTCCCCCTGCTGTTAATTCTTTTTAATTAAGAAAATTTGCTTTTAATTCTAATCAACTTACACCTGCTTTAAAAAAAATAATAATGATTGTATTCAATAAATTGTATGTCAGAACAGTTAGTAAATTAGTAATGTTTTAATTGTATTATTTAATAAAACATCTCAAATTGTAAGATAGTATTTTACCAGTAACATATCACAGCAGCACCTTGTAACAGAAAGGTGATCTGTTGATGCAGGTAACATTTTCTTGCTCAATCCCAACCTGCGGACTGCCACATTTCTTGTCCGTGCCTGGTTTAAAAACTGGCTTATCAGAATAAAGATAATAATCCATTTTGTGATTGATGTTGTGTCAAATGGGATGCATTCCATTTTTGTTGGCACAAGCCAGGGAAACAAGCAATGACAATTGTTTTCTTGCCATCCCTAGGGAAAAGTACACGAAACAGATAAGGTAAATAACTCCCAGCATGCTGTGTAGAGCCCCTGAGTTGTCTTCACTTGCTGTTGTAACATTCACTGAGTGTTGATACTTTGTTGCACTAAAAATGTCTTGAGTGTTTCCTAAAGGCTTACACAAACTGAAAATATGAGACCGCTGTAGTGAGGTGTATTTTTGTAACATTTTTAGTTGAACCAGTGGCTTTCTATTGATTTACCAGCTATCCATTTTTTTTTTAAATCATCATTTAATCACATAAATATTTTACTCCTTTTTTTAAAAACTGCTTTTTGGTCATTGGTTTTATAGCTATAAATTAATAAATTGTAAACAAATTTGTTGCATGTTACTTCAGTCAAACAGAAATATTGGTTTTTAAATATTTTTTTAGATCAGCTTTTTAAAAAAAAGTATTTGCTGTTGTAGGCTTATATCATATATGAAAAGTGTCTTTGTAATATAAGGAAAAGGTTGATTTTGCCTTCCTGGTTATATCAGTGTTTATATTTTAACCATGTGAGTTTGCACCCTGTACTAACTGTAACACAGTATTTATCCCACATATCGCATGCAGTTTTGTATTTTCCACACACACATTCATATAATTATTTTATCAATATTCAAACCATTTTAATGAAGATAAAATTTAATACTTTTTAAACTGTTAATCCAGCATTGTCTGTAGGCAAGTATTTTATTGCATAAACATTATGATTAATCTGTTCAGTAGGTCCACACCCCCTCCCACTCCAGGCCAAACTAAATTTATACGTGGAATACTAAAGTTGTTAATACTCACCCCAAACTCTTTAGAAATAAAAATAAAATTTGTATCTAAATGTTAAAGCTTATATGTACTTGTATTTTTGTGTTTCTTCTTGTATCAAACTGTCCTATCTTTTAATAAATGGACATAAATTTGTCTCACTGTTCACTTGATGGACCAACTTTTTTGTCTACAGCAAATCAAAGCAGCTGAGCGTTATTTGAAGAGGTTAGAATTTCATTTGGCTAAAATTGATGAGCTCCATGACTGCTATGTCTTGAACCAGCAGCTGAGAGAAGGTGAGTTAGTGTGAAGTTGTGTGAAAGTGAGTTTGTGTGAAGGTGAGTTGTGTGAAGTTGTGTGAAAGTGAGTTTGTGTGAAGGTGACTTGTGTGAAGTTGTGTGAAAGTGAGTTTGTGTGAAGGTGACTTGTGTGAAGTTGTGTGAAGGTGACTTGTTTGAAGTTGTGTGAAAGTGAGTTTGTGTGAAGGTGACTTGTGTGAAGTTGTGTGAAAGTGAGTTTGTGTGAAGGTGACTTGTTTGAAGTTGTGTGAAAGTGAGTTAGCATGAAGGTGAGTTAGTGTGAAGTTGTGTGAAAGTGAGTTTGTGTGAAGGTGACTTGTGTGAAGTTGTGTGAAAGTGAGTTAGCATGAAGGTGAGTTAGTGTGAAGTTGTGTGAAAGTGAGTTTGCGTGAAGTTGCATTAAGGTTAAGAACCACCTGATTAATAAAAGTAACTATGAACCTTAAAATGTTCAGTACTATCTCAGTTAAAGCTGTTAAACTTACTGTACCATTCCATTTACCACTGTAGCATTTGTTTCCATGATAAACTTGCCGTACCATCCGTTACAAATGTAGCATTCATTTACATGATTTACATCTTGTAATGACCAGGTGCCAAGAACATGGCACGGGCTTACAGCGCTACAACCTCACAGAGCCGGAAAGATTCTCTGGCTAATGTCAAATATGGTTACAAGGAATGCTCACAGGTTAGAAGAGTTGTCTCCCTGCTCATAACCAAGTGTTTTATCTTAGTTGACCTTAAATTACCACAGGTTAGAAGAGTTGTCTCCCTGCTCATAACCAAGTGTTTTATCTTAGTTAGTTGACCTTAAATTACCACAGGTTAGAAGAGTTGTCTCCCTGCTCATAACCAAGTGTTTTATCTTAGTTAGTTGACCTTAAATTACCACAGGTTAGAAGAGTTGTCTCCCTGCTCATAACCAAGTGTTTTATCTTAGTTAGTTGACCTTAAATTACCACAGGTTAGAAGAGTTGTCTCCCTACTCATAACCAAATGTTTTATCTTATTTAGTTGACCATAAATTAACACGGGTCAGAAGAGTTGTCCCCCCTTCCCCTGAACCCAACAGTTATCTTCCCCTAATGCTCATGTTTCACTCTCACAACTTACAGACCATGTGTGCTATTGAAGCTCAGCTGGAAAATATGCTAGGCACATTCAGCTGTAGATTAAAAGGTAAAAATAAATTTTTGGCACACTTAAAGTCAATGTTTTTGTCCTATACTAAACGGTATTATGTTTATGTGGCAGAAGTAGTAAATGTTTATTGTGATAGTTCAGTAGTATGTGTGTATTTGTGTTGCAAGAATTCTGTCACGTTAGTAGTGTATGTTTCTTGCAGAACTCCTGTTACAAAGTTGTTAATTTTGTATGTCTATGTATTAATCAGGAATCCTGTTATATATATGTTATAATGTTAAATGTGTATATTTGTGTTGTAGGAATTCTTTACTTAGATGTTAATGTTGTATGTGTGTTTTGCTAGAATCCTTTAACCTGGATTTTAATGTTGTATGTATATGTGTGTTTCAGGAATCATGTACCGTGGATGTTAATGTTGTATGTATATGTGTGTTGGCAGGAATTGCAGGATTTGCCCGGCTGGTCCCTGGAGATGTGTTTGAAGTGGTGATCAAACACGGAGCACAGAAGTGGAAGACGAAGGGGCGGATAGAGAAGAACAACACACAGAGGTGGGACACACCTGACTTCACCTTCAAGTCTTTGGTTGGGGAGACTCTCAGCATTAAGGTATGGGCACTGTTATCTCAGCATTAAGGTATGGGCACTGTTATCTCAGCATTAAGGTATGGGCACTGTTATCTCAGCATTAAGGTATGGGCACTGTTATCTCAGCATTAAGGTATGGGCACTGTTATCTCAGCACTAAGGTATGGGCACTGTTATCTCAGCATTAAGGTATGGGCACTGTTATCTCAGCATTAAGGTATGGGCACTGTTATCTCAGCATTAAGGTATGGGCACTGTTATCTCAGCATTAAGGTATGGGCACTTTTTAAAAATGATGAGTAATGTTTTTCCTCTCTATTAAATGATATTACTTAACCAACGTTATAAAACTTTACAAGATAATTATGTCCAATTTTGAAAAGTCTTTCTTGTACTCAAATATGTACAAAGTTTAATTGCTGCTTGAAAGATTATTTTTTTTTAAATAGTTACTATGCATTAATGTTTGTAAAAGTTTTTTTAAGATTCAAGAAGTAGTTTTATACAAAGTCTGAATTGAAGCAGTCTGTATCTGTTAAAATAGGTAAATAAGTGATTGTGTTTATGTGTGTGTTGCAGGCGTCAGAAGTGAGAGCTTTCAAAAGTGTTTTGCTGGGACAGAAGAACTGTGAGATCTGCCACCCCTCCACCCACGACTCCACCAGCCAAGGTCTTTTCTCCGCCAACCCCCAGCTAATGACAGTCAGTGTCAACGTCCACGGCTCTCTGAAGCTCAGCTTTATCATCACATGGAAGTAAGTCTCGATGGTTTTATCTTGGTGTGGTTCTGCTACAGCTGATAAAACAAATAGTGGTATTGTTTACATTATGATTAAGGCTTGGATATTAAGTCAAAGAGTGAAGTTTATGTTAAGATCAAGGTTAGGTTGTATTAGGTTGTGGTTATTATTATAATTATTGCTGGTTGAAGATATCAAAATGCTTGATAATCAAAACTATGGATGCAGAAGAAAATCTACCAGACCATAATAGAAAAAACAAACGTTTCTAGTATCTCAGCTTGACATGAAAATACAAAACATAGAAAATAAATTAATGCTAATGTATTTTCTATATATTTTTAAAATTAATTTTTTCCAGTCCTCTGGATGGCATGGATGAATCTGTGACATTTTTTGAGCCACCATCAAGAGCCCAGGGCAGAAGGCCCATGTCCTATATAGGAACCAACAGCAGTCCGGTGAGTACTTGCACACATTGCTGAGTTGGGCTGGACTTGTTAAATAAACTTTTCTCTCTTTGGGATCAATACTAATTCATTGACTTAGTATTTTTACCTTTAAGCATTTTTGTTTTTAAATTATTTGTATGCTTTGAGTGAAGTGTACAAAAAGTGTGAATTATTGAATTCATCTGTTCATGCAACTGATTCCGCTAGAATTTATAAGTCTATCAGGTGCAGTAAATGTTGCCAGGCATCATTATTTTTTTTCCCATCGTGCCCAAGACACATGGGGCTTATGAAGTAGAGTTCATCTGTTTCAGAGACCTCAGATTATGAAGGGATAGTGTTGCCAGGCATAATTGCTTATTAGTTTAAATTATCATTTAATTACTAGATTATGCTGATTTTTTTTGTTTACTCTGTGTTCCAGTTTGGAAGCAACTCCGACCTGATGTCTGTGTCAGACAAAAGATTTACCAGTCCTATGCAAAGTCTAAAGCAGCGGGATGACAGTGGCATCTATGGTTCCGCCACCTCCTTGCCCAGTCACATGACCCCCGACTCTCTGAGGCACGCCCACAGTTTGTCTGGCTCCCCCATCATGCATGGCAGGGACCCCTCCCTGACCCCTGACCTCCACACGGGTCGCCTGCGTCCCCACAGTGTTATAGCATCAGATGTGAGGAGCGTGAGGTCCCAGCCCTCACACCCCACATCATCAGCGAGAGATTTTAACAGCTCCAGGCCCCACAGCACTTACATATCATCCCAGTCTACACAGGTACGTGGCTTTAGAGTTTGATGCTATATTAACCCTCTCTGGTCTGTCCTGTAATGGCATTATTATACTGGTGTACATCTCTCTGTCAAGTAGATATTGGTTGATATTTTGAATTTATTTAATTTAAACTTGTTCAAGAATTATATCAATTACATTTTTCTACAAAACTATTAAAAGCATGATAAATTGCTGCTACACACAAATTACTTCAAATACAGAAAAACAGAATTTTTTAAATTTTTGTTTATTTTTTAATCAATTTTTAATTGTTAGGTTTTTTTTATTGCTACATAACCATATTTAAAAACAACTTTTTGCCCTAAAATACTTAAATGCAAAACGAATAATTTCTTCAACTATTATTTCTATTGTTTTGTTCACCATAATTACATTTTTTAAAATCCAGCAACCAGATGGAGGTGCAGCAAGCACTTCTTCATCCTCGTCCTCGTCCATCTACCTGTCCCAGACAGCTCTGTCCACATCCAGTGTCCCCCACATCCCAGAGGTGACCCAGGCGATGGTGCCCGGGGTCATGATCCACGGGGAGATGGTACCTTATGACGGGAGCCTGACAGTGGAGGAGGCCTTGGGCAGCCTGATGACCACACTGGAAGATTTTCTTGGACATTATACTGAGCTGCAGAAACTGGAGGAGGTGGTGCCAGTTATAGAGGCGTTGATAAGGGTAAGTTTATGTAATAGTGGCATTTATAGAGGCATTAATGCGGGTAAGCGCATGTGGTAGTGTCAGTTATAGAGTCATTGATACGGGTAAGTTTATGTAATAGTGGCAGTTATAGAGGCCTTGATATGGGTAAGTGCATGTGGTAGTAGGCTATTGAGGTGTTGATACGGGTAAGTGCATGTGGTAGTAGGCTATTGAGGTGTTGATACGGGTAAGTGCATGTGGTAGTAGGCTATTGAGGTGTTGATACGGGTAAGTGCATGTGGTAGTAGGCTATTGAGGTGTTGATACGGGTAAGTGCATGTGGTAGTAGGCTATTGAGGTGTTGATACGGGTAAGTGCATGTGGTAGTAGGCTATTGAGGTGTTGATACGGGTAAGTGCATGTGGTAGTAGGCTATTGAGGTGTTGATATGGGTACATATAATAGTGGCAGTTATAGAGGCGTTGATACGGGTAAGTGAGTGTGGTAGTGGGCTATTGAGGTGTTGATACTGGTATGTGCACATAATAGTGGTAGTTATAGAGGCATTGATATGGGTATGTGCACGTAAAAGTGGGTTATGTCCAAAGTCTCTTTCTCTTAGCCTTTGTTTAATAGTGAAAAAAAAGCAGGGTGGGGGATTTTACCATAACGAATATTCACATAGTATAAGTTACCTAATTTTGTATGTTATTACACTACAACTGCAATCCTTCCTTATATTTATATAGAAGCCATCAGCAACCAGCTCCAGGTCCTCTAGCATGAGTGTGTCAATAGACTGCGCCATAGAGGAGGCGTTTGAGTTCCTCAACACAGAGGAAGCACTTGAGGACCTCGAGGAGGAAGATGAGGAAGAGAAGAAAGAGAAGGAACCAGATAGAAAGTAGGTCAAGTGAAATGTTTGTGACATGGTCACAGTTTGTTGGTTTATGTGAGCGTATGTTTTAGAAGGAGCGAGTTTGAGCCTTGCTTATATTTTAAGTTGAATAAAGTTCAATGTGCACCTAACAGTGCTGATGTTTGTATACCAGAGACAAGTCCCTGTCCACCATTGAGGAGATCATGATGAGTCCTGAGTCCACGGCCAAAACTGCTGACTCTGGGATTGAGTCTCTGGCCAAGCGCCTGCAGGAAGACACACAGCTGGGCTCCAGCATGGGATCCAGCCCGGTGCCGCCGTCAAGTGGCAACGAGCAAGTGGACCAGGCTCTCGTCTTTCACCTTACATACTGTGATAAGCTGTTAGAGGTAATTGATCTTACCTGTAGTTTGTCTTTCACCTTACATACTGTGATAAGCTGTTAGAGGTAATTGATCTTACCTGTAGTTTGTCTTTCACCTTACATACTGTGATAAGCTGTTAGAGGTAATTGATCTTACCTGTAGTTTGTCTTTCACCTTACATACTGTGATAAGCTGTTAGAGGTAATTGATCTTACCTGTAGTTTGTCTTTCACCTTACATACTGTGATAAGTTGTTAGAGGTAATTGATCTTACCTGTAGTTTGTCTTTCACCTTACATACTGTGATAAGCTATTAGAGGTAATTGATCTTACCTGTAGTTTGTCTTTCACCTTACATACTGTGATAAGCTGTTAGAGGTAATTGATCTTACCTGTAGTTACCTGTAGTTTGTCTTTCACCTTACATACTGTGTTAAGCTGGTACTTACATGTAAATTAGATATTGTGGCTTTTATTTTAAAGAATTTTTAAATTTTATAAAACTAAGAACATGCAGTCAACTCAAGAAATAGTTATTTGTTATGTGGTGTTATTTGTCTGTTTGATTAATGTATAATAATTGTTTCCTCTAAAGAACCTAGGCAACTATGGGCCATTGAAGTGCCGAGAGTTTTATGCATTGGATCGTCTACAAAAGCAGGCCATTATCTTAGAGATTTTAGTCACCCTTGCTAAAGCTGGTCCAGAAATAGATTTACACGCTGGTAAGTTTTTCCTTCAACTGTTGATTTATTTATGTGATGTCTGATGATCTCCCCTGACTAATAATCTCCCTTGTTCAGTGCTAATGGAGGAGAGTGTGGACAAGCTGGTGAGAGAGTTGTGGGTCCTGTGTGTGGACCAGACACCACTCTATGTCCACCCAGAGAAGATTGTCTCAGTGCTGGAGAGCAAGTACGGCCCTAAGATAGCCGAGCACTACGACATCAAACCAACCAGAGGTCAGTCCAGCTTAAACTTTATCTTTACTAGAACATTTGTTGCCTAGATTTGTAAGCAGTTGTCAGCCCTGTAGTTGTTGTAGAACATTAAAGTTCATTCCTCTTCAACTAGTTACCTTAGTTGTTGGAACTTTTGTTGCCAACATTTGTATATAACTGACAGTTCTGTACAAGAAGTACAATTGACCTCTTGACCCTGGCATTTGTTTGACCTGATTCCTTGGTTCCAGTGTTTCACCAGCTGATGGCCCGCCTCCTGGATGTCCCCGCCTACCTGCCTGAGATTGGCAGGACATCAATCATCACTTTACACCAGTTCATGTTGTACTTCAAGGACGGGGAAGGTTTAAACAAAATGGAAGGCATTGCAGAAGAATGTGAGTTCACTTTTTATCTCTGTCTCTTGATTCTGATTTTACTTGTAAAGTGGTTGGTGTAAATAAAAAACCTTTAAAAAGTTACCCATGGGGCAAATGAAGTACTTGTTGCTGTGACCTCAGCATATTAACAAATATACACTATTCCTAGCTGCCTTTACTTTCCCTAGCATGAGTCATTTGCACATAATAGTTGGGTTTACTAAAGGATGTCCTATAGTTAGTTTGACTTAAGGATGTCCTATTTGCTTAAGGCAAAAGTTGGGTTTACTTAAGGATGTCCTATTTGCTTAAGGCCTGGATACGAACTTTTAGCTGGTGATAGCCCTACCACACAGCCAAGCCATCCTCAATGAAGAAAACCCTATGGTGCCTAATCAAATGGAGGGTGTCATTAAAAAAAATATTTTGTATTTCCAGTGAGGCTGATGGATCGCCTGAACTCTGGAACTGCTGACACTGTCATCAAAGCAATACTGACACTAAGAGAGGAGCTGCCACCCCCCACATGTCTGAAGATGCTCAGCAAACTTCTGGCCAGCGGCAGCAAGGAGACCCAGCAATCTGCAGCTTCATATCTACGCATCATAAACAGAGAGAAATCAAAACGAGACAAGGTACATTGCTTTACTTCATAGATGGAGCTCTATTTGTATTGTTATTAAATGGAAATGCCATTCAAACAATCCATATATAGAAGCTCTTTTGTGTGAAAGCTTAGGTATATATAGTTTATACAGGGATGGTTTTTCTTTCACTTATGAGCCAAATACTTTCTCCCTTGTAAAAATGTAACATCACTGCTAAAATTAAATAATATCAATAGTTTATTTACAAAATACAATAAACATCTATTTCTAAAATGAATTCAAATTTAGCCCTATATTTAACTTCTATCTAACTACTTGACTATAACCTCCTACAAGACAATCTCCTGTTCAACTGATTTCTGATGCTATTGCTGCTCAACTGGTCATCTCTCTTCTCATTGGTCAAGCTATTTCATTGGTTGCTGCTTACTGACCAATGGCTTCCTACTTAAACTAATCTGTCTTCTACATTGCCCTATATTGTTTAATTTAGTCATCAACAAACTCCATAAATCTAATAGAATTCTGTATGAAGATAATACAAGGCACTTAACAGTAATAAAGACCCAATCAGAATCTTCTCAAAATGTACATGTCCTAAGAGTGTTTCTTTTCTTAAGGGTTAAAGTTCAAACTCAAATGATTGCATTGTGTTGACATGTAGCAGAGATCAGTACAAATAGGGGACTGAATTGTATGAAATATTTTCCTTGTAAAATGTGTGTGTGGAAGTGCCCTAACAAACACAAAGGAATGTTATGTAACACTGAAATATTTCCCCTCCTTCCATCAGGTGTTTGAGTTCTGTGGTCCCATTCCCAGCATCCTCTAGCTGCAAACATTGACCTTTCTCGATTTGCACCTCTGTGTTATTGTCTTGGTACACAACTTTTGTTCTCTGTTATTGTATCTTCATCAATGAATCAGCTGTTATCTTCATAATTTTTTTTCTTCATTCATTCTCCTGTGAGCAAACATTTGTTAACAAATATCTTATTTTTGTTTTATGAATACCTGGTTAATAGTAGTTAACCTCATATATCTGATGTTTTCCCACAATCACCTTCAAATAATCATCAATAATGGGTACCTCACATATCTGATGTTTTACCGCAATCACCTCACAATTTTGGGTGCCTCAAATATCTGACACTTTACCACAATCAAATTTCAAATATTGGGTACTTCAAATATCTGATGTTTTCCCACAATGAACTTCAAATATTGGGTACCTCACATATCTGTTTTACAACAATCAACTTTCAAATATTGAGTACTTCAAATATCTGATGTTTTCCCACAATGAACTTCAAATATTGGGTACTTCAAATATCTGATGTTTTCCCACAATCAACTTTCAGGCTATGGTTATCTTAGTTGAAGGATTGGAGGATCACATAGCAGAAGTCAGAGCTGGATGCTGTGCTGCTTTATCAATCCTTGAGGTAAATCTAGCTGACACTTCATACTATACTTCACAACTAGCTACATATATGAATCAAATGTTAGGAATTATGTTTAGGATATAAAAAAAAATCTTCTTTGATCAGTTTAGTGGAGTGATGATGTAAGAAAATAAAAAGGTGCTAGCTGTAATGGTGGACTTATTACATGCTAAAGTAAAGCTCATGTTTTTTATTCGCAGGCTGAGGAGAGTATAGACCAGCTGGTACATGTCAGCCAATCAGATTCATTGTCAACAGTCAGAAGAAAAGCTAAAGAAGCTTTGTATTCATTAGGTGAGTTTGTGCAGCAGTGTTAAAATTCTCAACTTAAAACAAAGATAGGAAGTAGGTGATAGGAGAGTTATGGGAGAGTTAATGATATGGGTTTAGTGTCTACCAAAGTCAGGGGGGGGAGAGCTGCATAATGCTGATTACATTTTCCCTCGTATGACATGACTACATAAACAGATCAACTCTAGGGCACAAACAGGCGCAGCAGTATAAAAACTCTGGTTCGTGTAGAATTCATACCTGTAGTCATTATTTACCTTTTTTTGTCCTTGACCTTATGGCTTGTGTATGCAGGTGACGCAGGTAGGAAGGCTGTAGAAGAAGCTCAGCTGGGCTCGCAAGGATTCCAGGGTCTACAGATGAGAAAACTTTAGCCAGGAAACACAAGGATTAGCTGCTTTATGTAAATTTGTTTAAACTTGCCTATCCGCAATTAGTAATTAAATATTCATAGTTTCTATTCTCTCTCAATTGTAAAGGTTTTTAACAATTTTTTTTTTAATTCATGTACATTTCCAGTTGATCTTTTTCATGTACATTGTTGCTTTCTGTAAATTAGTTCAACTGTGGCCATTAGCTCAAGTTTCTGATTGTTCTAAGTTTGCAAAATATGAATGAATGAAGCTGTGACTGGACAAACTTGGTTGTGTTTGGCTGTGAAGGAATGTAAGAAACTGTACTCATATCACTGTCATTGTATTTGCTGAACAAACCTATGGTTTGATAGAACACAGGGATTGATTTTTTTGATAATCAGGTTTTTTTTAAATTAAAGATCAATACCACTCTAGTCAGACATTATTTTTACACCAATAGTAGTTTCGATTTCACAGGTACCCTGAGCAAGTCCAAGGTCAGCTATTTTTAATTTTAAGATTTTTTATGAAACACAATTTCTTGACAACACTTTTTGTTTTAGAAGGTGTTGACTCACCCAATATACCTCACAGTTGTGTTAACTGCATTTATCATGTTCTAAACAAATGTGTAAGATTAAAACCTCTGCTATATTCTATTTGTTTTCACACTGTAATCTGTGTTAATAGAGTTAGTCAAATATTTATTCTAGTAAAGCCTAAATGAACAGTCATTGTTCTAACTTCTACTAGTCCCTGACAGTTTTAGAAAAGTGAACTGTGAATTAAATCCCTTATATATTTTGTTGACTAGTCAATCATATCAATGATTAGAAACACTTTTGTACAATTGTAGTCTTTAAAATAATTTTTTTTTACAAAGTCGCAAATCCATGTAGGAGTATTTATATTAATATTCATTTATATATGTGCACATTTTGCTGTATATATACTTTGTCCATTACCATCCAATAGCATTTATTTTAATCCAGTCACTATTGATATGCTGTCTGCTATCGCAAGAATATTTTTTACAAGATTTAACCATGCTGTACAAAAATCAGTTTGTAGCTTGTTTTATTAGGAAACTTCCTCCATTCAGATGTGAGATTAATTTATAATGATTTGTTTAAAAAATAAAAAATAAGCTAAAGATAAATATACTATATATATATATAAATAAATCTGTCATACAGTTAGGTTTCCCTCACAGATGGGGTCTGATAGTTTTGAAATCCACGTCATATTTATTTGTCATATTTATAGAATAAATGCTGCATTATGTGTACAGTTTTGTGGACAAAGTTCCATTGAACAAATATATAAACACAATTTACCTTTGGTGTATATTAAATTCTCGAAACAAAATACTCAAAAACAGAAAATAATAGACATTGATACGTTTTTTAAAAGTTGTACCTCATTTAACCCAATTTTTCAGTTATTTAATTCAGTTAAATATTGTTTTGTACAAAAACAGTCAAGGATATCTTTTTCAATAACTCTAAACAATGTTAGAATGTTATGATTTTTATTGATACAAGTCTATTTTTGTGATTGGCATATCCAGCGCTCTTTCATGATTGTTTCTTTGCTTGAACTGTCCCTCTAGAAGTCTGTGAGTACCAAGGTGTGAACCCTAAAGTGATCTGGGTTATGATATTATTTGATACATTTGCATGATAGAAGACAATGCCCTGTACATATACCTTTACTTTTCAATGGCTAAAACAATTTTGGTGTGTTTGAAAGGCTGAATGTGGGTTTTAGTGTTTGTTATGATGCTGAAACATTTGATGAAGTTTTAATGAACATTTTTAAGATAAGTTATGCTCAATAATTATTATTGGGTAAATTCAGTTTTGTATAAAGTAAATCGTATATGTAAAAATAACATTCAAACATAGTGAATATCACTTGCTTTATCATTACAAAATTAGTTGAATTTTTAATATTTCAGCTGGTTTTAGTACAAATAAATATGCAGCTATGTTTATCTTATTACTTTGTTATCCTTGCATTTTTATTCGAGTTATTTGTATTTGCAAAAAGTTATGTTTGAAATAAACTGGTGTGTAGATTATTCCATGTTTTTAGTAGCCATATTTTCATACAAGATGTTTTCAAACTTCAGTTTTGTAATAGTGTTAGGTAAATTGTTTTTTTATTGTTTAGAGGAAATCCTAAGTATGCTGGTACATTGTGTTGTTAGGAACTTTGTAGTTTACTTTGTCCTCTGGTTCTCAAATCACTAGTCTACCAGTACTACTTACAATTATAACATATAGCAAAAATTCTTTTTGTTTTTTCCAAATATAAATCAAATAATGGAAATAGACATTTTTTGTACAGATTCCTTGCTACATAAATATGCTATATATATATTTCTTTGTTGACTTTGTTTGATATTTATATACCATACTAGAACCAAATCCTGCACAATGTCATGTATGTAAAGGTGGAGTTTTGAGCTCTCAACTGTGATGCATCCTATAAATATAATCCTACACCATAACTTTTCATTGTAGGGATAATTAGAATATTTAGATAATAATAGACATAATCATATTTGCAACAAAAATGTTTCAGTTATGCAAAGGCTTTATTTCATATAATTTAGACAAACATTTTTTTATTTAACAGCCATTAGTTGTTTGTTTTTTTTCATAAAAGAATTTACTATATTGATCTTAACATTTATACATCTGCATTCCATCAATTGAAAAATTTCTATGTAAACAATAATTCATCTCTATTGAATTCGGACTCCTTTCCTAAACATTTAAAATATAAATACATGTTTTTTTTTTAATAAATTTTCTTTTTTTTTTTGACATAAAAAGAAAATCTGAGCTTCCAGGATGTTTAAATGCTCATTGTATTTGTATTGTAGCTTTTAGAGGTTTGCTAATATCTAGGGACAGTTTTTAGACTACACATTGAAAGGCATAGTTTGCATAGCTTTTGGAGAATTGTAACTTATCTAGGTAGATACCAAATTTTGAACATTTTATTTACAATTTGTAATTATCCATTACAATGAAAATGATGTTATTAGAAATAGATATTCCTTTTTTTTTAAAAAATCAAACCTTAAATAGAGGGGTACAAGCTTAAATGAATGTTGTGTACACTTGATTTGCATGATATTTTCCCTTTTTTTTACCTGAATTTTGATTCCTCTTTGGATGCAAACCTAAAGGGGAGACCACTTTCTGTTATGCGATGTGGTTATTACAATAAAATAATTTTACACTAAATTGGTTACTTTCTTTTCATATATATGATATGATCTCTGCACAACTGTTAAATGTAAACTAAATTTATGTTCCATCTTAAATATGAAGAATACATTCTATATTTATTAATATGGACTCTTAACTGTGGATTGGTCTGGTCGTTTTAAAATTTTAAAGCCATAGCTAATTTTTACAAGCTTTTTTTTAACTTGCTTACTCTGTCGTCAGTTTGTCTAGATCGAAACCCCCGGTTCAAAGTTGGCTCGTGGGTCAAGACATGAAAACAATGCAATCTGACATTAAATTTGACTTAATTGGATGCCTAATTAATTTTTTATGAATTAAAATTGACAAAATTAGCAGGCAGTCTTACCCAACAATTCCACACTATCATACACGCATTATCACGTTCATTGGGTGCGCAATGGTTTTTATCCTTATTTCAGTGACACAATGTGAATCTGACAATAGTCCCTGACTAATAATGGTTGGTCTGTTAATTCTATCCAAAAGTTGATCTGAGAAAGCTAAAATTTACTGTCATCTTATCTTGATAATGTCACCTTATTTATACCATGCATATTAGTTTGCTACCTATAAAAGACAAACAAATTGAAGTCAAATTTTTAAAAGGGAATTTCCAATATAAAAATGTGCACATAAAGAAATCTTAGATAGGCCCTATAACTTAAATGATTTTAAATCCCTCATATATTAGGCTTTAGTTGAAAACATAAAAGTTGTGAATCACGGATATTTAATTACAAATTACCATCCATAGTTAGCGTTAAGCTACTAATACAAATTTGAAATTTTAGATGGTAGTAATCTGTTAACATTGTCACAGTTCAGTTGAGGAGATAAGGGATTTTCTGATGATGTTCATACAAGGGAGAATGGGGTTTAACAAAATCACACTGGTACATTTTTTTAAAAATATTTTTTTAAATTATATGCTAACAGGTTGTTTTACTTTTTAAAAACAACTTGGATTAATGAATGTTAACAGTGTTTTTTAAAAATCACTTTTGTATATACTAAGGGAAAAAACTCCATTAATATTTTCGACAAAATTATCCTTGCTTAGTTTCTTCCCCTTTTGAATTTTTAACTTCAAGGGATGGGATGGTCGGCTCAATTATTATGTCATTTTAATGGGTCTGATTCTTTGTTAGGGTGGGGGGATAAATAAAAAATGCGCGTGGTTTATGCAGTATGCCAGCCTTTTAAATGCAGCCCTACTAGAAAATGGTTATTAATTCACAAGTAACTTAAATGACATTCAAGCATGGACAAGAATTCAAACTGTCAACAATAGTAGCTTTATTTTAAAACAAACAGAAACAGCTTATAATATTTACAATTTTTACAGGAAAATAATGCAGTAAATGAGAGATTGGTTCCACCTGTAATATATAATGTTACTCTGTAATATATAATGTCGCAGTTTATTTTATACCGTCAAGCCAGAAGCTCACTCACAACCAATCAACATCTGCATCAAAGAATATGAAAAACACAGAAGTATCATAAAAACATGTGAATCTCAGTTTAGTATTTGGCCGTAGCCCTGTAGTGAATATTGCATGTGTAAATAGTTTTATAATCTTCACAAGCAAACAGCCTGTGGGTTCAAAACCTCCTCATCAATCCAGACTAGTGAAAATAATTTCTTCCAACTGCCAGCATCTGACCATCTAACAAACCAGAGATTGACATCGCTTCTTAACAAATCAACCAGATTTTCAGGCACAGAAAAAGAATAAATTACACACGTAAATTTGGATTTTTTCACAAGGCTTGAATTTTCAGAGTTTAATAAGTGACCTTTTACTTGAAAATGGACAAGCGCCTGACCTGACAGACAGTTTTCTTCTCCCTCAGAATTATTGTACCAGTAAACACAAGGATAGCTTAGCATTAGACCAAACAGACATGGTACATTGAGTTCTTTACATATCTCTATGTTAACTGGACTTCGATAAGAAGCTTCTGTATCACTCAAGTTAGTCAAACACATACTATCGCGAAATGCGGCAAACGTTCTAGTGGTTTGATTTTCTTTACCATCGCCAACCAGTATTGGATATTTTAATGCACTAGATACATCAATATATAAAACTTGAAAGTCACTTTCTGACAATTTCTCACAGAAGCATCCATAAACTATGACATCCATACCAACTGTTGCCACAACTATATTTCTAGAAATCAGGTCTTCAGCCATCAGTTCTGTAATCAGCTCATTCATATCATCACCTGAAACAAGCCATTGGTCAAACAAGCATGATGGCTTTATACCTAGGCTGACCATTTGAATATCTAGGGCTGCTGTTATCCAGTTTTTGCTAGCTTTTTTCCCAAATTTTTGTAACATAATTTGCTTCCATTTGTCCATCATCAGGGATAAACCTTTTTGAGATAAGAAAATGTATTAGAATTAGATCTGTTAGGCCCCTAGGCCTAGATCATAGTTATTGAGTAGTAGATCTAGAATATAGTAATGACAGCGTGCATTATTACAGAACTCTCGAGTGCGTGTACTACTGTTAACTGTACTGTACTAGCCTACAGTAAATGTAGCTATGCTACAGAGTACAGACAGTCTTACTCTAGATCTAGAATTAGACGGGAATCTAGATCTACTAGATCTAGATCTAATAGTAGTTACTTATAGTACTTGATCTAATACGGTAAAACCTTAGTAAAACTAAGGTTTTACAGTAATCTATCGTTTTGGGTACGTAAAATCGCCCGCGGCTAGTAATGTACGAAAAAGTTTTTTTATTGTCAAGGCTTTAATAGAAGTATATTATTGTGATATATTTGTGTCAAATATTATAGATAAATGAATAATAAACCTAAATCAATAGCTAAATATAATTAAATATATCAATATAGGCAAGAAATTAACTTTAAACAGCAGTGTTTGCGAGCAGGATTTGCTATATAAAAATGCTGCCATCTGTAAGTTAGAGTGGCTTCCCCTGAGTCTTGTGCTAAAAGTTTACAATAATAAAATAAACAACATCATACATGGCTGCTATAGTGACTGCTAACTATAAATGTCAAATGAGGGTGGTTGCATCTGTTGGAAACATTGCTAGTCTTCATTTATTACTGAGAAGTTTTAATTCAATTGTTTAAAAACAGGTACATAAATTTTCATAAATGAAACAAGGAAGCATTTTTGTATTTTTTCAAAACAAAAATCCTCCTCAAAATGTGAAATAATTATTAAAATTTATAATTTAAGGAGTCACCTGTTTTTCACATTACTAGTCGCGGGCGATTTTACGTACCTAAAACGATAGATTACCGGTTTGACCTACTAGATTCTAATACTTGTCTAAATTTAAATCTTAAGACCAGGCCTTAGCCTAGAGATCCAGTACAAACATAGATCTAGATCTAGAGATTCTAGTCCTAGACTAGATTTTTCTAGATCTAGATCTAGATGAGATCTACTAGATCTAGAGATCTAGATCTAATTTCAAGTAATTTGGTGCGAAAAGAAAATTCTGCGTGCTACTTCCGGGTGATAGTCGAAATTTCCTTGTATTTAATAACTGACATTTGCTTACGTGTAACTACCGAACTCAACATAAGTTATAAGCTAGATCTAGATTTCTATATCTAGATTCTACATAGTGTAGAATCTAGTTTAGTTCTAAATCTCGAACTTATTAGCGTAAGTAGATCTATACCTGTTAATGACCTTCTTTAATTGTTCCAGGCGTGCATTTCGACAGATAGACGTTCGATCTGGAAGGTCTTACTCTTACTCACTTACTCAGGCCCAGTCTATGAGTCTAAAAGTCTAAGTCTAAGACTCTAAGACAAGAAGACTGAGTCTCTCAGTCTCAACTGGTAGTGTCAGTGTAGTAGATCTAGAATCTAGATTAGATCTAGAGTCTAGGTCAGATCTAGATCTAAGTTACTTACTTAGTATTATACTTGGTGTTAAAGGTAAACATGAGTAGAGTGTGGCTGTAGCTGTAGAGTTACACTCACTCAACTCACTGGTTAGATCTGATCTAGAAATCTAGATCTTAGTGGTTGGTTAGGTTAGGTTATCATGACAACAAAAACAATTTTCTTTTAGCCAGCAAGCAGGGAACAGCTATCTTTATCTACTCTAGATCTATATTTAATCTTTTCTAGCCTATTCATTAAAATAAAATTAGGACATCGAAAGCCAATTGCTTAAAAATCTGAAGATGTGTAGGTAGATCTATTACTAGATCTAGTTGTCTAGTAGTAGTAGTCTTAGGCATAATTATATAATATATAATAATATATATATAACTAGTCTATTAGGCCTATAAATTATTAGATCTACAGTCTACTACTGGACTGGACCAATAGTAAACAGTAGTAGATCTAGTAAATTAGTCATTAATCTTCAGTGAGGCCTAGTCACTTGCTAGACTCTTACTATTTCAATTTCAAATCTGGGAATCTATTCCAGGACTAGGATCAATTCTCCAAGTAGTAGTCTCCATCTAAAAGTTTAAAGTAGACACTGTTATCACTACTATCTAGGTCTAGCTAGCGCTTCTAGTAAAGATTCCGGAACATAAAAAACTACAAAGGAGTAGCCTGAATCTCTAGAAAAAAAACTAGATGAGTTAGCCTATTCTTATTACTATATAATATATTATATATTAGTTAGGCCTACATCACTAATTGGTTAAATTGGCACTCATTATTTGGGCTACAATGTTGGCCTAGATTCTAGAATGAACTCTAACTGAAGGGGAGATTAAATAAATATTTTAGATGATCTTTTGCAGTATTATTACTCTTTTAAGTTAAACAAGTTTAAATACTTAAGTTATTATTTAAGTATTTAAAGTTTGAAAATATTATTGTTATCCTAAGCAAAAAAGTCTTAGTCTATTTTTTTTTTTACTTTCCATCAATATCTATTATCTACAGATGACCATGCAGTCTCTACTGGTAGTTGTTGTGTGTTTAGCTGTTGCATTAACTTCAGCCAAACCTGTTAGGAGAGGTCCACCTCCACCTCAGCCGGTTGAAGAAGGTTCACCAGATGATGTACGTAATATTTAAGTAGATTAAGTTGAAACTAATAAAGTATTTATTTATCTTAACTTTAACTATGGCACATAGGACTAAGCAAAATAAATAAAAATTACTTGCAATTTCTGGCCAAGTCAAAAAAAGTTTGACTAGTGAATATTTAATAGTTTTATAGCATAGTTTGTTGAAATACCAATTCTAGGGGTTAAAGAGACAAATGTTAATTAGATAAATGTGTGCTTTTAACAGAAATCAACAGGGTTAGCCTATGACAGTTACCTAAGGCAAGTTGTTGAAGTTCTAGAAAGTGATCCAGGTTTTAGGAAAAAGCTTGAAACTGCTAATGTTTCAGATATTAAGGTTTGTTTCATTTTTTATTTTCTTGTAAATCCATATTCACATTTTTTCTATTGCATGGCAATTTTTTCTATAAACATGGCACTAAATTTAACTTGTTTCTACCAAAAATGAATTTACTCATCTACTCTATATTTATGTTTAAATACCTTTTTTTCAAGTTCTTTCCATTACTATTTTTTATCAGAGTGGCAAAATAGCAATGTATTTAGAGATGGTCAATCACACAATTCGCACTACCTTAGATGAGATCAAACGACGTGAAATAACCAGGTTGCAGGAGTTGGCACGGCTGCAATTACAGGGCATATCTGGTACGGAAGTGATTATGAATGCAATTTATGGAGGTAACATCGTTAAACTTATGGCATGAACAAGCTTCCTGCAATTGTGTTTCTTGTTTTTTTCCCCATATTTTCAGTAGGTTATCTTAGTGGCTTGCTAGTATCACTACATCATTGGATTGCACCAGCTTTTTGTTGTTATTTTATAAACTACAACAAGCTCTACATTTTTCCTTTTGAAAGATCTATTTTCGTTAAGCTTACATTAAAATATTTAATTTAATTGAGCTTGTTAATGAATTAATTATTACTACATTTAACTGAAAAGAAATCATTACTAGAATAGGATGAATACTAGCATATTCAGTATTCTGTAATCTAACCCTTATTTTCAATGCACAGTATTATATAGTAATACTTTTTGGAATATATAGCTTTAAATTTTGTGCTAACAAGATAAAACACAGGTTTATTTTTGTATGTTTTTATATAATTACATTAAAGCCTGGGAAATCTTTCCATTTTATTCAGAATCAATGTAACTTCAAATTATTTATACATATTTTTCTCTAAAAAAATTATTAAAAATGAGTATGCTATTTTGTTTAACCTTAAAATGCTTAAAATGCTATTTCAATCAGATGACTTCTTATAACTAGAAATCATAAATTCTTTACAATATTCATCTTTTTCCACCTGTGTGATATATGAATATCTAGACAAATAGTCTTAATCATTTTTCCTGCCTACCCTTTAAGTTTACCAAGACTTGAGATTGTGTTGAGGTATTATTTGACTTTTTTTTAAAAATTCAATTGTTGCCAAATTTTTAATTAACTTCAAATTTTTTGTTTGTCTTACTAAAAAACAACTAACTTCTATGTTGTTAATAGCACAGTTTCACACAAAATGTAAATAACATCTTATACAGCTTTTGTGTGTTTTGCTTATAATATATATATATATATATATATATATATATATATATATATATATATATATATATATATATATATATATATATATATATATATATATATATATATATATATATATATATATATATATATAGATATATATATATATATATATATATATATATATATATAGATATATAGATATATATATATATATATATATATATATATATATAGATATATATATATATATAAGTTTCATGTTTATTTCAAACAAACCAAACTTTTAGAAAAGTCAAGAAATAGATATTTTAGTAAAAAAACTATATAAAAAGTCAGTCTGGCATAAAAGCAGAGTAAAACATTTACTTTATGGTCTACTTTCTTTTGTAGTTGCCCAAGGTTTCAATAAACAATTCATGTGTAGTTCTAAGAACAAAGTTAATTTTTTTATTACTAAAGTTATTTAAGTTGATCAGATTGATGTGGTCAATGTTTTACAAAGAGTAAAAATTCTTTTATATTAAATTTCAGATCCAAGAGGGCTTAGAAACTTTGAAATTCCAACCCATTTAGATATTAAGAATCCTCATAGTTTTGAGATGAAAGATTTAGAGAACCTCATTAAAAAGGTTTAATGATTTTTATATATTTTCATCTGATATTCTAAACTTATTCATGTTATAAATATTGTGACATTGTTATAGTTTTTTTATTTTCTTAAACCACAGAAACATTTTTCTGTTATGCATTTAAATAAATTTTAATACAAACAGTAAAAGAAAAATGAATGCATGCAGAGTTCCAGCCCATGCAGAGATAATCAGAATATTCAATATGCTTTTAATTACTAGACTACAACAGATCTTGAAGAGTTAGACAAAAAGAGGCGTGAGGAGTTTAAAGAATATGAGATGGAAAAAGAATTTGAAAAAAAAGAACACCTGAAGGAATTAGATGAACAAGCAAGAAAAAAAGAAGAAGAACGACTTGAGGAATTAAAGAAAAAACATGCCGAACATCCCAAAGTAAACCACCCAGTAAGTTGTGAGTTTTTACAAAAAAAATATAGAAAATCTATATACAAACACATATTATTTAATCAAAAAGACAAAAATAAATCTATGTGTGATTAATGTGAGGGTTGAACAGATAAGTAAATTAAAGGGTGTGCATATTCTTTACACAAATTTAGCATTCAATTTTGTGTTCATTTAATGGATTTTGTATTTTCTTCAGGGTAGCAAAGATCAATTTGAAGAAGTTTGGGATAAAGTTGATCATCTTGAAGATCAGGATTTTAACCCTAGAACATTTTTTTTCAAGCATGGTAACAATTTGTATATTTAATACCTTAGTATAGGGTAATGACAAGACTTTCAGATAACTTAGATTGGCGCTAATGTTTTTGAAATAAAGTTAATTTTAAACTTTTCTAACTTTGTTTCTAGATATCAATGGTGACATGGAATGGAGTATTGATGAAGTAGATGCAGTTTTACAGCTTGAGGTATTATGTTTTTACAATTATAATATTTAGTGAATTTTAAAATTTATTTTTTAATAATACGCTAAGTTTCAAGTAAAGAGCTTCTGCTATGCAAGGTTGTGTTGTTTTTTTACTTGCCAATGTTCACCTCTAATTAGTCTTGAAAATTTCTGGACAGAAAGAGCTAAAATGAAATAATCCCAAACAAAATTTGTTTTACATATTGCCTGTACACTATTTTGTTTTAAAATTTGTTTTACATATTGCCTGTATACTATTTTGTTTTGACATATGTGGCAACAAATTTTAGTTCTCATTTACATTTAGTGCATTGTTTTTGTTTTCCCCAGCTTGATAAAGTGTATGATTCTAAAAACTCACCAGACGAGGATGACCCCATAGAGAGACAAGAAGAAATGAACAGAATGAGAGAACATGTTTTTAAAGAGATTGATAAGGACAAAAACTTTAGAATCACATTGCAGGAATTTATAGATTATACAGGTTCACTAGGAGAGAATGAAAAGTTTAAGGAAGATGAAGGGTGGAAGGTAAGTGGTTGAATGCAATACATGTACACTTTTATTTTACCATTTTCCTGATGAAAAAAATTGCCTGTATTTAGACTACTCTGTAAAGTACAACAAAGATGTGCTACACTTGAGTCAGGTTGAGAAAATGGCACAGGACAGAGAACACTGGTTGGTGGACCCTACCCCAGCAGGGGTGATGGGCAGTGATGATAATAACTGAAAAGTACTCAGAATTTAAAAAAAAAAAAAAGTAGAAAGCATTCTATGGTGTATAGTGGGATCATGTCTATTTTTCTAGTATGTCTACACATACAGCACCACAAATTTCTCATTTTGTAAAAATCAAGAGCTAATATTAGTACTAATTAATACATTAATAATACACATTTTATTTTTTACTAGACTGTTGATGAAGAACCAGTTTTCTCTGAAGAAGATTACCAGAGGTTTTTAAGGGAGCATCATGCCCAGCCCGGTGTTATACAGGTTGATACAATTTCTTCCTCATGTCTACTTGAAGTCTGTAGGAAATGTGCTACTTGTTCCTATCATGGTCTTGTATGTGCTCTATTATGGCTAACCAGTACCCCCTTGTTTTGTTTCAGCCTCCTCAGGATTTACAGTTTCAGCCTGAACAGCATCATGAACAGAACCAACAATTTCAGCAGCAGCAGTTTCAACAACAGCAGTTTCAGCAGCAACAGCAGCAGTTTCAACAACAGCAGCAGCAGTTCCAACACCAACCAGGGCAACCACCAGCCAGTCACCAACAAGCAGGGCAACCACCCTCAGATCACCAGCAACCAGGGCAGCCTCCTGCAGGTCAAGCTCCATCACAACAGCAGCCAGTTGATCAAAAGTTAAGTGAACAGGAACTCCAGCAAAAAATTTTAGAACTCCAGAATCAACTTAATCAACAAAAACATCCTCCAGTTGTAAGTTTTTTTCTTTACATTGTATGGTTGTTGTTTGTTAGTTATTAGCCATTTTAAAATATTATGTTGTATTTAGAATTGAGAATTAATTAAAAGTTGTTCTAAAATTTTGCCATATTAATGATATTGGGCTTTAGATATTGATGGGTTATTTTTTTTCCTTCAAATTTTACAGTAATTAGTGATGTTGGAATATTTGGATGATGACTACCTGAGGATATTCTGCAGAATCAGCACATCTAAAACAAAAGATTGAATGTTGAAAGCTTTGATGTTTCTGGTTTTTTTTTTAAATTGTATTTTCTCTTTTCTGTCTGAATCATTGTGAAATAGTATAGCTAGAAGTTCCTACTTTATATTTCTTTTTATAAAATGCTGAAATATAACTTTTGAACCTAGATACAATCTGTTTTTTTTTTTAAATGTTTTTTTTCCCCGACTGCATTTATTAATTCATTATGAACTTTTGTGTCAGATCTCCCTAGTCCTTCTAAATAGATGAAAATATTCCTTTCTAAAACAACAGTTACCATGACATGTAATATTATTTTTTTATGATCACGGTAGATTTTTTTTTATCCTGAAAACTCTTCTGTTAAAAAGAATAATTTTATATCGCGTGTAAAGATCTTTATAAAGTGTATTTTCAGAAATTTTGTTTTACATACAGTAGTTTTAGGAATATAACTGCCTTTATAGTATTCATAAGTTGTTTTTTTAAATTACTATGGTGATGCTTTAATTTTTTATTACTGACTGATATGCTGATATCAAAACTAAACTACCATTAAACTTTATTCAATCAAAACATTGTGTATAAAGTAAAATGTATTTAAAATTAGTCATTGAAAAAATTCTGTATTTATGTTTTATGCAGTAGTTTTATGTGCATTAAAAAATAGGATAACGTAGTGAATATGCATTTTGTTACTTTCTCGTGATAAAATTTTATGTGAATGAAATACTGTTTAAAGTAATCTATACTGCCCAGTTGTAAATTTTTTTTTTTTATTTTTGTTATGGCAGTGGTGATGGATAACTCAAATTATTTGTACAAGTGTATTTTTTTTCTGCTAAAAGGTGAATGTAAACTGAAAATTCATTGGCAAAGATATTTAATATATAAGTAAAAAGGCTACAGCCTGAATAAATGTTTAAATATAGAGTAAAACTGACCTCTAAGAACTGCCCCAAAATGGAGAACAGTAGGGGCTAGTTTTGGTTGCTTTTCTTTTGTGTTTAACATTTTTAGTTTTGACTAAAATAATCTTTTGGTATTAATGGACTGTAATTCTGAAAGTCATCGAGATTTTGTAGTCTTATTTTAAAACCCTTTATCATAGTAAACTGAGATTACTGTAAACAGCACCCAGAATACTAAATAAAAATAACTTTTTGTTACTAGTAATTTAAACTAGAATTTGTCGCTAGTCTTGAAATCTTAAATCATTCCATGGGAGTCAATTTGACTGGTCAGTTTCAAATTTTTCCTTTAATTAGCATTTTTATATTACTTGATCTGCAAATGTCATGTTTCCTAAACAATTTTAAATAGGAAATCAATATAAAGCTAATTGCCTTGATTTTAGTAAACTATTTTGTTTGTCCAGCTTTGTTTTAGAAGTCTAGTCCTGTACTTATTGATGAGATTCTTGTAATACTTTTACTTTTTAGGCCTTTATTTTACTTTTCAAAATTTGATCCCTGAAATTATAGGCAATTGCTTATTTTAAAAATGTATTTGCACTCTTAAAAATGTTACCTTTAGTTTGAAAACCTCCAACTTCATTGCATGCGTTATTTATTGTGTAAAGTGGAATTATTGACAATAAAAATTGTTTTGAAATTTGTTCAACTCTACTTTTATGAGCTAAGTCAACTAAAAACAAACACATAATGTTGTTTACCTTTAATTTATTTTGTACAAGTATTTATAAGACCTAATTCCCCTTCACTTAAGGATGACAAGTAACTACACTAAATCACTCAAACCTGCAGCTACAACAGACCAGTTCAAACAATCCACAGTTTAACTAATTGTGACATGCCTCAAGCTAGGACATTCTTGTGTTGGGAGTTCAGAAGTTAAGCTATTGTGGTTGCTTTTCTTGAGAACGGATATGTTTGAACTAAGTATAAATATCACATGAAATACTGATGTAGGGGAGATAATGAAAAGCATGCCCTTTCAACAAATGATGGTATACATCACAACGTAGATTCTAAACAAACTGTCAATTACCAATGTTTCATATAGCCTGATTAAAAAAATGTATAAGCAGTTCCCTTGAATGGTAGTTTTAAAAAAAGTTAACTTTCCCCCATCAGTGAAAGAATGGGAAGGTCAAAAATATTTCAGAAATCATTCTGATCATTACCCCCTTTGTACTTAAGCATGTGTCAGTCATGATTCCCCATAATAAAAGAAAACCATTAATCTGTTGTTTTCTTTTTTTTTAAAAACAATACTATAATTCTCTCCAAATATTTATAGAAAATTTGTTTTCAATTTTCATTAATAAAATTGAAAAAAATTAAGCATCTGCTCAGAACTCTAAGTTTTCCATTGCACTTGTTCGTGTTGTGGTATTATTAGTAACTTTGATTTCAGTCTGACTTTTACTACTCGTCCTTTGGTCTCGAGACAGCGAGCGGGACAGGCTGTGCTGAACTCCTCTTCCACTGGAGGGTTTTAATGCAAAGAACATTAAAGGGCGAGGTGACTGATTAGGCTGGGAAAAAAAAGCGAAGCGTTATGTATGACGACTGTTATTGTTGAGCATACTAGAAAAAATGGTTAAAATAGACAGCTGGTACTATAACTATTAGCTTAAAATTTCATAAAATTTAGATCAGATCACCAGGGGAAAAATCAATTTACTTACTGTAAAAACTAGTTTACTGACAGCTTTTGGTATATAGCAAGGTCCAATAAATTTTTCTCTCGTTCTGAAATCATAAGCTTCTCCTAAAAGGTAAATGTCAAAGAGAATTTGGCAAAATGCTGGGGGGAAAAACTGGTACCAGCCAGTGTATGAAAGATATCAAGCATAATAATCAAATAAAATTTATTCAATAGGATTGTAATTACCCATAATCAGAATGACATCAATCATGTAAGGTGTGATTTCAAATTGATTGTATTTATCACTGATGTGCTCCAGTTCAGCATTTTCAAGCCGGGCAAGTAATGTCTCTTTGCGCATTCCCTAGAGAAACATTTTATTCCTTTATTTGGAATTTGGAGGAAAAATGCACACAACTATTTTTTTCACCTAAGAGCTATTATTTTTATATTTATATACACTTTATGCTTTCTAAAAAAAAGTAATTTTTTAATAATGCTTTTGGTATTAAATGCATGGTTGAGAGGTTACCATATTTTGGTGAACAACTTTTAACATTAACAATAATTTCTCTATTTTTTTTAATACAAGAGTTCTAAAACTGCTCAGTTATTTACTGACATGATAACTGGCCACATTGGCAAGTATGTTGATGGAAATCCTTATAGCACACACTTTCCAGAGACGAGCAAGGAGGGGTGGTGATAGGTCTTTGAATCTTTCACAGGCCTGTTTCAAATCATTGGTGCTCAAAAATAGTAGCTAGAAAAAGTAGCAAAAATGAACAGAAAATGGTATGCAGTATTTTGAGTTTTCTATTCACATGTAAAATGTACTAAGTATCGCTTACTATAATGGTAGTTGTGGATTCAAATTTAATAATATGAAATCATTGCTGTTAATATGGGGATGAAACAATCTACAGGCCAAGGCTAATTGGTATATTCAAGCTAAGCTTTTTCTAGTGTCACACTATAACATAAAGAACTAAATTGTAAGCTTGTCAGTCATTTTGTCCTTTCATTATTGGCACCTGTCTTCTTCAAAATGTACTAAGATGTAAATTTCATGACAGAATTTCATCAAGCACCAGTGGAAGCGCAATTAGTTTATAATAAAACCTGGAAAAATCTTAGTGGATACCATGGGAACAATATATTCTTTATTAAAAAAATGGACAGTTTACTACTTTAAACATAGGCGTAGAAAAGGTCCATTTACAAGTGAACTGCTAGGTTACTAGAGAGCTGTGGAATACTGAAGCCACACTAACATTAAAAAATTTTGCACTGTTTACTTCTAATTGAGGATCAGTTATGACTGAAGGAGCTGCCCTCAGAAGCCAGCCAAGAGTGGCAAATAGTTTTACCTTCACTGTAGTCTCACAAGTTAATGTTGCAGTCCGATGTTTCTGTGTTAACACACTGATCTCTCCAATCACATTCCCAGTAGATAGAAAATCAAGAGTCTGCATTGCTGCTGTTTGCTGGTTTTCACTAAAAAGGGGAGCTTCCACCTAAAAAATTTTTTAAAAATAATGCACTAATAAATAATTGAGTCAAACCAGTTTGACATTTGCTAAATTGAAAGTTACCGTGGAATAATAACATATAAAATGGAAAAAATTATATTTATCTCAGTAAACTAAATTTATTATTCATAAGAATTATTGTTCTAAATGTTAACTTGCGCTGTCTGAAGTTACAGCTTCAATTGATAACTTCTAATTGTTTGAAATTGGTATACAACATTGATATACTTACCTTAACTAAACCACTGATGATGAAATATATACCATCTGGCGGTTCACCACAACGTAAGACTATATCACCATAGTTGTAGATGATTTCATGAGACAGATTGTGAATGTAATCAACCAGAGTAAGATCCCCATCAATCCATGGAATAGCAGCAAGTATTTTTTTGGTTGAAGGAATTTCAAGAGCAGGAGGTGCTGCCATCAAACGTTTCATTTTAGATTCAATAACCTGAAATTTATCAAAGAGTTTAAGGAGATTCTATTGCTACAATATATAAAAATATATTATCTTCTGTTTTTTGTTTCTAAATAATGGCATTAAGAGTCAGCAACTTTCTAGCATCCAGGTGTGTATGAAAGAAACAACAGGGTCCACCAAGTGCTGATTGTGAACTGACCAGCCAAGGTAAATAATGGCTGCTGGACTGCCCACACAATGTGTTAAAAAATAATTCTTTAGCTTGAAATCTAGAGCCTTGCTTTATATTTTTACTAAATACTTGCTCAAAAAATTATTTAAAGTCAAAATACTTCTGCAATGACTTTTCATCCACAAAAATCTACTGAATTTAAAAAAAATTTAGTTGATGTTAAAGATGTTATTAAGAAAACAAAACCTTAATAAAAAGCTGCCCCTCAGGTTCATCAATACCACCCTCTTCCATGAGGTGGTGCATGCCTTCACGCATCACATTGAGAACAGATCGTATGGCCTGACAGGTCTTGACACCCAGTGCCACGTCAGGATGTAAGCCCTGCAGAAGTCCTGGGATGGAATTTTGGACAACCATTACCTTTTTATCATTAAACACTTTTTTTTAAACTTAGCTCTTATATAAAAAAAAACTATTATTATATAGTTTGATAGGATTAAAAGTTTAATTTGAACAAAAGAAAGACAAAAATGTTAACTTACAAGAAAGTTTATTCACATTTTTATAATTTGTAATATTTAAGATATATTTTTATAATAACCATTTTTCTAAAGCTAGAATACATGCCTAGTTCTCTCAAAACACTCATTTTAGCTTTTTCTGCACTAGCCCGTATCATGTTCTGTACATTGATATCATCTGATATGTGATCAATCAGCCTGATTGCCAACTGCAGTAAAAGGAAATACAAATTCTAAAATAAAGAAGGCTCCTAGAAAATGTGCAATTGTACATCCAGATTCTAAAATAAAATAGACTGCAACATAATGTCTAGAGGTATCCAAACTCTCAAATATAATAGCCTGAAAAAAACCTGCAGTAGGTAGTAGGCCATCATCCAAACTGGTAAATAAGAACTCCACAAGAAAATGTGCCACAGATTACCCAAATTCTGAAATTAAGTAGCATGAAAGAAAATTTTACCTCGTTAGCTCTGACAAAACCTCTTCCCATATCACAGCCAGTAGTGAGCCTAACTTTAACAGATTGTTTAACGAAATATAGCAGTATACTAACTGTAACCTGTAATAAATAAAAAGTGCATTTCTAAAATAACAAGTTACAAAAATGGATTGAGAAGTTGTTAAAGTGCATAAGAATTGTTTTATTTTTATTTTTTATTTAATGGGTTTCTCTTTTTAATTAACTATTTATTTAACTTTAAAGGACAAAAAGTGAAAAATATTATAAATAATTACCTCAAAGATTTGCACAGTGCGAACTGTCCGCAATGTGATCATGATTTTAGATATGAACTGAAATGTATCACTTTCATCAAAGTGCAGATCTAACTCCATCTTTTGAAAAGCATACCAGTGTGTAAAGAGATCCAGGTAGGCCAGAACAAGGCAGGATAGGTTCACATAGAACCACATTGTTTTGATGTAAGTTTTTACAAACATGATCAGCTAAAAATGATAAGTAAAAAATTATATATATCTATCCATATATATATATATATATATATATATATATATATATATATATATATATATATATATATATATATATATATATATATATATATAGTGCATTATTTTTAAAAAAATTTGTAGGTGGAAGCTCCCCTCTTTATTTATATATATATATATATATATATATATATATATATATATATATATATATATATATATTATATATATATATATATATATATATATATATATATATTTATATATATATATTTTATATATATATATATATACATAACTCATATAAATGAACTAGTTTATTTGTTTTATGACCTCTGCCTAGTAATAAATTGTCAACTCTGAAAGCACTTTTTTAGTATTTTTCAATGAGTTATTGAAGTTACCTACCCTAAACAGAAAATAAGCTGTCAGTAATGTTATCATTACTAAGTTGGCATTTTGGACGCCATTTTCTGCATTTCTCATTCCCTCATATGTCCAGTCTACATAAACAAGTACTTCAGTTACAATAATAACTATACAGTCCATGCCAAATACGCCAGCCATCAGGGCCTGGCTATGGCTTAGTTCATACAGCAAACTGCAAGAAAAATTGAAATTACTTCAAATGGAAACAAGGAGATTAAATTACTTAAATTAAATTATGAAAGGGTGAAATTAAATTCTAGACCAAGCAAGAAGGGGCATTAAATTAATTCATGTGCAAGCAAGCAAGGATTTAATACATTCAAATGCTAGCATGAAATGGTGAAATAACTTCAGGTGCTAACAACTAAATAACAGAATTTCTTATCTTATAAATAGGTACAGGTGTATTCAAAGTTAATGCAAATAATTTATTTCTAAAGAAACTAGCTTAGGCCTACATTTAACACACTTACTATTGTAAATGAAGGAATGTTAAAATGTATTCAACATTATTTAGAAATCTAAATTTAACAAAAATAAATTAGTTTATCAATAACAAAAAAAGAACTACAAGAATATGAACAAATAATCATGTTTTTATCAACAAACATATGATTGACTCACGCTACAGTAAAAGACCTCGAGTGCATTATTTCATACATAAAGGATTGTTTGTGATGTAGCCTTTGACCTCTCAACAACTTTTTCTTTTAATTAAATTGATTCAATATTAAATATTTACCAAGTTATCCAATTCAAAAGACAAAAAATGGAATACTAAAACAATGTGGTTGAGAATTATAGAACAAACATCTAGACAATTATAATGCAATTATATCACTAATTCTAGAATAAAATTACAGGGGAAATAGGAGTCAACACTCACAGTTGTAGACACACATGCAGGTGTTCTCCACATCTTTTTTATTTCCTTCACCTTGATCATCCTGAAATGTACATCCTAGCCTCATTTCATGCTTTCAAGTACTAGTAATTCATACTTTAAATAATAATTCAAGTTAGAAAATGAAAACTCAATCTTTCTTTCAATAGTGAAATAGGTTTTTAAATACTAGCAATTCTGCAACACTTGAATAATTAGTATACCTGTTAATGACTATTTTATAAAATATAGTTTGGTATAGAATTATTATTTTCAATTTGTGTCACTAATCCATATATCCCTCAATCAGTAAAGTTTAAGATATTAATCAAAACACTAACTCGCAATCTTTATCAGCTGCCTCCTCTGCAAGTTCATTTAATTTTCGTACACTAAATCCTGCAAGGAGGCCTCGCTCAAACTGGAGCCAGAAGTTTTGCTGAAATTAAGAAATAATTTTAAACATTACATAACAGTTAGTAATCCTTGTTTCATTTACAATAAGTCTAAAATACTGAAATCTTATGGGATAGGAGAGCCCTGGATTATTAACCCAAAAGTCTCAACATTTGAATCTGAGTTTAAGTCAGTAGAACGTCCCTGAGTCCAGCAAGCTCTGATGGGTGTCTAACTCACATTAAGGAAAGTAAAAGTGGTTGTGCTTAGTGCTGACCATACTATCCCTTCATATGCAGAGGTCTCAGAAACAGGTAAACTCTACTTCACTCAACTAAGGAAACTTTACCTTACTTTTACTGCAATCTTTATACAATGATTGTCAATCTAGAATTCTAACTTAACATGAATTCTACACATTTCTTTAATTTAGATTTTCTAAATGCAGATTCTTTAAGTTTACATATCCTATGTCTAAAAAGCAGTTTCAAGTAGGACTAAATAATGGAATAGGAACTTAAGCATGAAAAACAAAAGTTACACATTTTGTAAATGGTGATAGTACAAAGAATAATTAAGAGTGGAAATAAACTATATTTTTACCTTAAGTAGCTTTAAATATTTTCTTGTTGCTTCAGCCAACCATTTATGAACTTCTGATGACGTGGGTACATAAGGAACAGCCATGTTACACCGCGGACACACCCCACCCAGTCTCTCTCGTAATTCCTTCTCTTCTGTTGTCTAAATTTCAAAACAGTTTGTAGGGTTGAATACAATTTAATACCAACATCTAACCACAAACCATGAAAAAGCTTCATAATAAATAGTAAGCATGTTTTAAAATATGTACAATGTGAAAAGAAAAGACAAAACATTTGTGCACTACCAAAGGTTTGAGCTATGTCAACAATTGAGTGTTTACCTCAGTGCTCATGAAAGGGTCTTCTATTAAAGTAATATTATTAACTGTGTCCCAGTCAGCATCTGCCAGAAACCTATTTTTTAAAAAGTAAGTAAAATTATATTTTATATTATTACTCTGAATGCACAATTAGTTCACCTATGGTGGTTATAAAAAATATGCACACTACTTCATCAGAAGATCAGTCATTTTGTAATTACTTATTGTAGCCTTTTTATCAATTGCAGTTTGAGTGGAATTCTTAATCATGTGATTTTCATATAATTTATTGCTGTAAGTGACTGGTGAAAATAATATACTAACTAAAATTTCAGAAACCTGTTTTATGCTGAAATATCAGAGGCAAGATTACATTGAAATAAAAAGTACCATTTAAAATGACGAAATACTGTTTATTAAAATACCTGTGGTGAAGAATGAATGCAAATAAAGTCTGCCTCCTTTTTCTCATGACATATTCATATAACTGAATGTGTTCATAAAAATAAGGGCTAGGTTCAGAGGTGTCTGAAAGCTTGGAGAAAATGATACCCTGCTAGCCTTTTGGGAGGATTAAACAGTATAATTTTTCTTGAACATGTAGCCTCCCCACGGCTACTAAAGAGGTAGGTTCTGATAAGTTCTCATGCTCAAAATCAAGGTAGTAACAGACCACAAAGGAGCAACCAACATGGTCTATACTTTTAACCATCAATGCAAGCAATAACAGGGTAGGATGAGGACTCCAAAGAGTCATAATTTTCATTTTTAGTGACACCTGGCCTATCATTTTTTGGCCAGTAAAGATTGAATATAGAAATTTAAAAAATGACTGCTAGGATAATCAACTGAAACAAGGTACAGAAATGGTTTTACGGAACCTGTCAATTTTCCACACATTCATTGTTTTTCTGCGACATTCATCTAAAATTCCAATAGCTTTCTTCATGGCATTTCTCCTGGCTGGAGTCACATCTGTCAAACCTATCAGACAACAAAACATCTGTTAAATGTCTATGTTCAAATAATAGATTATTCACTATAAAGTGGAGTACAAGAGAAGAAAAAATTCAAAAATTTAACAATATAATTTGAAAAAAAAAAAAAAAATTCCTAAATCTTAAAAAAGTCTAACAATTTCCTTAACTATAATATACTATAGCCTACAGCATTAGTAAGTTTGAAATGTGTATGGTAAAAGAAAGTAAAATATAGTAGGCCCACACTACCAAGACCTCAAGGCCCATCTCTTATTACATGAGAAACTAAACATGGGGATTGTGTGCCTAGTTCCATTCAGTTAAATCTGGTCCTCAGTGTGGACTCAAGGACAGTGTTAGGGTCTATGTCAAACTTTTAACAGTTCTAAGACATGCATCAATAAGTTACTAATCACTGTAAACCCAACAAGCTCCATATTCATTAAGACAAATAAACTTGCAATATAAATACAAAGCCAGCAGTAATTTCTAAGGACAAAATATTTTGTGCCTAATTAGTTTTGTGTCTAAATCAGGTGTTTTCTTTTATTCCACTGAGATGTGCCATCAAATCTCTAACAAGAAGATTAACATCTCCAGCATTTGATAGCTGTCTACATGATTTAAGGAATTTAACTAACATGATGGCACCTAAGCTCAGTTCGTTTGAGGTCAATTGTGTGGTAGATCACAAAAATAAAATCAAGAGAAAATAACTCACCTAAGAAAGTGAGCAGATGTGACACGGTGGTAGCATTAATCAACAGGGTGGCAACCACAATCAGGGAGACGTGAAACAGGATCTGTCACAACATTAAAATACAAGCTCAAAACATTATTTATTCAACATTATTTATCTTATTATTGGAAGAGCTATTTACTGTAGGCTAGCTACTTTTATTGCTTCAGTTTTAATAAACAAAGCAAAAAAACTTGCCTAGGAGAATTTCATGAATTTCACTTTTAACAAACCCAGCACAAACCTTTCCTCCTACATTATGATTACATAATGGCTCTTTCTCAGATTTAAATATAATAAGTGCAAGAGCCAGTCCAATTGCTCCCCTTAGGCCACTCCATGTACAGACTAGACCATCCTGCCAAGTCAAGCCATATCCAAGCCGTTTTAGAATAGGACTGAACATCATGATTGTTAGACCTCTGATGGATAATAAAGTGTTAAGAGTATTATTTGGCATGCCACAAGAATTTGGGGTAAAATTTCAGCTAAAACTGTATGTCATTTATGGATCACCCAAAACTGACTTTTTCACTTTGGCATTTGCTAAATGTTTTCTCCTTTGTAGTAAAAAAAAAGTCTGCAATATTAATGTGCAATAGTTTTCCCAAGGGGGAAATTTTTCTATAATGTAAAAATTAATCATAGCTCAACTATTTAAAAAACATGTTCTAATAACTTATATTTCATTTATAAAAAAAATTCAATTGCTGATAATTTTCTTACCGAATTAGCTGAACAGCAAAGTATAGAATGATGAGGTAGATGCAGTCCTGTAGCTGAGCATTCACAATTACTTTTTTAGTGATGATGAAACCACAGATGGCAAAGATCAAAGTGTTGGCCATGAAGGAAAGTGTTTCCCAAAAACTAGTGAAAGATATGAGCAAGAAAATTATAAAATATTAAATACTTGAAGAATTTATGAAAACTTGTTTGCTAAGCCAATTTTTAAGGTCATAGGTGCAGAAAAAGAGGTTGTAGGTACCGTTACTTTAAAACAGTTTAAGAATTTGTACTTAATATTTTTGTATAAAATATAATCATTAAAAAAATGTATCAAATGCTAACCTGTGTAAAAATACTTCTACCTCTGGACTGATAGAAGTTCTATGCTCACTCAAGGTAGCTCCTAGAGCCACTACACCCAGCACAGCCGAAACTTTAAGGTAGGCATCAGCTGAAGTATATCATCAATAACCTCTTTAATAATAAATTTTGTTAACAACATAAAAAATGTATGGTTCAAAATAAATTTTTAAGTGAAAAAAATAATCATAACACATGCTTCTCCTGCTTTTTTCAACACTCACCAATATAAAAAACTAAATAAGCCATTGATAAAGTAATGGCTATTTCTGTAAGGCTATCATTAAATGTCCACTGTAGCCAGAAGATAGCCACTTGAGCCATGAGATATCCAAACAATGGGCCACCTAATGAGACCCAAAATATATTGTAGACTATTTCATCAACTGTCGAGGACAAACAAAAAACAAATTAAAACCAAATTAGTACTTGCAACATAAATCAGCTGCATTTTTTTAGTAACTGCAGTTTAATTATTATTTTGTTAATTAATACTTTTGAAATATTTTATAAACCCCAAGCAGCTGTGAACATAGAAGTCTGAAATTAGCCAGTTTTTAATTAGAGGTAATTATACTGAAACCCTACTAAACTATTAAATTCTCAATTTTAGAGGAAAAATAAAAATTAAAAGATTGTAAAACACTAAACTTTGTTATCATAAAAACTAAAACTAATAAATTAGTACCGGGTTTTGATGGATGTTCTATCATCTGTAAAAACAATTCATAGCACACCATAGCTGTTCCATCATTGAGCATTGACTCTCCCTCAATCAACAGAGCCAAACGCTTGTGGGTTCCTTAACAAGGGAAACAAACCAAATTTTTGCTAAACACTTTTATGCAATAAAGAAAGTAAAATGTTAATTTACCAAAAAAAATGTCAGTAATTCAATAGTTTTTAAAAAAATTAAGCAATGAACTAAGGATTTTAACACTAAATGTTTTAAATAGTTTAAAAATAACTGAAAATTACATGAAAATACAAACACTATTAAAACATTTTGCAAAAAACAAAAGCTTAAAATTATATAGTTGACAACTTATTATTTATAAACTTCACTTTAAAAGTATCAAAATTAAATCTGTATTTAGAAGATATATACTAACACTTGTACATTCATACCTAAGTCTTTCATGATAGCAACAACTGCAACAGGATCTGTTGCTGACAGAATAGAACCAAACAATAGTGCCACCAGCCATGTCCAGTCCTTGTACTTGAATAAATACATTGATGTCCCAGCAAGTAAAAATGTCATCACCACTGAAGACATTAGCAATGAGTAGTCAAATATTAACCTTATAAATACTACCCTGAAAAGGCCTATTCTATCATTACACAATCAGCACTAAATGATCCTCACCAAATATATAAAATAAATCAATGGCTTTTTATTTATATTTTACTGGTTTGTTGATCTCTGTTTATTGACAATGTATGGTAACACATAAACAAAAAGTAAAGCAGTTTATTGCACTATAGTCCATCTATTTCATTATATTTACTCTATAGATGTATGTGTAAATTCTAAACACCTACCTAGTGCAGGTACAGCAAGGATCAGAACCTGTATAAATATTTGTTTGAATATGTAGATATCAATCGCAAATGATCCTTCAAAAATGAGAATGGGCATGAACACTTTGATTATCGTATGAGGGCCTATTTCCACAACATGACCAAGTGGAAGATAGCCAGCAATTACACCAACAAAGAAAACAACTACTGTGTAAGGCAGGGGTATATGCAAGACATCAGTGGCATGCCGCACAACAGCTGGGAAGAGAAAATGCAAATAAATGGTTAATATGTTTTCATACATTTTCTATCATAAAAAAGCTGGTGTGAAATTTTGAAAGAATGATGTAAATTCAGCTTTGGCAAAGTTAATATGACGAAATATACTACTCAATAAATTAGAGGCATGTATTTGTTATATTCAACCTTTACCATCCAAATTTTTCACTCCTAATCCAGACAGCAACACAAAATAAGAGTTCTGGCTCTACTGTATGCCATCCACCCAGATTGCTACTTAAATTTAAGGTTGTGAGTTGAAACCACAACAGACACCACCACTTCCTCGTGGTCTGATACCAAATGAGTGGATCTGCTGCTGCCATGGGAGCAATCCCTTTCCAGTCAGGTGCTTTACATCTTCCATCCCAAACAAGTTTCTTAAACCTAAGGCCATTAGCTTTGTTTTGGGAAGTCTTTTAAATGCTTATCATCCTAACCAAGGAACATCCAATGTCAAAATCTCTCTCGGTACAGAGATTTATGGAGTCCGCTTTCAATATTTGGTCGCAGTTGCCTTAGAAACAGAAGGATCATATTGTCAAAACTATCTGCAGTCCTATGTCTTGGAGGGGCCATGTGGAGGGTATAGAGTGAAGTAAAACAGCATCATGGGATTTGTAAGTACAGCTGAGCTATCATTCAACTCTGCTTTCATTTTACTGCCCTGAGGGTAGGAACATGAAGACTTGTAAAGAAGTTTAGGAAAATTCTTTTAATCCATTTACAGGGCCAAATAGCAAATTATGATTAAGCCTTATATAAATTATAATTATATAAAAATATGGATAATGTAGAAAAATTGCATGAACCTTGTCCTGATTTTACTTACCTCCTATCAAAAAAATAGAGCACAAGTATAGGAAATCTCTTTGAGTTTCTATCATTTCAATAGAATGGAAGGGGTCTTCAGCATTGTTGGTAAACATTGACATAAACAATGGCTGAAGATTCATAGTGGTGTTGTTACTTTGTAAGTTATCCATGATGTAGGTCTTATTATTAGTCAATGAGTGTGAAATAAATAAATATAGTATCTAGGGAAATAATACAAAAGAGTAAAAATTAGTTGCAGTGAATTTTTAAAATGAGTTAATTAAAAATAAAGCATATTTATTTAGCCTACTAAATTAAAAAAATAATCCCTGTAGAATCTAAAATCATCAGCAATTCCTTCACTAGAATAGGCCTATACAGTTAGATTATCTGGATAATGAAATTAATATAAATTATCTTTCCCCTTAGAATAGACTGGCTTAGAGAAAGGAAAATACAATACAAAGTGCATAATAAAAATATAATCTACCCAAGGAACAGTTACAGTGTTATTAACTTGAAATAACATTGTTATTTCCCTTGAAAATTATTCAAAGCAAATTCTAGCATAGTAAGAATGTGTTTAGTGTTTAGGTTCAAAGATTTTACCACGTTTTAGAATCTAGGTCTAGATTTTCTAGATCTCTAGATTGATGTTCACCTGTCTTCATATTCATTGACATTAAGATTATTATAATTATATGGGTTTTATTACTTATGACTGTCTATTCAATTATTATGATCAGAAGATTGGATTATACTTGGCAAATAAATAGATCTAGAAGATCTAGATTCTAGATCTATATCTAGATTTATGAAATAGATTCTACAACTAGGTAGGCCTTTACTAGACTAAATAGTAAAATACTTTATTATACAGTTTTTCTTTCATTTTTTAGTAGATCTAGATCTAGTAACTTTGCGGGAGGGCGGACTTAAAATTTAAATTTCCGGGGCGGCGGGGAGGGGGGAGGCTGTGGTTACTTTTTTAAAGATCTAGATTTCTAGATTCTAAGAATCTAATTAGGGCCTATATTTATAATATAGAATAGATCTAATGTCAAATGTTAATAAGGAGAAAATAATTACTAGATCTAGATCTTATAGAATCTAGATCTCGTAAGCAAACTGTATGGAATGCACAGCTGGTAGATCTAGATCTAGATCTAGATCTAGATGCGATCGTCTAGATTCTTGTAACAGAATAGACCGTGTTGATTTTTTTATTGGTAGATCTACCTTGTAAAAAATATTACCGGCTTAATGTCCTTGACATTCGCATCTTTTTTTCTTACGAACAAATACTTGTATTAATTTTATTTTCTCCCGAAACAATACATTTTCACATTATCCAGGCGAATTATTAGTTTGGTTTTAAAACGCATTTGGCATATTTTCCAGATAAGCCTAGCTTTAAGGGTTATGGTTAGGATTAAAAACTAAAAGTGCAAGTTTCATATCTTCTTTTTATTTGGGGGGGGGGGGGGCGGTGGTTAACATTTTTGGCGGGGCTTATCATGTGTTACTTTTATTATAGGTCTAGTCTAGATCTAGTAGTAACCGTATTTTATTAACGAGAAAAATAGACCGTTGAGGAAGGATACAACGGGCGCTAGGCTGATAGTGCTGTCTCTGATCTCTAAACTAAAACCACCCCACCCCCCCCCCCCCGACACCCCCACCCCCCAAAAAACATGTCTACCGTCCCATTCAACGAAATATAATTATACGAGCCGGACCGCGGCATAACATACGCCGCTATTTAGTTGTTTTTTTTTTCTACTTTTCAGTAATTCATAATTTGTGAATTTGACACTACCAATGCTGCCACTGAAAATATTTGCTTTAAAACCTTGAGCTATTAGCTCGTTAAGGACCGTAATCCCCCCTTCCTTCCCCCCCCCCCCCAACATTTAAAATCTTTTCAAACTAAATTATCTGCTCCTAATAGCCGTCACTAAACCCGACTCCACGAAGGTAAATATAGCGTGAACAACAGCTCACTAAGACCATGTAGGGGTGGGTGTGGTAGGGAGCGCGTTTACAGCTTGTTTTCTAGCGTCTCCCAGAAGAGAATTATATATATAGATACTTTTTCCCCTCCCCGAAAATTCTACCCCCGCCCCCGAAAATTTCAAGTACCCCCACCCCACATATTACTGTGTGCACTCTCCGGCTTGAGATTATTTTCTACTCTATGCTAAATGTGACGATGTCATACTTCGTTTTCGTTTCACTGTGCAAGTTTTTAATTTGCTTGTGTTTTCTCTATAGCGTTCTTGTCAGACAGACAGCGAAACTATTAGTATAGACGAGAAAAATGGCCCGTTGAGGAAGGATACAACGGGCGCTAGGTTGATAGTGCTGTCTATTTTCTCAGTACTTTAATTTATACAAAATATAGTCATAGGCATATCCCTAAACCATGCACCTAATCTCATTCATGATAAAAGTCGCATTTAGAGTTTCTTTCAGGCAACTCTACTTGGGAGGAGGGGGCTTCGCCCCCTTCCCCCCCCCCCCCCCCCCCCCCCACACACACTCCAAAACATGTCTACCGTCCCATTCAACGAAATATAATTATATACTTTTTCCAGTGTCCGCCCCCTCCCAGAAAATTCTACCCCCGCCCCCGAAAATTTCAAGTACCCCTACCCCTCTCCGGGGAGGAAAAAGTCTGAAAGAAACACTGGTGTCGCGCTTAGCCACTACCCGAAGAATTGCATTAAACAAATTGCAAGAAAACCACTTTTTAGATTAGACACATTAATTAGGCGGTAAGTTTATTATAGAGTATCGATGAAGAAATTTCTTTTGAGTTGGGGAGGGGGGAGGGGCTTAGACGTTCTTACGCGGGGGTGGGGCTTCGCCCCTACCCGAAGAATTGTATGAAAGAAACTCTTCACGCAAACCACTTAGAATAGACAAAATTGCCTTTTTATTCAATGTTTACTCGAGAATCAATGACGTCATATTACTGTGTACACTCTCCGGCTTGAGATTATTTTCTACTCTATGCTCAATATGACGTCATATATTTCGTTTTCGTTTAACTATGTATGTTTTTAATTTGCTTATGTTTTCTCTAGAGCGTTCTTGTCAGACAGATAGATAGATACATAGATAGACAGCGAAACTATTAGTATTAATAGTTTCATATTTAAACACGTAGGCTCTTAGATTATATCTAGATCTAGTGCTTAAAAATGTAGATCTAGATCTAAGTGCAAACCTTTTTGTTCTTCTTTGCATTTCACTGCGCACTAGGGGAATGATTTATTGTAGGATCTAGATTTAAAGGGAAGCAAATCGCATGATTTGAAACAGTGCGAAAGAAGACAAAAGTCAGTGCATTCATGAGATGACAGAGGAGGCAGAAACTGCAGCAAGCAGGACAATAAGGAAATTTTAAAAAACTATGAAGTAACTAGAACTCTCTCTAGCAAGAACAAAAATCCCACTAAAACAGTGAAGGGTAATGAAGGACATAAATTAACAAGTGAGGTAAACAGAGACTCTACACCAACAATGCCCGATATATCTGAGGGGAGAACCGAGAGGTGATCTCATTTACTCATCCGTGCCCTTCGAGGTGTCAGAAGTGGGATCTGAACCCACGCCCACATTCGTGGACCAGATATAGATCTACCACCTTAAAATCAACTACTAAAAGTTAGCTCACTCCCCTCCACTATGTTAGAAATAATAATGGCAATAACGCGTTGTAGAAACTTCTAACCAACAACATACTCAAACCAATATGAATAGGCTATTTAAAGAAGTAGGACTCAAATCAATAGAAATTAAAAAGAGCTCGCCAGAATCAACAGATAAACGGAGAAGAAATACGAGAGACAACAGATTGACATATCTGGGAAAGCGTGATTAACAAGATAGGGGGAGGGGGTGACAAAGACATGAAAAAGAAAAGCCTTAAAATCCCTACGAGTACGATCGCTATGGAATTCAACAACCTTGTCCTTTCTTATAAGAATCTTCAACTCTATTAAGAATTTAGACGCCCCCCCCCCCTCCAGTTTAAATCGCTTAGGTACAGGTTAGAGCGTATTCATAGGTTAGGGACCCTCGCACTTCAAGACGCCTCAGGTTTTAGATGTAGGTGAGGTCAGGTGGGAGCCCAGCGCATGACTAATCTAATGCGGTCGGAGTTCGAAGAGCGACCAGTTTTAGAATTTGCCGTCATTTCGGGAACTGATCAAGACGTTTGACCAATGTCCAATATGATGGGAATTACCAGTGTATATCCTAGTTTGGCCGGTTGCTGAGTGAAGTGCTGGGAATCTAGCGTGATGGCGGTTGTTGTTGTTTTGTTTTTTTTAAATTAGTCTGGAGACTATTTTATTGTGAGAAACGGATAGCTCAGCTCGTGTTTGTATAGCATTCTATATTGGCCTACGCATGGGCGCCAAACAAGACCCCATTGACGGGGCACCGCCCCACCGCATTTGATTTTATTTTTTTATCGTAGAAATCTTCCTATGGGTATTCTCAACAATTTCCTAATGTTTCACAGTGATTGGATAAACGGTGTAATACATAAAAGCCAGACAGACATACTTTCGTTGTTATATATTCAAGCAGAGTGTCTTCCAGGCATCTCTTCGAACGAGTTGGAATTTGTACAGTAAACATATACTTTTACTAGTGTCCGCCCCCCCCCCCCCCCTCCCCCTGAATTTATCAAGAGCCTCTCCCCCCCGGAGAAAAAAGTCTGGAAGAAACACTGTATTCAAGGCCTATAGTTAAAAGATAAATAAAAGCCCATACAATTTTTAAGAAGCCCGGATTCTGAAGGGTACTCTGTTGCAGAAAAAAACAAACTTGTAGGCTACTGTCATTTTACGGATGTTAATTTCCATTAACAAAACAAGAAAACATGTTCGAAAGTCAAGACAAGTTCTACATCTAGGCCTAGCTAGACACACAGTGCGACGTATGCTAGCAACTGTCGCTCGCTGTGGGCTAACGAAGCCGAAAGGCGGGCGGGGGTATCACAACATCAGTAATCGATTCCATTTTTATTCAGAACTAGGCCTAATCCACGGACCGCTTTTGTACACTAGACTACTCGGAAAAGTATCCGACAACTTCGAAATGGCGACACATTGCTACCGGTCTTTTATTCGCGCACTTAGTAAGAATCTACTGAGTACTTTGAAAATAACGAATTCATTAAGAATAAGCAATGCGCTTAGGGATGAAAAAGTGAGTAACAAATACTTATTTTCGCGTAGTATTGGAAGTTATGGAACAATTTTTAAAGAAACTTTGCAAAGACCAGAGGTATTTTGGGCTGCCGCAGCTGAAAGTGTGGACTGGATTAAGAAATGGGACCAGGTATTAGACAACAGAAATCCCCCATTTACTCGGTGGTAAGTTGAAAAGATTTTTTAAATATAGCCTACGAGCCGGCCCGCGGCATAACATACGCCGCTATTTAGTTGTTTCTAATTTTCAATAATTCATTATTTGTGAATTCGACAGTACCAACGCTGACACTGAAAATATTTCTTTAAAACACTATAAGTAGCTCGTAAGGACCATAACCCCCCCCCCTTCCTTCCCTCCCCCCCCCCTCCCCCCCTACCCCCCCCCCCCCCCTACGTTTAAAATCGTTGGCTCTGCTTGTAAACATTTAGAGTGAACACAGCTCACTAAAACCATGTAGGGGTGGGGAGGTAGGGAGAGCGTTTGCAGCTTGTTTTCTAACGGCTCGAAGAAGAGAATTATATATATAGAAGATTCGTTATTAGACTCTAGCTATAAATGCTAGATTTACATCCAAACTGATCTAACTGAAACTGCATGCTCTTGCATTTGATTCACTGATGTCAGGCTTGGAGACTGTCCTAAGTCGTCAAAGGCTTTACAATGTGACATTATAGTATACTTAAGTATACTAACTAGGCCAACTAGGAGCCTATTATATATAACGATTTATAATTTATTTATTTTTTGACCTTGCAGGCTTGCACTTTATTCCTAGATTCTAGACTCTATATCCAAAAATAACTTTAAAAAAATCAGTTGCCGTTTTGCTTAGCAACACAAGCAAAGCCAAAGGGCATATAGATCTAGATCTAGTAGTAATGTTGACTAGTTGAGTTAAAGTTAAGTTGAGGGATTGTTGTTGTAAGAAAGTATAACAAATAGGCCCTAGATTCTAGTAGGAGTAGGCCTAAAAAGTTAATAGGTTCTTGGGTTAGTATGCGTTCATTTAGTATTTTAGGCCTCCTACTAGATCTAGTAATTAATTTATAGGCTATTAAAAAAATATGAGGCTATTTTTAATTATCTGTTTTGGCGCAGGCTATAACTAACGTATCTAATGTAGGCCAATACTATAGTTAACTATAGTATAACTAATATATACCTAAAATAGGCTATTAATAATATCTAGACTAGGCCTGTATATACGTATAGTGTAGTATACGTATATTTGTCTGACTTGCAGTTTAGTACATTTAGATTAGATCTAAATCTAACTCAACTACTGTAAGTGTAAGCAAAACATATCCAGAAAATTATAGCGTAATTTTTGCGTCCCAGAGTTAAGATAAGCAAATTGGTATCTTAGATGTTTGTTACAGTTTTTGCTCCAGCTACAAATGAAGCCTGCATGATGGCTGCGTGATTCAAGGACACCAAACATAGGCTAGATATACTTTACCAATGACTTAGTAGGCCTTCCAAACACATAACCCTATATGACCTACTTACTTTCTTTCTGAGATCTCATTTACTTGTCCATTACACAAATGAGACAAATTTAGTGGAGTATGTTAATGTAGGCCTATAGCCTTCTATAATCTATATATAATAGTATGGTATAAATATAAATTATAATCATTATGAGATATGGCTTAATAACCTTAGTTGGGCCTGAGCTTAATTAATTTTCATTGTGTAGATCTTTCATGTGGCAAAACCAGAGTAGTTAGCAGTGGATGGTTTTAAACTAAAGTGCATTGCATTGATTAGCCTAGTTGCTTATAGTTATAGCAGTAACAGCCCTAGTAGTTAGCCTAGTTAGTTGCGTGTAGCTCCATTTACTTTTTTTGATTAGCAGTTTATGATGGGTTTGGGGCACTAAACAAAAACCAAAATTGTATTAGATGCAACAGTGAATACTATACTAATTAATGAGAAAAGTAAATGTTATTATTTTAGAAACTCGGTTAATCAAAATACATCGGGGTTTATTAATAAATGTTAGAATTTTAGATGGACCTGCCCAATATAGGGCCTACAAACGTGTCTAAAAATAGACCTTAACTGGAGATTTGTAGTGGCCATGACCTAGATCTAGCTTGTGATAGAACTAGTCATTATTTATTTAAGCTTAAAAGCTGCACTGCTGTCAGTTTAGTGAGGTCTATTTTTAAAATAGTGTGCTATCTGTTGGCTTGCTGTAAAAGAAAGTGGGTCCCAATGGTAGAAACCAGGTACTGTTGTCCGTTAACGATGTCAGGCAATCTTAGATTGTTAGTCTATCCTCATGCTCTCTTCTCCCCCTCCCTCCCACACACACTGTAGTCTGTCAACAGACTTTTCATTTTTTTTTTTTACCATTATGGAGTCCCAGGCGACATTTCACATGGTCAAGATGTTGATGTCGAGTTAGTAGAATATTAAAATTCATATAAACCTGAGAATGCTTCTGATAGCTGATAGATTTAACAAAAATTGCCCTTCTGGTCATTCTCAAAGATCCTAATAGAACAAGTGGTGACTTTTAGTAATTAATATTAATAAAATATTTGAAGTAATCATGTTGACATAATATACTTTTTCTTCAGCATGTTTTTGAAGAAAAAAATGTGCCAACAGTTTTTGTTTTTCTTTTATTTATGCTAATGAATTTTTAATCATTAACACTTAAATTTCATGACAGTTGCATAAAAAAAAAAATTATCTCGAAAGCATTTTTTTTTTCTTGTATACAGGTTTGTTGGGGGAGAGCTAAACACATGCTACAATGCCATAGATAGGCATGTAAAACAGGGCAAAGGTAACATGACAGCAATAATTCATGACAGCCCAGTCACAGGCACTATCAGGCATATTACTTATGCCGAGCTGCAAAAATTAGTAAGTGCGTTGTTTGTAACAGTGTATTAATTAAATATATTAAAGTGTCAAAATTGCCTTTAAGAACTGAAATTAGCTCTTTTATTTTCTACTCCTTAGTAATAGTATTTCTGAAATTATTATTAATAGGTTGAGGACTTTGCTGGTGCCCTAAAGGCACAAAATGTGCAGAAGGGGGACAGGGTACTCATTTATATGCCTATGATTCCTGAAGCAATGGTTGCTATGCTGGCTAGTGCTAGAATTGGAGCTGTTCACTCATTGGTGTTTGGTGGTTTTGCCTCAAAAGAGCTGTCAACTAGAATTGCACATGCAGAGGTACATATTATAATAGCACCATTTTAAGATAATTTAAAATACAAATGTTATGAATGCAATTTTGTAGCAAAAAAAAAGCAATACTGAAGAAATATAATTCTTCTAACAAATAGATGTATTTATTCCAAAACCATGTTAATTACATGTTTAAAAATCTATAAAGCTATTGGTTAATGTATTTTAAAATGTTTTTCAAACAATCCTTCTGTTAATTAAATCAACACACCAACATCTTGATTAAATTATCATCTTTACGGTTATATTTGTGTCGTGAGATTTTAAAAATACATTTTTGTTATTTTTTCCCACATATTTAAAATGCATTAATATCTAGTTCTATGTACCTATGTTGTAGCCTACGGTGATAGTGAGTGCTAATTGTGGTGTAGAACCATCAAGAATTGTCCCATACAAACCACTTTTGGATGAAGCACTGAAAATTATTAACTACACACCCAACAAATGTATTATCTTCAACAGACCAAATGTAAGTATTAAACCCTTCTTACATTTACCAAAAAATGTATAAAACTGAATAGTACGTTTGTAATACAAACTTTAATTATTTTATAGATGGTATTCAAGCAAATGTGTTATTTTTTCTTGTTTTGAATATATAGTTTGAGCCAGCACAATTAACTAAGGGAAGAGATGTGGAGTGGAATGAGGCTGTGTCAATGGGCAAGCCAGCAGCATGTGTACCAGTAGCAGCCACTGACCCAGTCTATATTTTATACACATCTGGCACCACAGGCTTACCAAAGGTAAGTGACCTACTTTATTGTTATGTCTTTGCAGAAGCTTCAACCTTCTGTTGAAAGCTTTACATTTTTTCAGATTTTTGAGAAACAAATAAACCTTTATATGAAGGTGTGATTAGTTCACAATTTAAACAAAAATTATTGCAACTGGAACTGTTTCTATCAGGCTGTTGTTCGACCAAGTGGAGGACATGCTGTTGCATTAAGCTGGTCTTTGGCAAATGTTTATGGAGTCAAACCAGGGCAGGTAACTGATACTTTAGTAGCCTTAGAAGTATCTTGTTTATTTTTTTAATTATAGAAGCTAAGGGGAGATAATCTACCAGAATGTAAAAGCTGTGCTGTAGATTAGGTGGGACTACAATTCCAAAATGTCCAATGTTAGTACTAATTATACATTTGTTAAATTGCTTTTTTTAATTATTTCATTAAAGTACAACTAGTTTTTGTGTTATGGTATTACACCCCTCTTTATTAAATTATTGTTTGATGCTATTAGAATATTTAATTAATACTTTTAAAATGTAATTTTCTGTTATTTTGTGTTTCTGCATGCACACTCTATATCTCTACAGGTATGGTGGGCAGCTTCAGATTTAGGATGGGTTGTAGGACATTCATTTATCACCTATGCACCATTGATTAATGGATGTACAACAATACTGTACGAGGTAACTTAAATTATTGTCATTTGTAGTAGTTATCTGTTTTGAAAAAGATTTCATGTAAAAAAAAAAAACCTGCTAGTTCAGATTGCAATATTTATTGCAAGATATTTTTCCTTCTTTCATCATCACAGGGTAAGCCTATTGGAACCCCAGACCCAGGGGCTTTCTTCCGTGTGATAAACCAACATAAAGTAAGTGCTATGTTTGTAGCACCAACAGCATTGAGAGCCATTCATGCTGAGGTAAGTAATCTGTTGCTTTTTTAATTCGTAACTAGATTGTTAATGTTATATGTTTTCTAGTCCCATTTTAAAACTAAAAGAGCATTGTGTTGCTAACCCTCTTGTTTCATGTTTCAGGATGAAAATGGGGAATATGCTAAACCTTACTTACCTTTGGACAAGTAAGATATTCTTCTACTAGTGTTTTTTTTTTTAAAAACTAAAAATCAAAAGCTGTTCATTCTTTTTTGTTTGTTAAATTTAGTATAGTAACCTAATAATATTGCATCTTATCTTTATAATATGGAGTTATATAACATAAATTAATTCTTTCTTAGCTTTGATGCTTTGTTTGTGGCTGGAGAACACTGTGATCATGAAACCATGCATTGGATTCAAGCTCTAATAAAGAAACCAATTTTAGATAACTGGTGGCAGACAGGTGTGCTATTGGTCAGGAGTCTGGAATCTCTTTCTTCTTCTTCTTCTTCGTTCTTAATTATTAGTGTTGAAGGGGATCGAGATTTATCTGCCAGTGGGTTTTGAACTCGAGACTTTGTTCGAATTTATCAACCATGAGCTTTTTGCCGACTCGACCACGCCTCCAACACAATTAAGCGTTACGTGTCAACTGGTTATGCGCCATTGAGGCCATTGACTCCGTTTTCAGCCTGCTTTTCTTTTTGGATTTGCTTCCATAGCCTTTGTCCAACCAAGATAAACTACAAGGCAGCGGTTGTTTAATTTTGGAGTTAGCTCTCCTAGAAGAGTGGCTGTCCCCAGCTAACGAGCCTCATCTGCCAGAGGGTTCGAACTCGAGACTTTTCGGTTTAGCAACCATGAGCTTTACCGACTCGAACACGCCGACCCCTGAGTCTGGAATAATTAGAAATACCAAGAAATTTATAATATAAAGAGAAATTAGTTTATTATGATAATGAGAGATAAATTTATCATGCTCATGGTGTCGGGTTTAACAAAGTCAATAACACTGACTTTATACATTCAATAAACACTAGAAAACTTTTTAATAACATAAAAACAAAGATCTATGGAAAGAGACACTTATTTAAAGACTTCCTTAAAAAATGCTCTTAGTAGACACTTTTTAAAAAAAACATCTTTCAGATTTTGGGGCAATGTCATATCAAACTAGGTTTTATATGGGCTCAGTTTTATTATACCTAGCTCAAAATTAGTTTCAAAAATTCAATAAATTCACACCATCAGTTCCAACATTTATTGCTGTTCTTTATTATTACCTTTTTTGGTAATACATTAAAAATATTTCTTCCATGAATGCAGAGACTGCCTGGCCAATGACTGCAACTTGTAAGGGTCTTGGTATGAACCTTTATCCTGAAGCTGGTACAACTGGCAAGCCTGTTCCAGGATGGGATGGTTAGTAGTGTTTTTATAGCTGCAGTTTTTGAGTGCTCCAAAGTGTTCTTTTTATTTAATAAACCTTTTAAACAATTTATTTTTGTATTTAGATAAAATCTGCTTTCCAAACCCAATAATAATTTCTATTGTACATTTTAAGTGAAAGTTTTGAAGTCAAATGGCGAGGAAACAGCTCCGGGAGAGCTTGGGCAGATCTATGTCAAGTAGGAGAAATTTTTAATATTTGTAGTGTGGTACAGGTTACATTTTTCTTAATTAAGCGCACTATATTGATACCTACAGTAAAAATCTAATATAACTAACTAGAAGTACATAGTTATGACACTTAAATTAAGTTTTAATTATTTAACCTTTTAAACAGGTTGCCATTACCTCCTGGGTTTATGTCATCACTTTATAAAAATGATAAATTGTTTAATGACTTGTACTTCAGCAGTTTACCTGTAAGTGTTGTTAGAATTGTAGGCTGTAGAATTCTTTTGTTTTTATCATTTATTTTAGTTTTATTGTCTGTTAATTCTAAGAAGTATTTTTCTAAATGTATGCTTTTAAAATAAGTTAGATTACTTGTACTGTAAATATTCATTTATATTTAGCTGTAAGGCTATAATGTGAATAATTGTACTTAGATCTACTTATTTTTAGCTGTTATGAAACTGTAGATATCTATAGTTACTTATTTTTAGCTATAGGACAGTTTTGATACTGTGGATAACTGTGTTTAATGTCAACTGTAGGGCTATTATGATACAATGGATGTTGGTACCAGAGACAAGGAGGGTTACATCTCTGTCTTGTCTAGAAGTGATGATGTCATCAATGTTGCTGGACATCGGTTATCATGTGGCTCTTTGGAAGAGGTTTGTCTGTTAGCTAAATTATGACTAGTTGATTACAGTTTCTTTAATATAGCTCAAAGATTATATTAATTTGATATCAAATGTATTATAAATACATCTCTAATTGAATTTTTTGTCCAGATTTGTGAGTTATAGTTATTGTTAAGCTTATGTTGAATTAATGACAAGCATTAATTATTATTATGATCTTTTTATCGTTTATACTTTGATAGAGGTTTTAAAATGTATATTGATGACATTTGAATGAATGAATTAACATTTTTTCTTTTTGTTCCTAGGCCATTTTAGAATGCCACTTAATTGCAGATGCTGCTGTAATTGGTGTACCTGATAAACTAAAGGGCAGTGTTCCACTTGGTGTCTGTGTTGTAAAACATGGTTAGCTTTTTTTACTTGAAAATCTATGTAATTGTAATCTTTTTAGTTAAATGATACTGCCCTTTCCCCTGCAAACATTTATGTTACGGAAAATTGTTAAAAGTAAACAAAAAGTTAATACAAATAATGATTACATTAATTTATGTACACCTAATAGTGAATATTTACATTTTTCAGTTTAAAATAGACTTTAAAAAAATTCTGTTTATGCCAGGTTTAAAGCAAACTGATGAGGAGATAAAAAAAGAGGTGGTTAAGTATGTGAGAAACATCATTGGGCCTGTGGCAGCTTTCAAACAGGTTGTCATTGTGCCCAAACTCCCCAAGACAAGATCAGGAAAAGTGGCCAGAAACACAATCGCAGCTTTGGCAGCTGGAAAACCTTTTAAAGTAATTTCTTTTTCAAATTAAAAGATGTAAAATCAGTCCCGCTGCTATAATAAATTTTTTAAATTTAATACAATAATTTTTTTTTTATTATGGTGACAGCTAAAGTTATTTTTTATATGCTAATAGCAATAAGATTGCAGTTTGATTGTTTTTACCAGATACTTTGATCTGTGATTAAATTATTTTTTTGGCTTCTACCCTTGTATTCATTTTACAACATGATCAAATAACACTTTAAATTCAATATTGAAATAAATCTAATATATACTTTTTAAAATATCTCCAAAATAACTATTGTAATAATTTCCTATTTCAGATACCTGTCACAATTGAGGATCCCACTGTTTACCCCGCTATAAGAGACAGGTTAATAGAAATTGGGCTTGCTCCAGGACCAGCCAACTATAGTTGGTATGTAGCTAATTCATATTTAAACACAAATATTATAAATGGAAATGATTATTTTATAAATGGTAAATGTACACGTTTTTTTTTTTCTATTTTTTCTATTTCAGAATAAAAGAATAACTGGAAGTTTGTTTTGTTGATTCTTACAAGTCATTACAGATTGTGTAACATTTTATGTGTCAAGTGTGTCAGGTCAGAAGGCTTGCCTGCATGACATTATTTAACAGATATTTAACATTGGTTTTTGGTTTTGTTGTCTTCTTCCTTATCTGATTGGATATGGAAAAAATATATAATCTGTAATTACTAGTGAATTTTATACTGTTTTAAAAAAAAAACTATATACACTATAAGTTCAGCTATTCTGTGTTTGCGTTTACTAATATTAATATACAGTAGGTAGCTTCTGGGATAAATTATTTGCTCAATACATTTTTGGCATTGTTTTGGGGATTATACACTTAAGAATTTATGCATGGGTAAATATTTTAAGAATCTACACCTTTTAAAAACATTTTAATTATACAATAGTTGTTGTAGTCTGTCAATAACTTTATAGACAGTGTTCTTGCACATTTTATTCACTGCTAAGTATAGTTTATAAAAATACTTCACAAATTAAATAAGGTATGACCAAATTTTAAAATTTGCTAATAAAGTAATATTTTTGTTATAAGCTTCTCAAATGTATTGATCTATATTTGATACTTTATGAAGTCTAAAGTATTCTAATCTAAGTTTTTACATTTTATTATTGAGGCTGCCAATTAAAAAACTTTACGACTTTTCTATAATCATTTTTATTGCCTAATTACAATAGTTTTTTTAATAGTAATTTACTCTGATTAACACATTGCAATGAAAAAAGCATTTCAATTTTTAAAATTGTTATATACCTGTACCAAAGTGGTTGATACATATCTCAGTTATTTTTTCATGTAATGATTCTTTTTTGTGTATAGTCAGCATTGTAACTACAAACTCCAGTTGTGAATAAGTCCTTGTAAGCCTCATGCTCAATTCTTTTTTTATGAAATTATGCCTTATACTGTTATTTGCAATAGCTTTTTTTTACTCTCTACCTGTTTTAGTATGTACCATAAGAAAAAATATATTATGCAAATTGATTACTCAGGATATTGATAAAACCATGTTTAATTATAATAATTTATGCATATTTTTTATTTTATGCATTCAACAACATAAGCCTTATTGCGGGAAGTTTTTAAAAAAATGGGTTTTTATTAGTTTTTACAAGTTAAAGAAAATGTAGTAGTTTCTGAATTTTCTTTCTCAAATAGATTTATATTTGATTTGTTGATCGGAATGTTGTTGTCTGTATTGAAATACTGCCCAAGCTATAATGTGCCTTGATATTTTAACCTTACAAAATATAAATTCCTGTATTAAATCCTTTCTTTCTGAATATTCTTCATTAATTAAATTTTTTAAAATATTAAACTTAGTAAAGATAAAAAGAAAAGAACACTTTGGTATATTTTAAAAATTATTAGGTACACAAATTAAACTTAACTCTTACTTCACATTCATTTTCTTCTCATGTAAATAATTGACTTTTAGATATGTGTCCCCCTTTTTTGTCGATCAATGCTTGGTTGTGATTTGACTTGAAACAATATATTGAGTTTCATTGATATTTCAATAACAGGTCATTTAAACCATTGCAAGTTTTGTTGCAAGCTGAAGGCTGGTTAAATCATTAATGTAAACTATAATACAGTAGACAAAATGATTAGGCTATGCTTAAAAAAGATTTATATTTTAAAAATTGTTTCCTAGTATTATTTTTAAATACAAATGTGGCTGTTGCATAAATAAATGTACACATAATACAGCTGTAACTATTTTTGTTGGCCTACTCATGTTTTAAAATAAAACAGTACATTAAAATATGATGTTTATAAATGTTGTTTCTGTTTTAATTATAAACATTGACTGCTAAACAAATTATTAGGTTGTTCCCCTTGGTATAATAATCACTTGGTTGTGTTTAACTGAAACTTCAAAATTTAGGCCTAGCTTTCAGTGTTGATTGCATGATTTAATTAAGTGGATATTGAAATGATTTTTTTAATAGATACGCTGTAGCCATATACTCGTGTAGTGTTAGGCTAGATTTGAAAAAGGAGGTCGACAATATTCGGTATCTCATAACTCTTCCGTAAAGAATCTGCTATTACAAGCACTAAAATGACGTCATGCTAAATTTAGCCTATTAAAAAAACACATCTCCTTTACTTTGGACCTGTCGTCTTACTCTACCCAAAAGCCACACCCAATGGGACACTGGTAAAAATATGTTTTCTATAAAAAATTCCCTTTCGTTCGGGGGGGGGGGGGGGTGTAGACTTTCTGGAAGAAACTCTGGCCACACCTACTCCTTATAAAATGGCGTTACAAGGTTCCAACTACCCCTCTACTCAACGCGACGCCTGAGACGATAATTAACTTGTTATGCACATTATTTTATTTCTCAAGAATGTATAATACCGCTTAACTCATCAACACAATAGTCATAACTATCCCCTACCCCAACGCAATGGGCGTCCTATTATCCAATTCCTGTCAACATAAACTTGTCGATTAGATCTATAATCAAAATTACTCATGTTTTCTACATCGGCGTTATCCTCAATATTTTATGTATTTTTTAATTTTTTTTTTCGTGATAGAAGCTTTAAGTTTAAAAAACCCACCCTAAAATAGAGCTATATAGATTACATATTACACGTGGAAGCAAATAGTGACACAATGATGATAATATATGGTGAATATACATCGTTTGATATAGGGATGATGTCTGTAATAGAGGAATCTTCATAGGCCTTATGATCTCGGATCTAGTCCAGATAAGCCCCGCCACTAATGCAAAAAGTGCACGAGCGAAAAGTTAAGCCCCGCTACTTTAACGTTTTAGCCAACTTCAATTGCACGCTCGCAACCTTGATCTATTTCTGATAGAAAATATATACTTTTAACAGTGTCCGCCCCCCCCCCCCCCCCCCAAGAAAGTCTACCCCCCCCCCCCCCCCCGAAAAATTCAAGTGCCCCCCCCCCCCCCCCCGGAGAAAAAAGTCTGGAAGAAACACTGTTTCTGATGTCTAGACATTTGAATGTTTTAATACATGCCATAAAACAACTCCTTATCCGACGGTAGGGTTAGGGATAGGGTTAAAAACTAAAGGTACAAGTGGCGGGGGTTAACTTTTTGGCGTAGCTTATCTGGACAATATCCGGATAATCAGCTTTTTTTTTTTTTTCAACGAAGAACCGTTGTCCATAGGCCTGGTGATATCAATAAGACGAACTAAGCTGTCTCCTTGAGCGCTATCAACAGGGAGGGGGGGGGGGAAGAAAGGGGGCAGCGCAAAAATGTGTAATCGCCCCTTATTAAAAAAAATATGATGCTGATGATCTTTGCAATGAACTTCAGGGCTTGAAAATTTCCAAAGCCTATGTCACCATCTGATGTGCTTCTCTATATAAGAAAAAATGGTAGAATTGTGTACCAAATGTTGTTTTCTTTAATACCTCCATTGTCCGTGACTAGTTGAAAACAGTTTTTCAAAATTAAAATTAATTAAAATTTAGATCTACTTGCATTCAACTATGCCGCAAAACCAAACTCGTGAACTTCGCAACAATTTTAATAGAATGTGATTTCGCTTCGACACTGGGATTGAAGGAATTAATAGTCTCAAAACTTTTGAGAGGAAGAAGGCACGAAAAAATTAAATTTTGAACGTGTAGTCTACTTATAACGTTTATGCAATTGATCATAAATTAATGTCACTTTAATTTAATTGTTTTCTAATGATTATTTATTTTTAAAATTAATTTGTTTGAAAGGGGGCGTTTTAATTCGTTTTGCCTCGGGCGCTAAATAACATGGCACCGGCACTTGTTGATTGTTGTCCAAACATCAGTTAGACCTAATTACACTACACTAGGCGTAATGTTATTAAATTCTTTGTTAATGCTAACACAATAGGATAACATTGTGCTTTTAAGCAAAACCTGACTGGGTAAATTAGATATTCAAATCCATCGTAATTAGCACTTTTTTTGGAGTGTAATTAAATCAATTACACCAGAAACTCAATTTTTACTACTCTTTCTACGACGGCAATTATTGAATTTTAGGATTAGAAACAAATAGACGAATAAAGACTTAAAAATGTAAACTTTTGTATTTATAATGTTTCGTTTTTGTTTATCCCAGTACTAGGCTAAGCTGTCTTGGCTGCTAATTTTTTAGACCAAATTAAAACCAAAATGATTTAGGTTAGCTTATTAAAAGTTTTTAGCTGCAAAACAAACTTTATTTTTATGCTCATAAAACTCAAAGATGCATGCAAATTTAGTTTTCGCTTCTATTTTTAGACAAGTCAAAAGTGTAGGCCTAGGCTAGGCTAATTATGACAGTTGCTTTGGTTAAGTTGCTTTTAGGCCAATCAAAACTGTTTCGGAAAATAAATAAATTTTCAGCCTAGCCTACTGTTTATTCAATTAAAAATTTTTAATCACTAAAAATATATTTTTGGTATGCGCTGATGGAAATTCCCTAAGTAAATAAAATGCGAATCTCATTGTGTTTGTTTAATGAAACGGACTATAAAATTTGAATATAAAACGTCATAATAGTATTCAAATTAAAACGTCATCGCCTGCTTGCTCTCCCTTTCTGGATGCACAGGCTTCGTCCATCATGCCACATCCTTTTGTAAATCATGAAAATATTCCTGAAAATATGGATTCCATAGAAAGATTTGCAGGAATGTCTCAGCATGCAAATGGTAATGGTCTTAAGCTTGTGTCTAAATCCGGATCATATCATTCAAATGTTATTCAATTTGGACAATCGCTGGAAATGCTAACAGAATTTCAAAACATTCGGGATCGCAACCATAACTCGACTTCTGGTGAAAATGGCGTAAATGAGTCAGAAGGTTCTCTAGACTGGAACGATTCGAATAAACTGCTAGCATTTGTTCCTAATCAGAAGGACAAACTTTCATATCGACTTCATGATCACACAGGACTTCAGACAGTTGAGATAAATCCGAATGATTACGTTTTCGATGTACAGGAGTTAGATCAACTTGGCCAACTGGCAGAAAGTTTTTCCCACCCAAAAGCGAAATTCGAGGAGAAGCTGAAACAACAGCTTGACGGTCGATCTGTGGGCGTTAACACCGCAGTGGATAGTGATTATTCAAGTGTGGTGAGTACCAACCTCGAAATAGAAGACATTAATACGCTTTTCGACTTAGATCTAGATCTAAATAAAATAGACCAACATGATGAAGACAGAAAAAATAAAAAGAGCTCAAGCGGTCAACATTTGTTAGCGATCGTTGCGGCCGAATCACCAAACACTAACAAAAAGACGTACGCCCAATCGGTAGCAGAATCTTTTGCAATTAAAGACGATGTCGGTGTTGATGGTTCAAAATCAGAAGACAGCCAATTAGATCTAGAAAATCTAGATCAAGATCTAGAAAATTTGGATTTAAATGAAGATTCATGTAATGAAAATTATTCTAATTTGTGTGAAAACACATCCAAAGAAACTTCACAAGACGAAAATGGAGAACAAAAAAAGTTTTCAAAAAGCTACTGGCGTAAACAGCGAAGGTTGAGATTGAAAGAAAGATTGTTGGCCGAGAAAATGTTAATGGAGAGTAATCCAGATCTTGTGACTGAAAAGGAAGAGAGTCAAAAACCAACGAAAGGTGTTAAATCTAAAGGTATGTGATATACGGTGAATAGATAGATCTAGATCTAGTCTAGATTACCTAGATTCTAGATCAGGGGTCTCCAAACTACGGCCCGCGGGCCGGATGCGGCCCGCGAAGTCCTCTCATCCGGCCCGCGGAGATCTTTTTGTCCAAGAAAAAATCGTTTGTTGGTAATGGCCGAGGAAGTTTGCCCAGAAAAATCAAAGACATGCCTGGAAGAAACTGGCCCCGAACTGAAATTTGATAGCTAATGCGGCCCTCGGACTGAAAAGTTTGGAGACCCCTGTTCTAGATCGTAGTACATGACAATGATTCTCATTCTGTTCTTCTAGAAAAATTATGCAGAACAGTGGCGTAGGCAGGGGGGATCATAACCCCACATAGACCCCTCGGTATATATATATAAAGTATGAGGGGGGGGGGGTGCAAATCGAAAGCTTGTCCCCGGGTAAAAATTGGAACCCCCCCCCCTTGAGACGATCCTGGCTACGCCACTGATGCAGAATAAATAGTATCGTATCTAATGTTGTTTTTTTTGTCTGTGGGTACTGCTGACGACTCTTACTAGACTAGATCTAGATCTAGTTTAGTAACTAGATCTAGAATCTAGATCTTATCTGAGATTAGTGGATATGGTTAGAGATTCTAATTTTAGCTACTAGATTCTAGATCTAGTCTAGTTCCTAGGTGGTGCCGTCAATAAATGACGTCAGTCAAAATAAAAAAAATAAAAAGCTAGGTAAGCCTTGAAGTTAATTATTGTGGGTAAATTGTCGTAAGATTGATTAATGTACCTTAGCCTATCTTGACCCACCTTAACCAATATATTAAATATAGAGGGTCATCCGTAAATGATGTCAAGCGTTTTTGGAGGATTTTACCTCCCCCCTCCCCTCCATCACACATCGTCACAAAAAGCCAGACCCCCCCCCCCCCCACTCTCAAAATTGCAGTTGAATTTTTCTTAAAATAAGATAATTTTTCAAAATTTCGTGCTGAACTGTCATCATTTCAATTCCTATGACAATTTATTTAAAAAGTTTTCTAAAACGCGAAATAGAACGGCTAAAATTAGTTTTCTAACATTGCTTTTTAAGTTTTTAATTATGCGCAGAAGTGCGACGTCACACCATCTGACCCCCCCCAGCACACACCGTCACGAAATTACGGAAACCCCTCCCCTACGAGTGTGACGTCATTTATGGACGACCCCTCTAGATCTAGACTAGGGGCCTAGGTGCTAGGCCTAGCTAAAAATAACTCTTTGGAGAGGCTGAAGTGCGGCCTTCACTTGAGTCGTTTATTTTTAGGGGTTGGTCTGACCCATTGTGATAATGGATGTGGAGAAGAAAGGGGTAAATCACCTAATACATGTGATGTCTATTATGTATGGACACCACCCCCACCCCCAATATAACCATTATTTTTAGGCCTAGTGAAAATACACTAGGCCTAGTGAAAATTTTAGTAGACTTTAACTGACACAAAAAATCACATTAATTTGAATCAAATAATCTTGTGTCGACCTTAGGCTAAGCTTTTATTAGGCATGAATGATGTCACACTCCAACTCTAAGGGGGGGGGGGGGGTAGGAAATTCGGAATTTCATGACGATGTATGACAGGGGGGTGGGGACAGAAAGATTTTTAAAAAAAAATATTTTTAAAAGTACGAATTTTATCTGTTATTTTGGCATTTTTAAAAGACTTTTCCCCTGTAAATTATAATAAAAACTGATTAATACACTCAGTAAATGGATGTTTTTAAAAAATAAAATCTGCAATTTTAAGGGGGGTGGGGGGGGGGGGGTAGTAGGCTGAGGTGTGACGTTCTTTTCTCGTGCGATGTGTGTGACAGTGGGGGTCTGGCTTTTTTGTTACGTGTGTGACAATGTGTAAAAATCTAAAAATTAAAGTGTGACGTCATTTATGGATAATCCCTTACGGTTATACTATTACAAAACACCAACATTAAGTTTTTATATAGTTAATATAGAGATATACACAAAGTTTAAGTCAAGATTTTAGATCTTCAAAATATTTGTTTATCTCATAATAAAAAGATCATTTTTTAAAACATTATTTGCCGTTGTAAGTAAGTGATCCATTTCACTTACAGGACACTTAAGCTGAACGCGACTATTAATGTAGGTTAGGCCTAACAGTAACACGGGTACAAACAGTATAGGATAATCGAAAGTCATTCTCTCTACCGCTTGGTCGCGCTGGCTTGTGAATGTGAGGCCTAGTCTGTGACCACCTCGTGACCCTGTGGTCAGACTGTCAATATTAAACCAGCACTTTTACTAAGGCTGGTCTAACCTTACAATTTTAAGGTGCTTTTTTTAGTTGATTATTTCTTATTTAAGGGGTTATTGATAAATTAACTTAACGAGTGATTGATAAAATTAACCTTGATTAGGAAAGCCTAACCATACAGTTTTAAGTTGATAATTTTTATTTTTTTAAATTGGTTACCGCGCTTTCTCAAGGCTCAGCATGTGCTTGAAATCTTTATTTCAACCTGGTTAATACTTGAAATTCATTGAATTGTATTGGGGAAAAGACGTCACTCTTTTAAAGCTATTTTATTCTCTTCTCCCCTTACGTCACACGTCGTTGTTTATGACTGAAGCCCCTTTCCCGGAAAGTATCTTTCTGCGGTTTTGATTGATGATGTTTTCCGATTATTTAATTGTTGGTGATCAGTTGGCTACTAATTTTGGGAGTCGTTTTGAAAAAATACTTTATAAACCTAAAAAACTTCCAAACGAATTAGTTTTTACAAGCTTTTATTTAACTCACTTCCTCGTCAGTCTGTCGTCAGTCGTCAGTCTGTCTAGACGGAAACGCAGGAGTGAAAATTCGGACAGTTCTACTTGACCGACACGATTCACAGTTGGCACGTGGGTCAAGACATGAAGACAATGCAATCTGAAACTAAATTTGACTTAATTGGATGCCTAATTGATTTTTTATGAATTAATTAAAATTTGGACCGAATTAGTAGGCATGTCTAGCCAACCACACCACACGCGTCATCAATAGCTGCGCCATCACGACCACGTAATGGCTGCGTTCAAAAACCATTGCGCGCCTACTGAACGTGATATTCAGTAGGCGCGCAATGGTTTTTAGTCATGTAACTCTATTGTAGATAAAACATGTAAAGTACTGAAAAAAAAATTCATAAAAAACGTTTTAATAACAAGCTTTTATGTAATGATGCACTAAAAAGTAGAAAATAAATTATAGACTACTATTTAAATAACTATAAAGAAAAGCGTGGGTGTCTTCCATAACATTAGTAAAGGTATCCAATAGATACTAAAGTGACCCACGCTTTTCTTTATAGTTATTTAAATAGTAGTCTATAATTTATTTTCTACTTTTTAGTGCATCATTACATAAAAGCTTGTTATTAAAACGTTTTTTATGAATTTTTTTTTTTTAATGTATTACTTAGAGGTAACATGCTAAATAATGTCACCATCTATCAATCAGAAAATGCAGATATTAAATTCTATCAAATACCCATACCCTATTCCTTACTACTGTCATTACTCTGTTTTACCTCTTCAGTCTTATTTTTAACCTTGGGGAATATGATATCATTGCTTTAACATCAAAGCACAACCACTCCAATAATGAGTTATCTACAATAACTTATTGGTTTTCATCCCCAGCACAGATAGATTCTAGTCCATATTTAGACCTTTCATTTTAGAGTTACTAACACATCCAAACATAGAGCTGTTATATTTTTTGGTTTGCTAACGAATCTAATATAAATAGGCCTAACTAAGTTGCTCATTTACAATAAATATTTATCTTATAACTTAAAAGGTCCACTAATTAGTTTTCGTGATTTCAGGAGTAGGCTAAATTATTGAATGTCAACACATTTCTCTTTTTTTTGTAAATGAAAACTGATTCTTTCAGTCAAACAACAAAAACGCAATCAGATTATTTGAATAGGTAGACTATCGCCAATAACAATACCTAAGAGAACTGTATATTGGAAATTTTATGTTTACTCTGCGTGCATCAATCAATCGCCAACGCGCCATGTGCACCTATACTAGTGGTTCTGATCAGCTTTATTAATCCCCGTAGCCAGGTAATATAAACCCTAATGCATTGTGTTACGATATCAAGCAACCCTTCAACGAATAGTTGAAATGGTGTCTGCCGTTTTAGAAACGTGACATCACTAATGGAAACTGCTCTTGAATTACCTGACTTTATTTATTTAAGTAAGAGCCCTCATTAGCTGTCGCATGAAATCATGCCTAACCTACTAAAAATAATGATAATTAGACATGTCATAGTCTTTGATATACAAGGCAGGTAAGAATATCAAATTCTGCATCGTGATTAAACTGTAAAGCATCTACTCTAGCTAAATAACCCAACGCGGCCTTTCTATTGTGCAGTTTTTATTACCCTTTCAACTTTACTTTGCATGAGACAACGCCATAATATACACTACCTAGTCGTTTGACATAGCTTGCTCCTATTTTTGGCCTTGAAAGTGATATCTGCAGCGAGGGTTTTTTCCCCCTGGACTCCGCCGCAATGTAAGAGAGGCGCTTAACTGGTATTCGTTTTCAATCAATCACTTTCGGCTGGTTTTTAACTGTAGTGTTAGTGCACTGGTGTCTTTTATGCCGTTGTGTGTTCTTGTTTTAGCTTTTTTTATAAAGGCTGTTTTAAATAATTCGTTAACTGTGGATTACTATTCTCTGATATTTTAATGCATTTTTTATTTTTAAAAAGTGTAATATGTATTTGCATTTAGTTTTGTTTAGACATGTGTTGTTAAAGATAATCTGTTTCAGTCAAAATATTATAATGATCTTTGTAAAGTGTATCAAATTTTAATTTTAAAAGTTATTAAATTAAATGCTGTAGTCAAAAGTATAAAAACTTTAAAAAGTATTATAAACACATAAGTTACGACTCATTTCTTTTAAAAAGTGCCTAATGAATCATTCCCTTTTAAAAATATCTTTTTCTTTAGAAATAACTTTTAAAATTATCTTCAATGAACATTACCTTTACAAACAATGCAATGTTGTATTCTTTTAAAGAGATCCTTAAATTTGAAAATAATGTCGGATTGATTTAAGCCAGTCTTTTAACAAACAATGGAATTATAAAAACTGCTACCCATTATTGTGAGAAAATATTACGTTAACCTGAAAATTAAAGGAGAGTAGGACGCCTTTATAAATGTCGCATTCTTGTTTCGACCCCTAATTGTTGATAAATAAGAGCTCTTATCTAGCATGTCCGAACACATCGAAAAGAAATCGGCTTATCTGTCACATAAAATGTTTATGGCCCATTTATCAACCAAGTATCAAGATTCATTTCTTGCTTAGTTTATAAATACGTTATCGTAGTGTGTATTTTTTAAATAGCATTGCCAGTGCATTCAATAAAAAAAATACCATTTGCTTTAAACGACGATATTGTAATACACATTGCAAACACTACATTAACAAACATACTTTAATGGATGGCTAAACTTGATCTGCTGATAGTATTATTTTACAGCAAAGCCAACTATTGATAGGGTCTATTCAAAACAGTAGAAAGTTAAACCTATTGAATGTCACATTAGTATTGTGTTACAGCAAAGCCAACTATTGATAGGGTCTATTCAAAACAGTAGAAAGTTAAACCTATTGAATGTCAGATAGACAGAAAAAAAATTAGGTTTGAAAATAATAGTTTTGCCCTAAACTATAAACAAACTATTATTTAACAAATCCTGTCGACGAACAAATTAAATATCTTAAATCTCGAAAATAGCCAGGATCTGTTAGCAATGCCATAAAGTATTTTTATCTCGAAGCTTCTTCTGTTAACATTTAAAAATGCATGTACTATTTACATTTTAGGAATGTAGTTTCGTGCTTTTCATATATTTCTTGGATCATATGCCTACTATATACGTTGTATAGTTTATGTGCCAAATATAGGGCTTTATAACGCTGGCCTAATAATGTTTGTGTAAATATAGATTTGGAATTACTCTAAATGTTTTAACCAGAACAAAAAGTATATTATCAAAAACGTATAATTAATCATGGATTTCTACAAACAAGATTTGTTATCTGCTTAAATCACAATGCCTCGAACAAGAATAATCAGTCGGACTAAAGCACCAGTATCACCGCCCACAGTTGCTACATCGTCCGTGTTATCATCAAAAGTCCTTATGTCTAAGAAAAAGGTGATTATTCACCCGTTGTCGTTCACCAACAAAACTCATACACATCGATATCTAGAAGGCAAAGTCTGCCAATCTAATCTTGGTGAATCAAACCAGTACAATATAACTGGACCACTGACTGATGAAATCAAGTATTTCACGATCAATGATCAACATCGCAATGCAAACACGATTGTTAAATTGAGATCACCATCATTTGAACACTATTCAAATCGATCTCAACGGATTAGTTGCTGCAGAATTAGAAAGGATTCCGACTCCGCTGAATTTAGCCGTGCAGAACATCAGGAAAGTGGATATTGTTGTAAATATCGTGATAAAACATTTTCCATTAGTTCCAATCAGACTATATGTGAAGGTAGTGCAGAAAGCTGCAAAATAGAAGAGATTAATGACGTATTTCAAATTAAGGATGCAAATAATGTTGCTTCTCTAGACCAAAGTAAAATAAACTGTAAGGGGCACACTGACATCAGCAAAAATACTGGCAATGAACGTAGAAGCCGAAGTCATAAAAAAAATGATTTTGATACGGGTATGTATAGTATTCGAGTTTTACGCGAAGTTCACAGAAGTAACAGTGAAAATAAATGCCCTTTGACTATGAACAGTAAATGTGCAGAAAAAGTTAACAAAAAAGATCGATCAAGTGTTACAGTAGATAAAGTAGACGATTTTATGAGGGGTGCAACACATTTCGAACTTTCATCGCAAAATCCGACAAGTATTTCAAAACAAGGGATGAAAACAAACGCTGTTGAATCGGACGATAAAACCGAGTGTCCTCTGATTTCCGGCTTAATTCTAAATTTTACATCTAACCAAAAAGCTGTGTCACGCGAATCAGCCACAAATATGGACTTCATTCAAGACGAGGACAGCAATTCTGATAGTAAAACATGCCCCTCCGTATTAGAAAAAAACGTCTCCAAAGCTAAGCGCAGAAGAAGGCGAAGACCAAAAAGACAACTATTGGCCACAACGACTGATATCAATAGTACAATAGTTTTTCCTACGCATTCAGAGTCCAACATTACTTCTGTTGACAATAGTTCTTGCTCGCATTCCTCGTGTACCTCCCTAGAATTAAGTATAGATTCACGCAGTTCTTCAGCTGAAAGACTAAGACTATGTTCATCTCCTGACTTTGTCTACGACCCTGAAGTCGCTAGTCAGATTCCCTTTTATTTTAAAGAACCCGTTTTAGAAGACTCTGGTCTTCCTCACTTCACTGTTGATTTTAATTGCAATTTACAAACGTGCGAAGACGGAGATGATGAAAGATCAACGTCTAGCTGGACTGAATTCGATAAACTGTCAGATTTTGATGTTACCTTTCCTGATCCACTATTTGATTTGGATAATTGTGAACCGTCAGAATGCCTTATCGAAAACACAACTGGTAGTGTTTTGACCTCAAATGAAGAAGATCATAACATTGCAAATTTACAACCTACCTCACCCATATGCGTTTTAGAACCTTTAGGTAAGTTTTTACTTTTTAAATTGCTAAGTAGCTTTGATCAAACTATGAAACAGTACCTACTCGAAGGTAATTTGCATAGTAGATATTTTTAACTAATTACAACCAAACATTTCGTACCGCTTGTATCATATATTCCTTCTATTACTGATCTGGATTCAGGGATTAACTGTTAATAATACTAAATATAATGTTTTCATTTAGTTACAAGCATAAAAACACCAAACTATATGTTGTCCTATTCAGGTTCTATTAACTGTGAAACGCTAAATTTTTATTAGCTTTTCTTTTTATTTATAAGCACTGTCCCAGAACCTTTGTAAGTGTCAACTATCAAAAGAAAGTTGTCTTTCAAAACATACCAGTCGCCGTTGACGCATGGTGTGTCTTTCTTCCATTCTATATATCTTCTTTAGAAACCCGAAATACACAAGCTTTGACTAATTTTGAAGAGAAAAAAGATTAACGTGCGGCAGGTAGTTTGTTGTGTAAACTCGATTAATTTACAATATACAAATTATTTCATTAATTTTCTTATTCCCTTTACTTAAGTCTCTAACTATACATTTGCAGTTCAGAATACATTATACTATACCTACTAATATATACAAACATTTCCTTTTCCTTATCTGTTAGCACTTATAGATCGAGATACTTTTATATTTAGGCTACACAACTTGAAAACACACTATAGTGCTTTCCTTTTCGTCTGACTGGAGTCTAAATGTCAGGTGTAATGTCGTATCGTTTGCCCATTGAAAACATTTTTGCTTCAAGGCTATAAAATCGATCAGATCGACAGAGCGTTTTAAAGCTATAATAATGGGAACGTGAATATGTACTTCACGTTTAAAGGTGTGGGTAGAATGCGGGCGCATTTCCATTTTTTTTATTCCTACCTTGTTTCACTTAGAACTGGCATCACACAAATCTTTAATTAATTGAGTCAATAGCCAACTTCCCTATGGAACCTGGTTTGTTCATTGAGCCATATAAAATCAATCTGGGCATGTTGTTTTGATTATATTCAGATCGAAAACACGCGCTAAACGTAGGGCTGATGAACAAAATCGACAAGCATGGCTATTGGTTCATTGCTTCTACCTCGCTAATGGATTTTCCGAAAGTGTTACTAGTCCTACTTCCATACCTTATTGAAAACTTGACCTTTGAATGAATTAGCCATTGCTAATCATAGTCTTAATCATCACGCTAAGAATTAATTTAGCTTTATTCAGAAAATGTGATATTATAATTTTTAGGCTTTTGTTTAAAAAAATCAATGTATTACTTTTCAAACACACTTCGCGAAAAAACAGTTCTCTCTAAAACACTCCACACTACCTACTGCTACATACTAATCTTAAAATTAATGTTAATTATCAGCCTTATTACATAGGATCATACATAATTATAATTCTTTAGTAAACCTACAGAAGTTGCTGTTCTCGTCTATCTCTAATGAATACATTGCTGGATTTCCGAACTGTACGTAATTATTAATACTATGGTTTATGGCTTATGGCTACTTGGGGCACCTTACTATTCTTTCATAAATTCTACTTTAAATCTAATTTGAAACACAGATAAGCACAGAATTTAACTTCAAAAAGGCAAATTTAAAAGTAGACTGAACTGGAGTTTTGTTAAAGTAATCTTTAGTACATTTCAAAATAGTTTTTTTTTTTAATAACCGCGTTTCTCCCCCCCCCCCCCCCCAAAAAAAAAAGAAAAAATTAAAGGGTGGTGGGGGGGGAGAGAAGAATGGAATGCATGGTATTTAAATATTTCTATTTTTCTTACAGAATTTATAATAAATAAGCTCGATTTATTTTTCTTTCACACAAACATTTAAGATTGTTTAATTGTTGGAAGCCACAAGACGGCTTTCATACAAAGATCTCCCATTCCCAGGACATAAAATCTTTGTAGTCGTGGCAAAAAGTAAATAAATAATGGACATTTCCCCCCACACACCACCCCGTCGTTTGATGTCCATATAACTATAAGGAAAAACAAACATAGATAAGGATAGATTTTATTTAAAAAAAAAAAAACAACGCTTTTTTGATGAATTTGATATTTTATTTTTAAAGTAAAGGTAAGTTTTAAAAAGAGATGTAGGCTATTTCACACAAATACTGCAATATGCTTCGCTTATTAAAACTTCGCATGTTAAATTCTTGCGCTGCTTGTTTTGTTTTGGTTAACAACGTCTTGAATTTATTTCAAAATATTAAAATGGGATTGTTTGTTCTCTCCCTAAACGTATTGTTAAATATAATAGTTAATCTCCCTCAGTAATTGGTTTGTCAAACTTTCTTTAGTAGTACTAGTAGGCTATTTGTCGTGATATATTTCAGGTGGTCGGGACTTGTCCAACGATCACTTGTTATGTGAGAGAAATACGATATATACTCTGATTGGCGCCTAGCTGCATTCTTTTAGATATAGATCTATTACTTTAATAAGAGGTATTTTTTTAAAAAGTCAGTGGTGATGCTCATGTGACATGAGCATCACCACTGACATGACATGTCTAATGGGATTTCTTTTGATGCGGATGGTTTTTTCCAAGTAGTTTTTTATTTTGTTTGGACACTACGCGGAGCTGCTTACTTTTTCGACGGTCATCTAAGACGTTGAAACAGTTTAGAATTAACTTCCTAATAACTTGAAATAAGGGACCATTCAATATCATAATCAACTGAAAAAGCGGAGATTGTAACTTGCAGGTTTCCCTTTCCTTGGTTCGTTTTTCCCACCCTGTTAAAAAGGGAGTCACCGCTTTGGGGTCGTCCATAAATGACGTCACACTCGTTGGGGGAGGGGGGGGGGGGGTCCGTAATTTTGTGACGGTGTGTGATGAGGGTGGGGGGGGGGGGGGGTTCAGATGGCGCGACGTCACACTTTCACAATATAAAAAAGCAATGTTAGAAAACGAATTTTAGACGTTATTTCGCGTTTTAGAAAACTGTTTTAATAAATTGTAATAGGAATTGGTTAAAATACTCTATTTTGACAGAGTTCAGACAAGATTTTAGAAAAATATCGATGTTAAAAAAACAATAAATTCAACTGCAATTTTGAGGAGGGGGGGGTTGTAGGCTGAGGTGTGACGTCATTTTAGGGGGGGGGGGGTCTGGCTTTTTGCGACGACGTGTGACGGAGGGGAGGGGGGGAGGTAAAAATCGTCAAAAAAGCGTGACGTCATTTATGGATTACCCCCTTTTCTCTGCTTTCTTAATCGCGGCAGAGTTCTTTAGTTAGTAGTTAGATCTACTATATGTAAACTCATCTTGAACCCGAAACTGTTTTTGTTAATTACATTTATCAATTGTTCATTATAAACACACGTGAACTAATCTCAAGTGTCAGGGTTATTGCCCCGGAAGGAGGGGGATGGATTTACCCTTTAGGATATGATTGACACTGGAAGATGAATAGAGTTCAAGTGTTTCTGCGACAACGCCATATTTAAAAGATAATGCTGTCAGTGCTATCCCCATTATTCGAGTGCACCAACGCCCAGCCACGCCATCCACTCGCAGCCTGGAAAATGTCTGAAAATCTGTAAAGAGTAGGCTACTTACAAATGTCTGGAAAATCACTAGTTATTGGGCTGGTTTTAAAAGTATGGAAATTGAAATTTTCTTAAAAACTCTCCTTAGTATTTCTTTCGGTAGCTAGGTAAATTGCTATGCGTAAAAGTACAATGCTTTAAGCGAATCTCCACTCAACAGTTTCGTCGCCCCACGCCACCGTCTACACCGCGGCATGGTGACGTATGTTGCAGATCGGAACTAGTGTTGTGCTTTTAGCTAGCCTACTAGGCCTAGTACTATATTGTTTATTTAGTTCTTACTGTAGGCCTATCATCATGCGGCGACAAAACGGACCCAACAAATCAGCCTCGTCAAATCGATCCCGCCGAAAGGCAAAGCGACCACTGGACGTCATTAGTAGCCTACAATTTCCGTGATTAAATGTTTCAAACAACAGGCATCTGTCGTTCAGGCTCCCGACAAAGCAACCCAAGTCAATAGGGTAAACGGAAAAAAAGTCACAGGAAAAAAAAACACAGAAAAAAAGTCACAGTTTTTGCTAGGAAAAAAAATCACAGAAAAAAAGTCACAGTGGAAAAATTTTATCGGAAAAAAAGTCACAGAAATAAAGTCACAGAAAAAAAGTCACAAAAATCTTTTTAGAAATATTTTTATTAATTTGTTAAGAATTGTAAAATTGTGTGTGTTTATTGCTGTGGGTTGTATTTTTTGATAGCATAAATTATTTACAGACGTTAAAAGCATTATGATTTATAACAATTGTAAGTAAAAATATTCTAAGATAATTAACACAACAATCTCAACTTTTGTTACGTATTTAGTTAAATACGAGGTAGTAAAGTTAATTATAAAAGATATTTAGGCACATTTTGCCTTAGGCTATTCTCCGGTTGGCCTCTCCTCAGTAGGCATTGTCCGAACATATTTTGTGTTGTTGACGTTATGCGTCAATGACAGCCTTTGAACCTTGTCGGCTTTCTATTTTGATCCTAAGTTTTGTTATGTAATGAGCGTGATACATGTGGGCAGTAAAGGTGGTTGAACTAAACATAACTATTGTTGCCATGAGTTGAGGGCAGCAAGTCAGATGAACTTACCATTTCACGGTAATTTAATGGTATTTAAAAATAACACGATGAAGACCGTTGACTTTGGAGCATTCTATTAAATGCTACCAATCTTAATTTTAAAATAATTACAATCTACATACTTCATAATAAATATTTTTAGATGAATTATAAAAATTCCTATGCGTATACAGCCTACACACATTACATTACATTTAATTAATCCTAAGTTAATTTGCACTCTCTAAATATTTAATACATAAAAGTATTAACAAATATCATGCAAATATATATTTGTGACTTTTTTTCCTGTGACTTTTTTTCCTGTGACTTTTTTTCCTGTGACTTTTTTTCTGTGTTTTTTTTTCCTGTGTTTTTTTTTCCTGTGACTTTTTTTCCTACAATCGTCAATAGGACCCCACCTCCCTATTTTTTCTTTATTGCACCTGAGTTAGATTAGCCACGTCTATAGTTCTAGATCGACATGCTTGAATTAAAAAAAAATAATTCTATCGTATTTAAAAAAAAATAAGGTGGTAAATTTTAACTTCCTATGTAGCGGCCTAGTGGAAACAAAAACGCTATTGGTCATGTATTTAGAATGTGTACATTTAAAACACAGTGTCACTTCTAACAGCTCTCAACTGGTGTTCAAGTATCGGCATTTGCATAAACAAGATTGGGGAGTGGGGTATGGTCTTGACTTTCTTCTTTGTTCTTAATTGTAATGTTGAAGGGATTTCATCCAACACCATTAAGTATTACTTGTCAACTTGTATGAGCTGTTGATTCTGATTTCAGTTGCTTTTCTTTCTGGATTTGCATCCATAGTTTTTATTCAATCAAGAACAAACTACAAGGTACCAGTTACAATATCAGTAGCCTACCTCTTTCCACTTGTCACTGATGTTACACAAATGATTCTTCACCCCTCTCTCCCAGCCTCAGATGTCACACTGATATAAGATCAAAATGAGTAGCCCTACATGGATATACAAAATAAAATCTCCAAATGTAGATGGTAGCAGGTTTTGAGTCCCCCTTTTTGGAGAGAGAAGTTTATTCTTTAGAATGGAGTGTTTCTTTGTTATGCATAAACTATAGATATTCTTGAGAGGTAAACATGGGAGTTATGTCCCAATTTTTCAAAATGTCATTTTATTTATATTTTATTTCTATATAACATGACCTTTACCAACCAAATGGTCAATATTAAATGGCAGATGTGGCATTTTTATAAATGATGCCAGAGTTAGGGGACATACACTATTCGGCCACCTGCCATAGCCAGAATCTTCTTCCAAACCTATCAATCCTATTGGATGGGCGATAAATAAGAAAAATACCATGCTCAAAGTTATCTTTTTTTTTTTAAAATCAAAGAGTAACTAGAGATATTTGTTCTTCTAGAAATAGATTATGACAGTTACTTGCCAGCTCATGTGCTTATGCATGTAAAGAGAGATCTTGTCAGTGTATTGATGGAGTATGGTCAGACTCGTGAGGTCAAAGTTTCATTCAAGGACATGGAGCGATCTGGACCTCATCATGCATCTAGGTTTGTTGTCAGATAATTAGAAAATTAACAGGGAAGTGCTTGCATTTTCTTTTTCAAAGCATAAATGCTTTTTCATTTATAGCAGAGAAACCTAGTTTAATAAGTTTAATGTCCATTAAAACCTGGGGGGGGGGGGGGGGGGGGGGGGGAGTTCCCATTGACCTACACTACCAGTATTAATTACATTAGTTTTTTAAATGGATGTAAAACACCATCAGTGTGTAAATGTAGGCCTTACCAAACTTGTACACGTATTGTAGTAATAGTTTGTATCTTCAAAATTTCAGGTTCCACACAGCAGCTGTAGTTGATGGTGAAACTTTTCCCACTGGCTCAGGCTCCTCTAAAAAAAATGCTAAAAAGGCTGCAGCTGCTCAGGCATTAAAAATAATGTATGACAGGGGCAGAAAAAATTTAGAAGTTGTCAATGAAATGGCAGTAAGTACAGTATGGTAGGATGTTTAGCGTAGCTTTTGTAAACTATTTGTAAAGTACATTAACTGAAACTACATCACTGCCTTTATTTTATTTTTCTTTAGCATAAAAAGCTTAGAGCAATGTCTGATGAAGAAGTAGGGTCTCATGCCCATAGAGTTGTTTTGGTATCTCGTCATGTTTTGGACACTGCAGAGGAAACACAATTTATCAATTACAGCAAAGACAAAATTGCAGCAGCTTTTGTTTTGGAATATCATGGCAAAATGAGAGTTGTAGGCTTGGGAACTGGTAAACTTTATATAGACATTTTCACTTTCTCCATGATTATATTTTTCTTTTGTTTTGTCATAAAACAACCTAACTTTCTGCAGGACAGATGAGGTAGAATTTTTAGTTTTGTGGCCACAGAAATATGACACCTTTGTTTTCACAGCATCACAGAATTATTATTTGTCAAGAGGAGTGTAAAACCCTAATATACATCTTAAAGCCTCAAAATCAAATAAGATATTTTTCAAACATTAAAGTTTATTATTTTAAACTTAATTTGTAGCACACAAGTTTTTCTTAAACTTAAATGCAGCATATCTCTCAATTTAAAAAAAATTATCAATAGCGAACTCAAATTTTTTTAACAACAGTAAAATGGAAAAAAAATCTATATCTAATTAAATACAGTTATATGTGTTAAAAAATCCAATTCTCAAATTCAGGCACCTTTTCCTTTTTAAATTGTAGGTAATCGATGTATACTTTATCAGCATATGACATTGGATGGTAAGCGTATAATACATTCTCATGCTGAAATTATTGCAAGACGGGCCTTTTTAAGGTAGTAGTTTATTTTACATTTGTAATAGAATTGTTACAAACAGTTAGCCTATATTTAAAAACATGTTTGAAATTATTATTTATTTTTAAGATGCTTTGATAGCATTCAAGTATTATTTTTATTTTTCAGATACTTATATAAGCAATTGCAAACCTACAATGGAAATCGATCTCATCCCATTTTTACTCGGAGCGACACTGGAAAGTTGAAGATCAGAGATAAAATCCAAGTTCATCTCTATATTTCTAGACCTCCTTGTGGAGATGCTGCAGCTTTCCCAACAATCAGTAACTTTCCTAACAAAATGAGGGCCATTCGTAAGCAGGGTCAATTAAGAACTATTATAGATGATGGTATGTACTTGCGTAGTAATCTATCATGGTACATAATTTAAAAATCAACCATAGTATTATTTTATATTTATAAGTCTGTAATAATGATAATGTATTGGGTGAAGTTGAAATATTAATTAATAGACCTGCTCATTTACTGTTTTGTTTAGGTGAAGGAGCCATTCCAACAGATTTTCCTGTTCCAGCTGGAGCTAATGGAAAAGAAAGGTTGCGTATTATGACTTGTAGTGATAAAATATGTCGCTGGAATGTGCTTGGAGTTCAAGGTGCTTTACTGTCTCACTTTTTGGATCCTATTTACATTAATTCTTTAGTCATAGGTAAGTAAAAGAGTTAATTAGCTTACATTTTAAAAACAATTTACAGCTTGTTTTCAATGCCTGATGTTCATTAATTAAAACTTTCAGGAAGTCATACAGGAGATCAGAGAGGTCATGTACCACGTGCTGTCAGTGGCAGACTAAAATGTGGTCGTTTACATGAAGTAATACAGCGACCTTACAGAATAAACACACCAGATATTCACTACCCTCATGATGATTTAGCTGATAACTATAACATTACCAAATCAAAGCAGTATTGTATTACCTGGTCTTATGGAGACATTGATGCTGAAGTCATAGATGCAATCACTGGTGTCACCAATATGGAGTGAGCAAATTTTATTTTAAAAACTTGGGTTTATACTGTCAGACATTTCAATACATTCCATATATTTAAATATTTATTTCATATTCTTTTTTTAGAGCAATGGAGGAAGTAATCCCATCTCGTGTGTCTAAGATAACTCTGTACCAGTTATTTCAACAAGTATGTAAAAGGTATGGAAGACATGATCTTGCCAATCTTGAATATCTGAAGGCCAAACGTTCTGCGACCACATTTCAGAGGATGAAGAGCTTTGTAGGTCAGTAGAGTTATTTATAATTCACTTTCATACATTAGCATGAAAAATCACTTTGGCTTAGAATTACAGTTGTCTTTGTGTAAATCCTAATTTTAATTTAAAAAAAAACAACAAAAAAACAACTTGATTGTCAATGTTTTATTATTTGTTTATCACAGGCCAGCACCTTGCCGCCATGGGTTTCGGCCAGTGGTACTCCCTGCAGGAGACCTATGGAACGGATAGTCTAAAATGTCCCGGGCCGTGCTAGCCCCGTTCATGCGCCTGCCGATATGGGCTCTCGCAAAGCGGATCCAAACACGTTACACTCTCACTGTCTTCGTTTGGTATGGTCTGCAATGCTGAGATAAAACGAGATAATCTTGCACTAATTTTCTTTTATCTGAGCAACGCAAAACCTATCAACTCTTTTGTTTGGTTAGCACAAGAAGATGACCTCATCTTCCATGTTCTAAGTTTGTATGACTTGAGATTTGCAAATCTGTGCCTTTTGTCTCCACCCTATTATTTTGCCAGAGCCAGAATTAAATATATTTTTAGACAAATTAATACCTTTATTTATCCTATTATACTTTATTTAATTATGTATAAATCAGTTTTTATATCACTTTTTTCTGTTTTAAATGCTATATGTGAATCTGAAAGTCCTTATTATAAAATTTATTCCTTCTGGATTTAGGTATTGTAATATTTTTTGTCTTCAACTATAAACCTTTCAAAAGCAAGCAGTCATATGGTTGCTTGGGTTGTGGGATAAAACAGACTAAATGCTCAGATTTGCTTTTCTCTAGTTACTTCCCCTGGTCATATTTTATATTTGTTGTTTTTAATTAATTTGTTCTAGTTCACTTTTTTTTTACCAAAAATTCAATTTGCATTTTACATTTCAAAACTTGAAAAACTAAATATACTATGCATTTAAAGATAAATTCCAACTTTTTGAACACACTATAGCATAAAGGTGGGGAAAATACCATCACTAGCCATTTCAGTGTTAGAATAGTAAAAATGTTGACATTTATTGTCTGCTTTTAAAAAAATCTAAAGGCTAAAATTTTGGTGCATCTCTATGTTAATGATTTTTTTCCAACAAATATCTTCCATTATGTATTTAGTATTTTCTTCTAGCATAATGCACTGTAACTTTAGATTTTTTGTGTTTGTATAATTAACACAAAAAGTAAAATTTAATAATAGAATATATTTTTGCATAAAAAATATTGGAAACAAAACACTTAACAGAAACATCAATATACAGATATAGCTTGCTTTAACCAAGTATTGAAATTTATTCAAAGTGGCCATCTAACAACCATTTATGATTCATTCTACCCATTATTGCAATTTGAAAAGCTTCAAACTATTAATATGCACTATTTTGATCCCACTTTTTAAATTTAAAGATTGCTTAAAATTCTAGTCATGGTAGATTCGTTGTGGGGGCATTGTACAGAAATATATTTATATAAAATATAAATATTTTTTATACTAATTTTATACTATTTGAAATAATAAATTGTTTTAATAACTAAGGACTAGACTCCTTTGTTAATATTCATATGGTTTTAATCTATTGTCTCTATCTTGAAATGTTTTTATACTTGTTAAATTTTTAAAACCTTTCTTAAAGCCGTCTAGTGTGTTAACCTGGTTCCAGCTAGTCAAAAAAAAATTCTAGTTAAAATTAATAACTTCGCATTTACTGCAATTATTATAACCAAATGATTTTCTATGTTAACAGCATTTTAGAGGTAAAAGTTCAATAGTGGATATGTATTTATTTTTGTTAGAGCTATTAAAAAAAAGCATTTATTTATTTAAAAAAATAATTGAAATGAAAAGAACAATGAACCTTTTTAAGAAATATATAATACTTTCTTTATTCATTTGATCTATGGTTGAACTATTCCTTGCATTTTGGGAGTTCTGTGCCTTACTTGTTTAGTCTATATTTATAAAGTGATTTTTAATTATATTAGGATGTTTTGCAATGCTGCCATATCCTTAGAGTTGTGAATTTTATTAGTATCTTGTCATAATTTCCATAGTACTATTGTTCTATTTGGATCCAAAATAAAAAAAAATAACCAATAACATTGATTTCAATGTTTTTTAAGTTTGTTTTGTTTGTTCTACAACTGCTATTGTATAACATCTTTAAGGGTTACACTGCCTGCAAACTCCATATTTGATGAAGATTGTTAATACTTTGACTGTACAGTAGTTATAGTGACCAAAATGTTTCTTTGTTTTAATTGGTTTGCTAGAACTGGCATTATGTGAGGATAAAGACAAATGGAGAATATAAAACTAGAAAATTTCATCCAGCATCATTTAATTAATTAAACTGCATACAGTTATGGAAATTTTTATGGGCTAAAATACAAGACACTAAATACATTTGAAAGTAAAAACATATAGGAGTTAAATCTGGGTAATCATCATCAGGCTATTGTTTCTTTCTTTTCAAGTAATTTATCAACACTACATAACATTGTGATGCTAAATAAAAAACAATATCTTAGAAATATAATTTACAGAGAAAAATGCAATACATTTTTACTATAAAGAGCTATACTTTATTCCAACTTGTTTTAAAACATCTGTAAGTACAGACATGATGACTTCTGTATCTTCATGTGGCACTGTAGAACATTCTTTGTCACCTATTGAAATAGTGGTTTTAAATAAACTTTTGTATATATTGTAGAATATTGTAAAACAAATGATACAAATGAGTATGTTACTTTCGAATAAAGAATAATGTTAACCTCTTAATAGGCACTCGCGTATACATTGTATTTCATAGGTGAATCCTTCACAGTTGGTGAAATTGAATTTTTCCTAAAATATGAAATAGCATTTAAAATTTAAGTATTATGCATTTTATTTGAAATATAAATTGTAAAAATATAGTATAATTAGAATTAATAATTTTTAAAATCCTATATTACTTAATTTTCTTGTAATACAACAGTCGACTATTTTTGACATTACAATACAGCTAAAGCTGTTAAATACATGATGAAAAAATAAACTTTCTAACAAATAATCACTTGAAATCTTAAGACAAGTCAACTTACTTTGTCTTTAACCTCTGGTAATTGAAATTCATGCTTTTTTCCATTAATATAGACCTGAGTTGGACACCACAGCTTATCAGGAATCTAAAAAAAAATACTGTTTTTCAAATCGACACCTCACTATAAAAATGCTTTTTTTTTTTTTAAAAAATTAGCTTTGCACAACACAATAACTGCAGTTTAATTAAATTTATTTAGTTTCAATCACAAAAGCATTTAAAAATCAGCTTTAACTTTAGATTTTGGGATAAACGTATCAAATTCTTAAACAATGAAAAATTTATTACCACCACATTTCCTTTTGTGCCACGAATGATCAAGTGATTCACTCCTTCAGCTGTCTCCATAGAATAGTTTAAACAAGCCAGCTGTCCACTGGGATACTTAAGCAGTATAACACCAGATTTATCTTCACCTACCATAGACACATGTATATGTTCAACCTATTTTAATTTGAAATTTTTGGTTCATTATAGATAAACTTAATTTCTTTTTATAATCAGAGTAAATTAGTTTGATATATTGGCTTAACTACTGAACCTAATTTCACTTGTTTAAAACATTTATAACTGTTTTTATCATTACAAAATCTGTTTATGACTAATATTAATATTGTCAATATGACATCACAATTTATATTTTCAATATAATATTTTACCCGTTTCAGTATATGCAACCTCAGCTTTAACTATTGATGGTTTTCCTTTAAAGAACATATTAGCAGCCTGAATACCATATGCTCCAATATCTGTCAATCCTCCTCCTCCAAGTTGCCATCTATTTTATAATACAGAATTTACTAAATTTTGGAAAAAAGTCTATCAAAGAGATTTAAAATTAGGGCTTAAATATTTTTTTTCATTGGTAATTTATTCAAATTAAAACATTGAAATTTAAATATAAAATGAGATTTTTTACTTTAGCAAAAGTTAACCTGTGGCATCAAATCTATATAGTTACACATTTTTTAATTATAGAGTTATCTCCCCTGGATTAAATATTTGGTTTTACAGTTCTAGAAAAAATCCTGTACAAGAAATGTTGATTAAGGGCCTGAATTAATCAGATATTACAAAGATTTGTTTTATTCTAATTTTAAAAAGCAACAGCTTGATTGATTAAAATGAAGTTTACTTCTTTAACTGTGCAGTACTTAACATCCAGACCACTGTTCACTTGAAGCTAGAGGACGCGCTTGTAGTTTAAAACAGCGCAGTCATTTTGTAAAATATGTAAACCCTTTGTAAGTAATTCAGAGTACCACACACAAACCTTACTTGTCAAGACGTTTCTGGGTCAACTTTGGTCCACAAAATGAAGCCTCTATTATTTTGACATCACCTATTGCACCCTTGACTAGAACCTCTTCTCTCATAAATTTGTAGACAGGAAAAAATCTACTCCACCAACCCTACAAAGAAAACCAATTTGTATTTTCTTCTCAGGCATTACCATATTACAGTATAATACATAATATATGTATAGACACTAACACATCTGGCTTTGGAAAAATGTATAGGTGAATCCTACCTCAACAAAAAGAACATTATTTTTTTTCGCAGCATCTAAGACTTTATGGCAGCCCTCCATTGATAATGCTACTGGCTTCTCACATAATACATTAATTCCAGCATTGAGAAAAAGAAGACATGTTTCTACATGAAATGGATGAATAGTTCCAATGTATACTATATCTGAAAATATATTTCAAGTTGAGTATTGTATTTACAGATCTTGTCATGCAAACAGTAAGTATAAAAATATTAAAGCACAATATGCAACACAGGGCTTGCGTGAATACAAACTAGGCCTAAAGAAATGTAAATGTTTACTTACCTAAGTTAGGAACTTGAAGTAGTTCTTCATAAGAACCAAAACTTTTAGGAATGCTGTGTAGTGATGCAAACTCTTTGGCTCTAGCTTGGTCTTTTGCTGCAATAGCTAAGATCTACCACATGTACATATAAATAATTGCTATAATTTTGATATGAGTAATCTACCAGTTAACAAATAGGAAGAGATAACACAACAAAAAGCTAAATTGAGTAATAAATAAAAGAATGAATAAATTAATAAACATTAGTTAATTTAAACTGGTTAAATTAAAAAATGTTTAAATAGCAATGCAAATGAATAACATTTTGTATAATCCTGTTCTTTAAACTCTACTTGTGTATTTTAAATCTGATGAATAAAATGTATGTGTTCAAAAATAATAATAAATAAAACAATTGTTCAAAGAGTGCTTACTGAATGTTCTGTTTTTGGCAATGAGTTCACGCAGATACAAAAATCATTTGAGATTTGTCCAGCTCCACAAATGGCCCAGTTTGTTGGTTTAGACATTCTTTTATTTTCTTGTAGAGCTACTCCTATATCCTACCAAAATAAAAATTTCAATTTATCACAGCTTTAATAACTTTCATTCCTGTTAGATTACATTTAGAAAACAATGATTAACACACATTAACAATAACCTGTCACCAAATGAACCTGAAATCAATACACACTATCATTTTTTAGCTATACAATGTAATGGTTGATTATTTCTAAGTAAGTGAAAGACCATTATATGGACAATGGTAGATTATATTTTAATTGAAATAGAATGAATAATGTTAATTAAAAAAGCAATTTTAATGTTTTAGTATCTAGACTACGCTACAGTCTAATAGAATTTTTTTTATAGGAGACAGAGGAAGAAACTTGCTGAGTAGAGATGACTGCAGTTCATCTGCAATGTTGGATTTGTATGATCCTACAATGTTACAGTTAGGAATAAAGAAAGGGTGTTTAAATATTTTAAAAATCTTGAATTTATAAAACATATAATATAAAAAAATTCATTACAAGTTTTGGTAAAACTTCTGTACAAATTTGATGTATTTGTATTTTTGGTCATTAATTAAATTAAGGCGCAGGCTATTCCCAGTCAGCTAACATTTCATACAAAATAAGGTTAGGATTAATATCTTTCAATAACAAGAGCATTTATTATGACTGTGGGATAAGGTATAGATTAAGAGAGCAGTACTATTTTTTGGTGTTATATTTTTATAAGATAAAGTATAATGGTTTAAGTTTATTTTATGCACATGTCTGCTACGTAGATGATCAATTGTGCACTCTAAATCTAAAGTAATAAATCAGGGCTTAGTCGTAATAGTAATTTTTAAATTCATAATTGCATCACATTAGTAGTTCAAATTGCTAAACTCCACTGTCATTTAGTATTTTGAAAATCACATAGAATAAATTAAATATCAGGTGAAATAGTTTTTATTATTTATGTTTCCAGTTTCCCTGCAATTTTCCTGTTTTCTTTTTTCTCTCTTAGCAAATAGAAATATGCCTACAATCACTAAACAAATGAGAAAAAATTAAAAACAAGGTAATTAAAAAGTCTAGTGACAATTTTAGCGCAATTTCCTTATGTTATCTAAAAATAGCTCTGTCGTAGCGCAAATCAAGAGCAGGGTTAGTAAAACCATTGGTTAAAATACATGTTTTATTTACAATAGAGTTACATGACTAAAAACCATTGCGCGCCTAGCTACTGAACGTGATGACGCAGCCATTGAACGTGATGACGCGTGTGGTGTGGTTGGATAAAAATGCCTACTAATTCGGTCCAAATTTTAATTAATTCAAAAAAAAATGTGTGACCGAACAAAAGGGTATTTTTGAAAACTTTCTTCGGCAATATTGTTCTAAATTATGGCAGGAATCGATTGGTACATGTTTCAAGTCGCTAAGTGGTCTGGTTGCTGAGATATGGGCCAAAAACTGCATTTTTTCGAGGTTTTTTGGTTTTTCCGGGAAATCCATGAAAGAAACCCGGAATTTTTTGGGCCTATGTTCATCCTCGTAACTTGCTTAACATAATTGCTTTTGGAACTAGTCCTCGATATTGCTTCGTTGAGGAGGAGATACGACTTAAAGCTGCGGACACACATCCATCCATTCATTCATACATTCATACATCCAGAAATGACGGGTTAATAAACGCAATTCTCCAGAATGGAAATTGCGCTAAAAAGCATCTTGTTCATTAATAATAGCAAAAAATAAAAGGTGTGAATAACAAATAAAAGAAAAACTTTTAAAGGCATTTGATGGGTTCAAACCCACAACATCCAACACATCAGCTACACAATTTTCTACTCTACCACACAGCTTCATGCCTTACACAGCTTTTTTAATATTAAACCTATTGAAAATAGTTACGACTGGGGATAGTCCTGACACAGCTATTCCCAGTTGACTGTATAAAATTGATATTCATTTGGGTAATAAAACATTTGAAATTTTTTTAAAAAGTAAAAACTTAACAATAAGTTTTTTTGTTATTGAGACATTGATTTCATTAATAAAAATGTAGTACACAGAATGAAATATAATAAAAATGTAAACAAAGTTTAACAAACTAACGTTCAAAGTAGTGATCAGCATTGCATCAGAATACCATTTCATTTGCGTTTGTTGAGTGTTTGAGCCTCATATTTTGGAGCCCTCTGATATTGATCTATATATAACTAATTCTATAATGTACTCAATCTAAGTCTAGAATACTTTAGTAGTTTATGCTCTAGTAGTCTCTACTCTGCAACTCTGCCCTAACTATCTTTACTTAACTAATATAGGCATAGGGCATTATAGGGGGCCTACTAAATTAGTAAAATTAGTAGGCCTATTTAAATTTAGCTTCAGCTGTTGGCTTACATTAGCAGGGATAACTAGGATCTAGCTTAGGCAGTAGCAGTGTTTCTTCCAGACTTTTTTCTCCGGGGGGGGGGGGGGGGGGGGCACTTGAAATTTTCGGGGGCGGTAGACTTTCTTTGGGGGGGGGGGGGGGGGCGGACACTGTAAAAAGAATATATTTTCTATATAAATTATATAAATTTCATTTCGTTCGGGGGGGGGGGGGGGGGGGGGGGGAATTTCGGGGGGGGGGGGGGGGGGGGAAGAGATGCCTGGAAGAAACTCTGGGCAGTAGGTAGGTCTTAGGATGCAGACTAGGACTGGTGACTAGGTTGTAGGCAGACTAATAGTTAGTACTACTACTAGATCTAACTACTATTATTAGTACTAATAGTTAATAGTGATTAATTGTAATAGGCCTAGTAGGCCCTATTATAGTATTATATAGGCCTAGAATAGATCTATTCTAATAATAATGGTAGGCCTATAGCCCCCCCCCCCCCATAGTCATAGGCCTAATTAATAATTATTAGGCGGACTAAATAATAAATTATTAATTACATTTTATTAAATAAAACTTCAGATTTTAATAAGACTTAGCCTATAGTTTATATAGGCCTACTTATTTAAAATAGTCATATCAATTTATACTTAATATACTAGATCTAGATCACGGGTTCCCAACCTGGGGGTCGCGAAGGTCTTTCTGGGGGGTCGCCAACTGATATACTAAACCTTAGTAATTTGAAACAAAACATAAATATTTAGAAGAATTTTTGAAATTCGGCTTTATTAACATCACTGGAAATGTAATAGAGAAGAAATAAAGCGCACTGTACAAAGTTGTTCTCAGTAACGAATCTATGAAATCTTCAAAACTAAAACGTTATTTCAGACGAGTCATTCGGAACACACCAAAAAATATTTGGAGTTCTTTCGTTGGTAAGAAGCTAGTTGCAAACGCCAGAGACTTAATCGAACAGGAAGTTTTCATAAGCATTAGTGCAAGCATCAAATGAAGTCGCGATAGAAAATGCCAAGCAAAAACAAAACAAAAAATAGGAGAAAATCTCATCAAACGCTGCATGCACGTAAATGTTAAATAACACATTTTTATTGAAATTAAGCTTTCACCATTGTTTGCTTTTCAAGTTGATAAATCAACAGACGTGAGTTCGTGTTCGCAGTTGCTGGTCTGTGTCTGTATTCATGCGGATGATAGCAAAGAAGAGTTGCTCTTTTGTGAAGATAGCATGGAGAAAATAAATACCTTTTTTGAAACTGGATGATTAAAATTGGTTAGAATGGCTGTGGGGTTTGTACGGATGGTGCGCCATCTATGTTTTGCTCAAAATCGGGCTTTCAGAAAACAGAAAAGATTTAGCTCCATAACCACTGCCCTAACCAATCGACATCAAAAGTCCATTGCTAGTATAAGTCGTAAATTATATAAAATCTGGAGCCTTCAAAGAACTGAGCAAAAAAGTTAATATAGATCACGAGGTTCTGCTCTTCTACACTACAGTACGCTGGCTGTCAAACGAAATGTTTTAAATTGTGTTTTTGAATTGAAATCTGAAATCAAATTGTTCTTGGAAGAGCAAAGGAAACAAGACTCTTTGGTATACTTAAAACGACATAGAGTGGTTGGAGAGAGTATCATACCTAGCAGATGTGTTCGAACATCAAGATAAGCTTAACCTGAAGATTCAGGAAAATTAACGAATATTATAACTTTCCATGATAATCTCGGGGCATTTTTATCACAGCTGCAAAATCGGTAAAGAAAATAAATCTTGGAAACATTGTAAATTTGAGAAACTCTGCGGTGTGGTAGATGAATCTGATTGTGAGATAATTAAAATTTTGAATGAAGCGATTTCTGGGCATTTTGAATCTCTTGAAAAAGAACTGCATTGCTATTTATCTGAGCTGAAAAAAGAAGAATCTGCATTTACGCATTACCCATTCTCTTCTTCCCTTGATGTTGCCAGCATTCCCGATGAATTGCAAGATGAATTCTTTGATTTGCAGAATAATTCCGAGTAAGATGAAAAACTGCTGACACTATTTTGGTGTAGTATTCACCATTCATACCCAAACGTAAAATTGATTGACTTTTCGGGAATATATTTTCAACACTATTCTTCGATTAAAAACAAAATTAAGATAATTATAATGACATAGGTTGGCGTTAACAAAAACTTTTTTTAATTAAAAACTTAACCATGAAGGTTTAGTGAATAGTATGCAATTTTACTCATCCTATTAAAACAGTTATAAAGAGTAGTTCATATTGAAAGTCTACTAGAAAATCTTCTTTTAGTGCTTATTAATTTCCATACTAATTTCGGCTTTTTAATTCTATGGGGGTCACAGGTCACTTACTTTTTATAAAAGGGGGTCGCAACTCGAAAAAGGTTGGGAACCACTGATCTAGATCTATACTAATACTGAAATACTGCTGGTGCCCTCCTACTTGAACTTGAGCTTATTTAAGATATTAAATTATGAATCATTATGAATGGACATTATAGTTCATTATACTTTTTTATAGTCATCTCATTAGACTTAGAGTTTAGACTAGTTTAAAGCTAGATTTAAGAGTAGACTAGACTGACTAGACCAGTCACTAGAACTAGTACTAGTTAGTTAGTAGGCCTAACTATTAGTAACTAACTAACTAAGCCAGACTCAGATCTAGTAAGATATCTATTATCTACAATATCTCTAGTTCTAGTATAATAAAAAGCTAAAAAATTTAAAATTTAGGGCTTAGGGCCTAGTCACTAACTAAATCAAAAATAGTAGAAGGCCTAAAAAAAAATTAAATGACTAGATCTAGGGCCTAACTGAGTAGTGTAGTTAAGTGAGTGTAACACAACACAAGGGACGGAGTGGTCTAGCGGTAGAGAGCTGGACTGCTAACCCGAAAGTCTCGAGTTCGAATCCGGGTTCAAGTCAGTAGACCGTCCCTGAGTCCACCCAACTCTGATGGGTACCTAACTCTCGTTAGGGAAAGTTAAGGCAGCTGGGCATAGTGCTGACCACACTATCTCTTCATATGCCGAGGTCACAGAAACAAGTGAACTCTACTTCACTTGCCCCATAGACCGTCAGGTTTGAAAGGGAAACTTTACTTTTTTTTAACACAACACAACCACGTCTGTCAGCTGTCTATCAGTATACTCAAGTATGTGTACTAGTGTACTACTAACTATGTCCTATGAGTATGACTAACACACTAACTGTAACAGTCACTGAGTCAGACAAACTAACAACTAACAAGGTCACTACAGTGAGTGTATAAGTATAACTCATTATTTCACTCATTATGATTAACTGTATATTTCATATAGATCTAGGCCTACTATAATAAGTATAGACCTATAGATCTACTATTAATATACTACCCCAAGGGTAAGGCTATAATTTAGGCACTACAGGGCTACATTAATAGTTCCTAATTAGTTACTAAGTAACCTAATTAATAATTACTAATATCTGGCTTTAGTTCTAGATCTAGTTTTACTTTCTCTTTAGCATTTTGTTTTTCAGTTCTTCAGTATTAAAGTTTAATTTAAATGTATGATTTCGTCTATGCCTCTTTGTAAACTAGCATTCACAAAATATTTGAGATATTTCTAATATAAACTGCAAACTGTTTTACTGAGTGTAAGATCAAATCAAAATTTTAAAGATAAAATTCAAATAATGCTTTTCTTTCAAGCTATATATTTACTGTAACTTAGATCTATATTAATATCGACATGTAAATCATTTAGCTTTGAGAGGAATAAATAACAGTATCTGACCAAGTCGTTGAATGTTTTTTATGAGTCAGTTCTGAGACAGAATAACTCTACTGAACGGTAGAAAAGCCGAAAAACAGAAGTGAAGACAACATTTATTAGGGTATAGAGTCTAGATTCAAATAAATTTTATCAACTCTAGCAAACATATGAATTTTCATCCCCAGTCGAATGCAAGCTCTTCATAAGTTGCGGTAAGTTATAGATCTAGTCTAGAATTTAATTTTGGTAATCTATCGTTTTGGGTGCGTAAAATCGCCCGCGACTTGTAATGTGAAAACCAGGTGACTCCTTAAATTTGAATAATTATTTCACATTTTGAGGAGGATTTATGATTTTGAAATACAAAAATGTTTCCTTGTTTCATTTATGTACCTGTTTTTAAACAATTGAATTAAAACTTTTCCGTAATAAATGAAGACTAGCGATGTTTCCAACAGATGCAACCATACTCATTTACTATAACAGCCATCTTGTTTAAGTTTTATTTTTATAAGCTTTTAGCGGGAGATTCAGGGGGAAACCACTCTATTTTACAAATGGCTGCTGTTTATATAGCAAATCTTGCTCTCAGACACTGCTGTTTAAAGTTAATTTCTGGCCTATATCGATATATTTAGCCATTGATTTAGGTTTATTATTCATTTATCTATAATATTTGACACAAACATATGACAATAAACTCCTATTAAAGCCTTGACAATGAGGTAACGTTTTCGTACATTAATAGCCGCGGGCGATTTTACGTACCCAAAACGATAGATTACCTTAATTTTAAATTAATTGTTTTAGGCCGTAGCGGCGTAGCGTAGGCCACAGCCGGTGTCACTCAGCAGTATGTGTCTAGTACAGTAGTACTCACTTAGATTACTTAGAATCTAGACCTCGACTTGTAGTGTGTAGGCTTATAAAAATAACTGTTATTCAAAGACATAGGACAAGTAATTTGTTACAGCAAATAGGCCAAAAATAATTTATTTATAATAAATACTTCATCCCAATCAATAAGATTAAGATTTAAGAAGATAGATTAGATTAGAGGGCATCAATTGGTAAAACTCCATTTTAGCGTATTTTATTCGCTGCTTCCCGTTCACCTCCGGTTGAGCGTATTTTATTATAAACACAACCGAAACTCACAAAAACGTTAGGAAAACACTAGGATTAGACTTAGAGCTAGATCTTTTTTTTATATGACTGAGTTTTAATTAGAAAAGGTAAAAAAAAAAGCATTAGGACAGTTCCAATTAAATAGCGTGTGATCATCAGCGGGAGAAAAATCCCTACACGGTCGAGGGTTTACTGTGAGTTCACATTGACTTTAAATTTAATTATTAGCATACGTCATAGCTTGGGCAATAGCTGAAATGGTGTTGGCTCATTTTTGGGGGGTCATCTTAAGTTCAGAAAAGTTGATTTATAGCATTCAGTATTCCAAATTTGGATTTTTCTTGTTTTGACGAAAGTAAATTATCAAAACTAAATCAAAACTTTATTATGAAATAAGCCCAATGTTTTCCTAAAGTTTTTGTGTGTTTTGGTTGTGTTTATTTATAATAAAATACGCTCAACTGGAGGTGAACGTGAAGCGGGGAATAAAATACGCTAAAATGGAGTTTTACCCATGAATTTATGTTTCTCCATATTTACAAGCAGTGGCGTTGCCGAGTCGGGTGTCATGGTGTCACCCCCCACCCCACTTATTTTTCTCTGTAAATTTTGCAGTTTGTGTCTTTCCACTCTAATTCTGTTGTTAATACAACTGGGTGTAGCATTGTTTTCTTTATATTTTGCATGTTAACGTCATGGTGTCACCCACCCCTCCCACGCCAGGATCGTAATTATGTAGGCTACTTAAAATACTTTTTAAATTCTAATTACCCATTCATTTAACTGGCAAAATATATATTTATTCTATAAAATCTTGCAATTATTTTTTTCTTGGTGTCCGCACCTGCCTCGCGACGCCTCTGTTTACAAGGACTTAAGTTTTTAAAGCTTTTTCGGTATCCTAGCTAATAAATTATTTTTGTTAGCCTATCTAAATCACTGTAAGACTATGACTATCTATAGTCCTAATTATTAGTCACAGTAGATTTGGTTAGTAATGAAGGTGGGTATGTGTGTAGTGTGTACTGTTAATATAATAATGTACTGTTAATGGTAGTGGAAAATTCTTAACAAGGGGTGTAAGATCACCGGTATTTAAATACAATGGGTACCTAATTCAAGTTAGGGAAAGTAAAGACGGCGGGGCAAATGATGACCACACCTTCCTTTTATATGCCAAGGTCATTGTCAATAAACAAATGAACTCTACTCCATCTGCCCAATGGATCGCTAGGTCTAAGTTTAAAGAGAATTCTTTACTTTTTTTTACTTATAGTAATAAGAACTCAATTCTAACCCTAATCTAAGTAGGATAATTTTGGGAATACTTGTATATTGATGTCCAATAATAAAATTTTATGAAAATAGTTTGTTTGTAGCATAATAATAATAGGGTTAGGGTTAGCATTGACAAAAAAGCGAATCATATATATATATATATATATATATATATATATATATATATATATATATATATATATATATATATATATATATATATATATATATATATATAT